TGGCCAATCTCCGTCAGGGGCACAGACGGAAGAGAGAGAAACCGAAAAGACGGAGGAGCTGCTAAGCAAAGGGCTTGTGGCAGGAGGGCTCCGTATCATTGAAGAGGCTCGGGATTCAGAGGCTGCAGTGTTACAAGGAATGGACGTTGGAGCTGAAGTGCTGAGTAATCTAGGGAGGTTGTACGAAACCCAGAAAGAGACCTGGGTTCAAGCATTACAGGCAATTGAGAGGCCCAAGCCTGTGTCGGCATACGAGAGTTGTGGCTTCGCCTTGGAACACGCGACGATTCAAACGGAACTGGAGGGGCACACTGGTGAAAGGTATCAGAACTTGCACACTAAAGATTTCCAGGGCCTCGTTGGAGCCAAGAGGAGGAGGAAAGGACACATCGGAGAGACGAGCAAAAGAGTGCTGGAGAATGTTTTCCGTGTGAAACAGTTCCCGAATTCAAGAGAAAGAGAACGTATTGCACTACGATGTGGACTGAGCACTCAGCAAGTCAGAGTGTGGTTTACCAATAAGCGAGCTAGAAGTAAGAACAAAACCTAGTAATATACAATGAGTAGATCTAGTCTTCAGCATCTTCTCTATAGCTAAACTTCCTAATTTCCCCCAGCCTCTTTCTGGCCAAAGAAAGAGCTCCTTCGAGCTTGAGGATTTCGACCTGTTGCTCCATCTCAGCAGTACGATTTTCATGTGAGGTCAATTTGGAATAGTCGACTGAGTTTTGAAACTCTTTAGTGTGAAGCAGGCTACTGACTTTAGCCACCAGTGCTTTACAGCAGGAGTTAACCTCTTTGGAAGCGGCTTCCAACTTCTGATGACTCTTCGACATGTAGTCCGACTTAACACGCGAAGATGAGACTAGCTGAGCAGTGGAGGCGGCCACCTCATTTGAGGCCACAATTAGTTCCTCACTGGAATTCCTTCCAGCTAATACGCCATCTGCTATTCTGATAAGGACTCCTGTAGCATATGCAACTTGCTTAGCTGCCGAAATCAAGCCCTCAGTCCACCTATTGTTCTTTTTGTAAAACAAGGCTCTAGACATGGTTCCTTTTCCTTTTGCAACGATGTCATCCTGTGCTTCAATACAAGACTGAAGAAGTATCCTGACGGCGTTTATGATCCCACTAGAACAGGAGATGATCGACTCGTTAACCTCTAAGACGTTGCCATCCTTTATCTCTAGCTTGCTCCTCGAAGACATATCTGCCAGCAAAGCTGCTGCATCTTCAATTGCACTCTGAGTGTTTGCAAGCTCCCGATCAAGTAAGGAGTCCAATTCCTGTGTAGATGTACCCGATCCGAGCACTGGGTCCCGGAATACCTCAACAATCTCCATGAGACTTTGAATGATCTCCTGGACGTTGATGTTTCCATTTATAACCTTATCTGTCTTGTCCTCTGGTTGAAGAGGCTCAAGATTCTCTGAGAACAAAGCTTCAAAGAATAGCTCGATCATGTTGGCCAGATCTTTTGATCCCTCAACAAGGACATCCTGAACATCGTCCTTTCTATCATTCAGCATACCTTTGACCGATGAGAAGACGTCCTCGATAGAATTTGTGAATTCCATCAGGCTTCTTATCACCACCGTTTCACTCTCCCCTTGCATCTCGTCTCCAATGTAATCAGTCATACTAGTTGCAAACTGTGTGCTGAGATGGGAAGCCTTTTCAAGCATGGTTCCGACATACTCTGCCGTAATGTTTCTCGATCCTATGAAGCCAGGAGATTCCAGTTCAAATGCAAATCCATGCACTCGGTCTATACTCAACTTCAAAAGTGTGTCAAACAAAGAACGCATACGCTGGAGCACATGAATTTGTGCTTCCTTCTGTTGCTCTGCAAGCTCCTGCATCGTGTCCTCCATAGCCTGTTGCATTATTTGAAGTTCCAATTGTGGGTCCCCATTCTGATCTTCGCTTGACCTATTTTGTCTAACATCCTCTAGTTCCTTCTGGTGTCGCGAAAAAATAGCTTGAAGATTCTTAGCATTTGTTTCGTTCACAGCCTTTAACTGATCTTCTAAGTCTCTAATTTTAGACTCCAAAACGAGGAGCTGTTCTGAGTCATTACCTTTCAGTCTCTCCAGGTTCAAACGAGCCCTATCTCTCTCTTTGATAAGATCGGCAAGTTCAATGTTTTTAGCTTTCATTTCTTTCTCCAACTTCTCACGTTTTTCGACAGACTCCTGTGCTGATGCCGCCTTTTGTTGAGCTGTCTTGAACTTATTCAATAATCCCAAATGCTCCTGTCTAAGCTGAGAATATAATTTGGCCAAAGATTCATACTTATTTCGCCAATATGTCACTTGTTCTTGCAAATAAGAACATTGTTGAGACTTGGCTGTGACCTGCTCCTCGCTAGTTTGACTGATTAAGCCGATTTCGTTTTCCAACGCTTTAACTCTCTGATCATACTGTTCCAAAATCAACTGATCTCTTTCATGCTGGCCACCAAGAGCAAGAAGATCTTGTTCAAGCTGTGCCAGTTTTCCTTGAGCCTGACGTTGAGACTGATCTGAAATTAATTGCTGCCTTGCCAACTCCTGGGACAGAGCTTGTTGTCTCTGTTGCTCCTCCCAATACTGGGCTTGCTCATGCTGCATCATTTGCTGCTGTAGAAGCTCCGAACGCTTCCTTTCCTCAGCCAGCCTTTGCTGTTCTTCAAATTGTTCTTGCTGTTTGGAATAGGTGTCGACGACAACACCTGTAGGTTGAACAGATATCCTATTCACAGGGGTCGACTCTCGTTGATCCTTCTCCTTCAATCCGTTATCCAAAATGGAGCTCTCAGTATTTGGCTCATTGGAATCGACCATCAGGCTTGGTGGAGTTGGAGGAATCTTTGGAATGCTGACCAATGTTGATAAGTACTTGATAGTCGAACAATCTGCATAAAAATCGTATAGTCGCCTATGTTGAACATCGAACTTGTCTTTCAGAGGAGCAATAACATCATCAGACTGAGATGATCTATACATTGCCCTCAACATGGAAATCAAAAACTTGTAGATACCGTAAGATTCCGCAATCAATGGAACCAAAGCGCTGATGATACACTCAGAATCCCTGTTACGTTGCACCGAAGAGAATATCACTCTCTGAACGCCATCTAGCGAATCCTGTAATGAAAGCAAGTCCAAAATAGATTCAAATCCTTCGTTGGGATCGCTGACGGCCCGAAGAGAAACATACTCTTCGTACTCGAACATTCCATTGAAACCTCTATGATCATGATGGAAATGCAGTTTTTGAATCACATAAAAGACATACTCTTTGATCAAAGGGCCATAACCTTTCAAACCGGAGCTAGCCGAGAAGCGTCCAATGCTTTCAATCCAGCTAATATTTTTATAACCTCCAATCAAGCAAGAAGGGTGTCCCTCTTGTAAAACCTTATGTATCACAATCAATGCCTTGAAGAGCTGAACTTCATCAGACTGGATTGGCAGAAGTTTCAGGACGTGCCAAAACTCCCGCGAAGATTTATGATCCCATGTGTACAAAATACATGCTCTGACGTGTTTTCTCTTAGGGGCTACCTCATCGGAAGAACAAGCCTTTTTCAAACTTGTTTGGATATCAGAATCTGAACGGTTACCGAAACCCAACATTGTCGTAAAGGTTACTCTCAATTATGATATAGATAATTCGAAAATATTGTTCGATATTTGGATTGACCGTAAAATAGTAAATCTAGTTTTTAGACATAGGTCTGACTTCGCCCGGAAATTTGCGGGGCTCAAAACAAGGCTGGTTCCTTTTTCCAAACTACCAAATAGCTAGTACTTATTCCTACTCATTTTTCGTAGTCTGGCTCTTGACATCGTATTATATAATGCTACTTAATTACTGCACATCTTCTACCTATCAGACTACAAAACTCGGTTCTTTGGGTAGATAGAACATGGCTGTATTTTAAAGCCGTTTCTTGGAAGATTAACTTGGAACAGTTGTTATTCGATTGTCGTTCATCTTTGAAAATTGTGTTTGAAAACCGACGAGAGTCTTTATTATGAACAAGCTAAATAATACCATAATTATTGAAAAGTTACCACCGCAAATTTTTTGATAATTTTAACAAGAATCCATTTGACAACTATTTACTAATTCAAATTTATGAGCTCCATTGAAAACTTGAAGTCGTTTGGTATGTATGATGTTGTATCCAGGATATGATTTCATTTCTGGAGCGTTGCCATTCGTATTCTAACTTTTACTTGTAGATCCTTTTGCAGACACTGGTGACGCAGAAACTCAACCAACAAACTATATTCATATTCGGATTCAACAAAGAAATGGTAGAAAAACATTAACAACAGTTCAGGGGGTCCCAGAAGAATACGATTTGAAAAGAATATTGAAAGTTCTGAAAAAAGACTTTGCCTGTAACGGAAATATTGTCAAGGATGATGATTTAGGTGAGGTCATTCAATTACAGGGAGACCAAAGACTGAAAGTTATGGAATTTCTTATTCAGCAGCTAGGACTTCAAAAGAAGAACATCAAGATCCACGGATTCTAGACAATGTGTCGACTCCCGTCAAAGTTGCGAAGCTATAAAGCCACCAACATCGCGACTCTTTGTGACTCAAATTACTTTGATTTTTATATTGATAATTCATTGCTATTGATATTATTTCATGCCCTCTTCTTTTTTGGTAAACACTGTCCTTTACATTACATGTCTTATTTAGGAATGTTCACACTTCTTCTAAATAACTTGTTTACTAATGAGGTGTCAAGCATCTTTTCTGATACTTTATCATGCACAAAAATAATATTTGTTTGTTTTCTTGATACGATAAGTAACTCGATGTCTTCTGACTTGAATCTTAAAAAGTCATGGAACCCTAAGCTTGTGAAAAATAGAGAAAAAGTATGGGAAAAAGAACAAGATCTTTTGTCGAAACGCAAAAAGCAATCAGCACTTGATTCATCTGTTGGTCAAAGGAGCCGAGAGCCGTTCAACGACTCTATCACTGACAATTCTTTGCCAGAGATCAGGTGGATGTACGAAGAGAACAATTCTCACACGAGGAGTAGTGAACCCAGCAATATTCGCAACTCCGGAGATACAGCCCAGGATTACTTGAACAAGTTACGACCCGCTTCTCACAATTCAAGTCGACTAAAAAACAAAAAGCCAACCGATGTTTCCAATGCGCAATATCTGGATGGGAAACAAAAGAAAAATAATGATTTGCGAAGTGAGGATCCAATGACTAGGTTCACGAATAGTCTACAGAGGGGCACGCGCAGAAATGCTTCTAAGGTAAGGAAGACAAGGGTTTCAAACTACAACGAGCTAAGGAAATGAATATACGCAATTTCCGTATCATGAAAGAGTCGTCATTTTTTAGCTTGAGAAAGAGCCTAGTCCTTACGATTTCATTTTTCAATCCCAACGATAACTCTTGAATTTTCAAGTTAGTCATGTAACTTCGAATCTCTTAAAACTCTTTACTCACTGCCTCAGGTATTATATTACGTAATAAGCTGATTTTGAAGTAAATAATAAAAATGCTTTTCGTTTTCTACTTCAAATCTAAAACGATCGCTCTTTCATAACCAATGAATTCGTTGATAGGAATAAGAAGTAGCAGTCAGGCTCGATCAAATAGATCAAGAAGTAGATCTTTATTAGGATCGGGACATAGCTCCATATCTACCTCACGTTCGGGATCGAGATCCAGGTCGAACTCGAACAGGGGGAGCTCTTTTAACGTTAGAGGATCGGTAGATAATTACTCCTTCACTGGTCTCAACGCACCAGAGAAAAACATGGCATTTGATGATCCTAAAGAACGCAATTTGGAAAAAGAATTGGAAAGAACTTTTTGGAGAAAGTTCAGGGAGAACGTCGTTGATAATGACGATACCTGGATCAAGCTTTTCTTAATTTTGTCATGCCTTTCTGCAATTATAACCCTCGCAATTGAGTGCGCAATTTGTGGGCTTTTTATGGATAGATTCAAGTTATTAGCTACTGGTACCAACGATTACAATCCAATACTTGCGGTTTACGGATACTACAGATCTTTTTTGAAACAAAAAAGGTACGCAATGGGTGCTTACCTGGCCCTTTACATTTATGCTGAACTCTATCTTGTGATAATGACTTTAATTGTCCTTTATACTAGAAATGTTTACCATCTGATGTCTTCTGTTTTGTTTCTCGCAGCCATGGCCATTTACTCTGGAATCCAATATAACGAAATCACTACGACAATTACAAGTTTCAACACATATAATCAACTTTTCACATCAACCACAGACGCGTTTCAATCAGGTGTTGAACAAGCAACAAGGAAAATCAAAGGACTCTCGATTGCCGTTATAGTGATTGCGAGCCTTGCATGTCTTGTACAATCAGCCATAGGATATAAACTGAAAGACAAATTTCAGCAATTCACAGGTGAAGCTGTTGGTAACAATAGAAAAATGATTTATGCAAATACAGTGTTCAACTTGCACAGAGATGCCCTTCTACTGGCATTATTTTTTGCACCAGGCTACTTCTTACAGTCTGTTATCATCGCTCCAAACAAATCTGACGCAGAATTTGGGTTGACAATAGCAGCATTGGTTCTATCTTTTTTGGTGGTTTTTGGAGCAGACTTTTGTACATCAAGAGAAAAGAAGTTGCCATCAACTTTTTTTTCTGCATGCTGTACAATCGGTCTAGGATTTATTGTTTTCAAAATTGTCCGCGTTTATCTGCGGTATCCGTCGAACGGCCAAGATCTACCGGGACGAAAATCAGTTGTCGCTTTTGGTGTGATAACAGCTGTTTTATTGCTTTGTCTTATGATATTATTGTTACAAGTGATACGAAATTTTGAGCTTGGATTATACAGCATATACGCTGGAAACTACAACTGGTTAGTTAAAGCAAGAGAGAAGTACCAGGAGGAACTAGATCAAAAAGTCAAGCTCGAAGTTAGTAAAGATGCCGCTGATAATGCTGTCCCATCACATAAGATTCAACACGAAGGACAACAAAATGGCGACTCCCCGATAAAGGTATTACCAGATAGAGAAGAACTTGATTTCTAAAATATAAATTTGTGCTCCTTTGACTTAAATTGGCCTAATTCACTCTGTTTCTGTCAGAATCAAGCACGATATACTGTCACCAGTGTTCACCTCCAATTGGCATAAAAATTGTTCGTCTCCCTCAAGCGTTCTTTTTCCTTTAGAAAACTGCAACTCACTAGTTTGTAAAGTATCAAGGTTGCTGACGTATTGTGGAACGATTTTGCTTTCCTTCATCAGGCAAAGAACTTTGCGACGTAGAAATCCGAGTGTTGTACCTAGATCCGGATCACTGTAGTCGTCTGGACCAAATTCAATGTAATAGACAACGGGACGGCTTAACACCAAAGTTGGCTCTTCAAGTTTTGAACGAGACATCCTGTAAATATTCACCGAAACATACACATGTGAGCAATGAACTGGCTTATCCGGAAACAAGACCTTCAAATCTAACCTTTCATATCCTAAAAGATTAGCGGCCCATAGTATGAGTTGGCGAATAGTGATGAAAACAAATGCGTACGTGAATAAAATGGTAATGGTAGAGGACCACCTCGATGACATCAGTTGCCTGGTCAAGTCGAACTTCAAGTAGAATGACTCTATCCTGCGATGAATATTTATGGCATACGTTGTCGGCGAGACGATCCAAATGGCTTGAGAGTAATTACCTGGCGAAATATTCCACATTTGATTCACTTCGGAGATAAAAAAATCTCAAGATAGATAGTTGTTTAAAAAAACCGTTCTCGGTATGAACAATATCAAACACACGCTCAATATTGTTTTATTGTTAACGCTGTCAGCTGCAATTTATCCAGCTATAAAGGCATTCAGATCCCACGAGAAAAAGATCAAGCGAAATGGATCTTTAGCAGACTTGATTGGAAATACACCTCTCTTGAGAATAAAGAGCCTTTCGGAAGCCACTGGATGCGAGATTTACGCAAAAATGGAGCTGTGCAACCCAGGAGGCTCCGCTAAAGATAGAATAGCATTGGCAATCATTGAAGATTTTGAAAAAAAGGGTATGATTCGTCGTGGAAAAGGAGATATCATTTTTGAGGGGACGTCGGGATCTACAGGTATTTCTTTCGCAATGCTGTGCAAAGCTTTTGGATACACAGCTCACATTTGCCTGCCCAATGATACGTCCCAAGACAAGTTGAACCTTTTGAAAATGTATGGGGCAGAGATCGAGAAAGTCAAGCCAGCTTCTATTGTTGACCCAGACCAGTACGTAAATGCTGCAAAGAAGGGAGCAAAAGATATAGCAAGCAGTTCTTCAGACATAAATGCGGTATTTGCAGACCAATTTGAAAATGACTGCAACTGGAAAATTCATTATAGTACAACAGCTCCTGAAATATGGGAACAAGTTAACCACAAGCTGGACTATTTTATTACAGGATCAGGAACCGGTGGGACGTTGGCAGGATGTTCAATGTTTTTCAAAGAAAAAAGCTCTTCAATAAAATCAGTTCTCGCAGATCCCCAGGGATCTGGTCTGTTCAATAGAGTGAAATTTGGTATAATGTACGATCAAGTGGAAAGAGAAGGTACACGAAGACGCCATCAAGTGGATACATTGGTTGAGGGGATTGGCTTAAACAGAATCACACATAATTTTGCCAAGGGTGAACCTTTTATAGATGATGCTGAACGTGTACTGGATGAAGAAGCTTTGAAAATGGCTAGATATTTGAACGAGAATGAAGGATTATTTTTGGGGTCTAGCAGCTGCGTGAACGCGGTTGCTGCAACCAGGATAGCGTTGACCAAGGCAAACAAAGGGGACACTATTGTTTTTGTTGCATGCGATTCGGGTACTAGACATGTATCAAAGTTTTGGAAGCACGCTCTGGACTACGATTATACCTCGGATCTACGTGAAGTCGTGAACTGTAAATAAAAGTCTTATATACCCTCAAACGCGTTGCTGATGGTCCCCCTTTTTTGCTTCTTTTTTGCTTGAATCAATTCCTTCCAATCACTTTCAAGCTCCCCACTTTCAAGCTCTTCATCCATCAGTAAACGCTGCTTTTGTGATTGTTTGGCCCTCGTGGAAAAGTCAGGGGAAAGATGCTTCATTGATTTGGATTGCGCACTCCATGCCGCATTCTTCTGCTGCTGAGCCAACTTCTGCTTTTTTCTCTCTGCAATTTCAAGCTTCTTTGCCTGATCTTTCATATCCGCCAACCTTTCCATTTCCTTCTGCTCGTTAAGATATTTGTAGCTATCAAAATCGAAAGATTGATCGATCAAACCTCCTTCTGGAAAGTCATGGATGAATTTATTCTCAGGCATCTTTGGAAACCTGAAAATGCCAAACAATTTAGCGAGATTCCAATAATTCAGAGAGGAAACACGAAAAATAGACGAAGCAACATGTTTGGAGTAACATTTGACATAGCTAACAAACGCTCTGATAGCCTTGTCATGCCTTCCTCGGTCTACCATCAACCACTTTTGAAGTTGCTCATAAACAAAGTTATAATCGTCTGGTTTAAATTCCAGTTGAGATAGCGGACGTAGAGACACATTTCTGAGTCTCATGAACTCAACGTAGTTTTCCTCTAGTCCAGGACTTAGAAAGAGAATGGACGAACCAGATTTTCCTGCACGTGCGGCTCGACCACATCTATGCACAAAAACATCCGGGTCAGTTGGTGGGTCAACTTGAACGACCAAATCCATGTCAGGGATATCGAGACCTCTGGCTGCAACGTCTGTGCTGAAAAGTATGTGCTTATATTCACTGGTATCGGAAAACTGTTGGAGCGTTTTTGTTCGTGAATCAAGGTGTAATTTTCCGTGAAGAGAATATAATTTAACTATCGGAGCTCTGCAAGCACTGTTGGTTCTTTCGACACATTCTAGAAGATGGTTGAATACTGCAAAAAAATAGGTGACACAGGTACATGTTGGAAAGTACACTATGGCCCTTTTGAATTGAAAAGTTGTTAGAATATGAAGCAATTTTTGTAACTTTTGAGACGAATCAACAATATCATAATTTAAACTCAACTCAGCTGGCGTGATATCACTTTCCAAGCTATCTGACTTCACAGTTATACGGATAGGATTGGTCATACCCATGCGAAATGCCTGATCCACAATTGTTGATATAGTTGCTGAAAACATGCCTATTCTCTTTTGGCGGGGCAAAAGCTTTGAAATGAGAGAAACTTCGGTGGAGAAACCACTATCCAGAAGTTTATCTGCCTCATCCAAAACAAAAACTTGGCAACTTGACGTTTTAACAGAGCCTTGTTGTAAAAATTCCAAAGCTCTCCCGGGGGTTGCAACCAAAATTTGTGGACGAAATTTCAAAAAGAGTTGAACATCTGCAGTAACATTGCCAATTCCACCAACAACAGCTTGGGAGCTCAACTTATGTCTTTCATCAGGATTAAACTCAAGAAGGCTATCGGTTACAGTCTTGATCTGTAAAGCCAATTCTTTGGTAGGACACACTATTAACCCCCCAAAGTGACCCTTTTTGAATGACGATTCATTTCTGATAAAAGCACAAACCTTTTCAACTATCGGAATCACATATGATAAGGTTTTACCGGAACCAGTCACTGCCTGTACGATGACATCCTTGTTATTGGAGAACATTGGAATAGTAGATGCTTGCACTGGTGTTGTCTTAGTGTAACCCAAAGAAATTAATGCTTCTTGGAGCCAAGGGATAAGCGAATAGGGAAGAGAGCCCCATGACAAGTCTTGTCCCTTTTGCATTTACTCGGTGAATTGCTAAGAGAAAACTGGTCTTACTTTGATAAATCTTTGTACCTCGGATCTATCTAGAAATTTGTGTAAAAATATTTTTTTTGAAATATTTTTTTTGATAGCTTGGGTTGGTTTCGAGAGAGCTTTATTTCAATCGCCAAGATCATCAGTTCGCGATTATTTGATGAAAGGGATCGAAATCATCAATAACAAGCGTGCATAATAAGGTGTTTGAATCTGTAATAGAAAGTTTAATGGACTTCTTCAACAAAATCTTGACACAATACAGAACTACCCCAAACGTTTTTTCATTATACAACAAAATCAAACTCCTCATAATGTCTGAATCCCAGCCGCCAAATTATAATGAATGGACAAAGGAACGGCTAATAGAGAAATTACAAGAATATGAACTGAATGACAAAAAGCGAAAATCGGGGCAAAGTGAGTTGAACTTGTCAGATGAGACTTCAAAACAGAAAAAAAAGAAACCTAAGACTTTTGACTTCACCAGATACGAATTTAGGAAAATAGCTCTGAAATTTGCCTATCTTGGATGGAATTACCACGGATTGGCTTTTCAAAAACATATGAATGGAGCGGAGACCGTCGAGTCTGAGATACTGAAAGCTTTACATAAAACCAAGCTTGTCAGCTCGATCGATCCAGCCTGTTGCGAATTCAGTAGGTGTGGAAGAACTGATAAGGGTGTAAGTGCAATGAATCAAGTGATATCCCTGAGTGTTAGATCTAATTTGTCTGGTGAAGAAATATCCAACTCAAAATACAATGAAAGAGAGCTCAACTATGTGAAGATTCTAAACAAAGTTTTACCACCAGATATCCGCATTCATTCAGTATGTTTAAACCCTCCAAAGGACTTTGACGCAAGGTTTTCTTGCACTTACAGACATTATAAATATTTCTTCGAATCAGATGGATTAAACATAAGCAAAATGCAGGAAGCAGCTTCGCTGTTCATTGGCGAGCATGACTTTAGGAACTTCTGTAAACTTGATGGATCAAAGCAGATTACAAATTACAAGAGAACAATACTATCTTCAAGCATCATCCCATCAGAACATGGAGCAAATATTTATGTTTTTGATCTCAGGGGATCGGCCTTTCTGTGGCATCAAGTGAGATGTATGATGTCCATACTTTTTTTGGTTGGGCGCGAACTCGAACAAAAAGCGATCATAACCGAGCTTTTAAATCCAGCACTATATCCCAGTCGCCCCAACTACAAAATTGCAAGTCCTTTCCCTTTGGTTTTGTTCGACTGTAAGTACGACGAAAAGACGACTAATTGGATCAAATGTACCACATTTGACGGTCTTCATCTTTTAAGATTCAATCAACTATGGGGAGACCTGAAAACCAAATCTACAATTATCTCGACAATGAAGAACGTTTTGGGGAATGGAAAAACAGAGTCTACCAAAACAATCAATCTTGAAGAAGGCCGAATTCACAATCCGGCAACATATGTGCCCATCTCTAAAAGAGAAACATTGGAAACAGCCGATGAAGTAAATGAAAAATGGATGCTAAAAAAACGGGGTTGAGATTAATTGGTGTTTCGAAATGATATAGATCACTTGTATTTAATCTTTTTTTTTTCTTCGAGACGTTTTTGCATAGTTTGAATTCTTTTTACAATCTACTGACAGACTTCGAGATCTTGCTGATACTTCATTGCTAAAAATGGTTAACATATCCGACAAGATTAAAGAAATCCAAGATGAGATGTCCAGAACTCAGAAAAATAAGGCCACTGAGTATCATCTTGGGTTGTTAAAAGGAAAACTTGCTAAATATCGCAGGATGCTTCTGGAGCCTGAACCGGGATCTAGTCAAGGGAGTAAGGGACAAGGATTTGAAGTCAGTAAGAGTGGAGATGCTCGTGTATGTCTCATTGGATATCCTTCCGTGGGAAAGTCATCGTTCCTCTCCAAAGTGACCAAGACCCAGTCTGCTGCCGCTGCATACGAGTTCACTACGCTGACCTCAGTCCCTGGAGTTTTGCATTACGAAGGGGCAGAAATTCAGATTGTTGATTTGCCAGGAATCATCAAAGGCGCCAGTGAGGGAAAAGGAAGGGGGAGACAGGTGGTGGCAACTGCAAAAACTGCAGACTTGATTTTGATGATACTGGACGCTACAAAACCGTCTGATCAGCGAGAGAATCTCGAGAAAGAACTAGAGGCAATCGGAATTCGACTGAATAAAGGGAAACCGGGCATAGCAATCAAACAAAAACAGTCAGGAGGAATAAAGATGATTTCGCTGACTACTCCAACAAATTTAGATGAAAAGCTGGTTAATTCAATTCTCAAAGATTACAAGCTTCATAATGCAGAAGTCACTGTCAAAGATAAAGATGCTACTGTTGATGATCTGATTGATGTTTTGAACGAAAAACATGTCGTTTATATTCCCTGCCTGTATGTTTACAACAAGATTGACGCAGTCTCTCTCGAAGAAGTTGATAGGATTGCTCGTGAGCCGAACACAACTGTTATGTCGTGTGAAATGGAGTTGTCTATCGATGATGTGATTGAAGAGATTTGGTATAGACTTGATCTTTCTAGACTTTACACCAAAAGAAAGACAGACAGGCCTGACTTTTCTGAGCCACTAGTGGTTAGAAGTCAGTCCACAGTGGAGGATGTTTGCAACTCAATACACAAAGATTTGAAAGAAAGTTTCAAATATGCATTGGTTTGGGGTTCTTCGTCAAAATTTGGAATGGCGCCTCAAAAGTGTGGACTCGGACATCGGGTTCATGATCAAGATGTTGTTTCAATAGTGACAAAATAAGTTCAAGGATTCAATTTATGCTCCAAATGCGAAACCCATGTTGCTATCTCACTCTTATTTCTCAGGAATACTTCATGACTCTCAGTTATTTGATTTTCAAGAAGATCGAGCTTTCGTTCCCACATTGACATTTTCAAGTTCAATTCTTCAAATTCCGCGCTTAGATTTCCTAGGAATTCACACGAGGATTCGACTTTAGTCAGTAATAGTCCAACTGATTTGATTTTTTTTACCAGGCTGCCAGCTGAAGGGTCAAAAAATGCGAGCTTGCCCATCCTGTTGTATAGTGACTCGATCTGACAAGTGATTGCTATGTTTGGGGTTTTCATAATCTGTCCTAAGGCTGATTCATTGATCCTGATATTATTTAACGTTGTATCGTTATCATCGAACAAGATCTGATTGCTAAATTCCAACTTCTGACTCATCTCAGTCAGACGCGAATTGACTGACCGATTGTAATCGTATTCCTGATACGTTCCTAAGTGTTCTTCGATCTGGTTCAAACGTTTCAGTAACTCGGCAACTTTTGTTACCTCCTCCGATTTTCCCATGACTCCCAATCCCAACTCGGGGGACTTTTGATCAACGTATATATCAGAGGCCATATCCGACTTCACACGTTCAATCTTGTTCATGAGTTCGTTCAATACAGAGACCCAGAGCTCTGGAAAGCTTCCCGAACTCGGCTTGAAGCCCGCAAGAGTCGCTTCATCTTGAAACGAAGAAATGAGACCATCGGCGAGATTCTCCATATTTGTCTTCTCGCCCATGTAGTTCGATTTCCTGGTTGCAAGACCATTCACGAGACTGGTTGTTTCAAAGTGGGAGAATAACTCAAGATTGGCAGTTGCATTTCCAGAGTTAAGACAGATGTTAGGATGTGTATTTTCGTTTGATTCTTCGAGCCCAAGATCAGCTATCGGAGCTAAGCTCTCGAGAATTTCTGGCTCATCACTAATTGTCACCTCTTCAGAGAAATAATCGGAAGAAGCCATCAGCCATTTCGCCTTTTGCAATACTAGTTAAAACCTGCTTTCGCGTTACTTTCGTATATTTATTTTTCGCGGTGTATAACGAAATTTCAGACTTCAATACACAATATATAACGCGTTACAGATGATAGTCGGTAGTCTGTAATAGTCGGAATCCCATCGAATATATCAACGACTCTCATAAGAACGCATCTTTTGGTATTTGTGCCCGGGAATTATTGAAATTTATCATAGCTGTATTATAATCCCAATTGCTTTGCTCGCACAACATTATAGAATATTGTGGTGTTAATTTCGTATCCTCGAAAACTCGGTTGAGTATCTGTTGTTGTGATAAGCTGAGTTTGGACACAATGTCAGCTGGAATTGCCGATGATGGAGCTTGAGCGACTGGTAGGCCCGATGCTGCCGGAGATGAGCTAACGGGACCTCGGTGTGAGTCTGAACTCCATCCTCCTTGACCAGAGTATTGCTTCAAAAGCAACATGTCTGAAGCAACGATATAGCTCCCTCCCGTACCTGCAATCACGAGCAATGACCTATCGAAAGATCTTTCTGACAACTGGCTGCGACTCGAAGTGTGATAGGCTGTGTATTTACTTCCATTTTTGAAGTGTCCTTCCTTGTTTGATTTTTTTGGTGAGCCAGTCTCGACGAAGCTTCCATGCACACAAATCTCCATTGCATTTAAGATAGGAACAGAAACGACTTCAATTGAGTAGCTGCTTGGATCCTTGTCAAGCCTATGTTTGGAAGTAGGGAGAGACTGGAAAGCATCCGATATTGGATCTCTGCCTTTGAAAACTTTAGACATTCGAGACTTTATGCCAGAAACTCGCATCAGATTTCTTGAGTTCGAAATGTAAGATCCCCAAGAACTAGCAACGGAATTTGGTGTTCTCGAATCTTTGATCGATATTGATGCTGAAGAAGCCTCAACGATATGAGTTGTATCAAAATGATAAGAGAATTGGGATTCAGGAGTAAAGAGATTCAGAAGACTCATTCTGTCATTATCCCAAAAGTTCAAATAAGTTGTGATGAATTGGATTGCAACACTTTGTAATTCTGGAGATTCAAAGAAGGAGCTAGCACAAGGGAATGGGAAAGACAATAAATTGGTCAACTTGCCTTCGTCTCTGACAGGCACACCATTGAGAATCGACAACCTTGGAAAACATTTGATAATGTCACTTGAAAATGACGGACTGTCAATCGGATTCCCGACGATCCATAGTTCTCGCAGATAAGGAAGTTTATTTTTCAATTTCTCAATGGTCTCAATTTTGGTTATGTTGTTATTTGAAAGAGCTAGATTTTTGAGAGTGGGAAATGAAACCGCAACTTCAATCAAATCTTTTTGACTGTTTCCAAGATCGTTGTTAGATAGATTTAAAGATTCGACTTTAAGTTGCTGTTGAGATGCAATTTTCATGAGAGCCAAAAAAAACTTGGAGGCTGTTTGAGTAGTCGCAAATAACCCTTGAAATTCTGGATTCATACCGTTCCTTAGTCCATCCAAATTCAACATCATTGTTCCTGGATCGTAGCGAGAAGCAAGTATGTTTTTTATAAGGGTGACTGTATTGTTCGATTTGGATGAATCGATGGCCGAAACAATGTTTATTTTAAGACTTTCACCGGCAAATCTGATTCCGTTGTACTTCACCAGGATGTTGGCGTCTTTTTCAGACTTCACAGATGCTGTTAATACCCCTGAATTGCGGTCAGCGTTCACAATTTTGAGATTAATTTTCGTCTTCCGATGGATGAAAGAAACCAGGTCTTTTTCGTTAGCATTTGTCCAGCCTGTGACTTCAACAACAGTTCCACGTTCCGCATTATTGGTCGTGACAAAGCCTTGATTGCTTGGACTTGCAGAATAATTTCGATTATCTACAAGATTCTGGTTCAAGCCAAAATTGGACTGAAACATATCAAGTTATGAAAAGGCTCTATGATTTCTTTCACACTAATTCCCATTAATCTTGTTAATGGATAATGGACACTTGAGAAGCTTCCTGACAGAGTTTATTACCGACCCAATCTGTTACTTCACAAAAGAAATAGGAAAATTTCTTTCGGTCCAAAAAAATCTCTGCACATTAATATACTGAATGAATATGAAGGAATTCTGACATTCTTTGACAGAGAAATTTCTGGCAGGAAACAAATCGAAACAAGATTGCAATCTGATGGCTGAACTTTCATTTTTTGATCACTAAGGTAATGAAATATCATTCAAAGGTGATTAGTACAAGCCTCCTTCAAGTATTCGACCTACACAAGATTTTACATCTTCAATAGTGAGATTGGATATATCGTAATGTCAGTCATATTGATCGGAAAAGTTTACAGAAACTCTAAACATCAAACTTCAGCCAGTCCAAATCCCTCAAAGAACAGTTGTCTGGGGGCTCAGCTTGTTCAATTTTATCCGTATCCTTTGTGGCTTTTTGTTTCCCAAAATAAGGATCCTTTTCAACAAGAAGCTCAGGACGTGGGGGATTTTCATCGAAATACAACCCTTGGCTGTTGATACCCCTCTTAGCTTGTATCTCCAGATAAAGATTGTTAGGCGTAGATCCACGACGCGAGAAGCTGTTTGATGGAACGCCAGGAACTGATCCCGGAGAAGAAGCAATTGAAGAACTTACGGAGAAATTTCGAGATTTCAACCTTTTGAATCTTGGAATATCTTGAGGTTGAGATTGATTCGCGGAATATTGGCCGGACGACGCGCTGAGCGGCGAGAAACTTGATGGCGATTGAGATGCAACGGGCGTAGTCGCGAGTGGTGTATTTGAATTCGATTGCGGTTGAGAGTTCTTTGGTATAGGCTTTGGAAGAATCGGAACATTTCGATGTCTCTGCGATGCTCCGTAGAAATTGGCGTTTCTGTAACTCGGGACATTTACAGAACCATTAGGCACACCAAATGTGGAATGAGGATAAAGATCGGTAGAACTTCCAGGAATACTCTGGTTTGGAATGAGTGAAAATTCGGGATAGCTCTGAGACATTAAATAAGTTTGCGGCTGGTTAACGAAGGCTCCATGAGCTCCAGCATTATTTAATGGGCCAAAGGATTCAGGGAAACCCGGACTATGGGATGTAAATTGTGGATGTCCTTTAGACCGAGAATAAGATCCTGGCGAATTGAAATTGAACTGTTTAGTATTTGAAGGATAGTGTTGTATCTGGTTGAACGGCTGCCTTTTTGAATTTCGCTTCTTGATAATATCAGTTTTTAAAGAAAGAGGACGCATTGTACCATGAAGTTTTTGGAATAATCCACATGCGTTGCAAAGTGTATTGCCCTGTGGATCTCTTCTCCAAAGAGGAGTTTTGGTGGTTCCACAATTGAAACATTTGGATAGCTGTTTTGAAGGTGATGAAATTGAATGCCTATCTAAGCTGGAATTTTGTGAAATGGAGTTTTCGTGACCTTTAGATTCATATTCATTCTTGTGCATTGGTATCGGAATTATCGTCTGTCTGTCATTCCATGTAGATTGTGCAAATTGAGAACTATCCTTCGGCGATGAAGACTCAATAGTTTCCGAGTTTCTAGAAATCACATTCGTTGAACTAGAGGACACAGAAGGCAGCGACTTCAGATGTCCACCTGTAGCTCTAGATATTTTATATCTCTCCAGAAAATCCGGATCGTGGTCGGCAAATAGACCCTTGTCGTTTTTGATTTGGAGAAGGTCGTCCAAATTTGTTTGCAGCAATTCACTGAGCTCTTTCGACTTTTTTACCTGTGTAATGTTGGGGCTTTCAGACATTGAAAGAGGCGTTACAAGATTATCGCTTGAGGTACTTTCGATTCCTTGAGTAACACTGGCCTGAGAACTGTCTCCAGGAGGAGTGATCAGGCTAGAATTGGAGCTCTGATCGTGACTTCGGGAAATAACGCCTTTGGAATGAGAAGAAGTACTGGGCTTGGAATCCTCATTCCTCACAGCTAGTGGAGAAGTAGACAATTGAGAAGTTGAGGAAGGAGTCAAAGCTGAATTGTCATAGTCGGTGAAACTAGGCACTCCTTCATGAGGAAGCAGCTCATGTTGTATCCTCCTAGATTCTTCTCTAAGTTTCCGATTTCTTATCCGTGGATAAAGCGGTAGCATGTTTCTGGCCGTAGAATATATGTCCCATATTGAATTCGGTTCCATTTTGCTGTGAGCTGACAATATGTTTGGGCTTGCTGGATGAATAACAATAATACCCGAATTCAATGTGACGTAACTTTTTAACTCAAAAAGAAAACCGACGTCGACTTAGTGTAATAAGTTCTTGATGTTTGCAATAAAAGATTGTTTTGTGTCTTGTAGCTTTACGACTTGATACAGCCAAACCAGATGGAGTCAAGAACTTTATTAAAATGTGGTAATGAGAAAAAAAACTTTTACATTACGTAAGATGACATAATGTTTTGAGTAAGGGTTGCGCGGCTAAAGTTTTACTGCCGAGATTGACTTTCCGCATTGATCAAAAAAATCAAGTGGAAAACCTCAAAATATTCCTGTTCAGTAGTCTTCAATACAATGAATGGGCTTGATGGACTCAAAAATCCAGATACATGTAAAACACAAGGATTATGACCGGAGGAAGTACAAGTAATGAAAGATATAATTTGTAAGGTCATTAAGTATTGGATAGTTTACGTTTCTCGTAAGTCGAACGAACTCAAGCTTCCCATCAACGATTATCAAAAGTCGTATCGACACTCATGCATTCGCACCATGTTTCTTGAGCCGTTCTTTCAATTTTCTTTCCTCCTCATCTAGCAAGGATAATCTCAATGCTTCTTCAATCATTCGCTCCTCAATGTGCAGATGGTCGGAATGCGAGTTTCTGTTCAATAAACTACTTCTTCTTTGTGAACCGCCATCATACCTTTCCAGTGGTTCGGAGGAGGGCCTCCGCCTTTCGTAAATCAAAGAAGATGCATGGAGTGCAGTTGCGGCAGCAGAGCGCTTTGCCAATTTGGACTTTGCATTCAACAGTCGTTGCTCCCAATCAGGGCGGATAAAATCAACGGTAATAACACCAGGGGCAGTAGCGGGAAGGGAACCTCGCCTTTGTCTAGCTGGAGCAGCGGATAAATAATTTTTGGGGTTTGAGTCTGGTTCGCTTCGGTTTACATTGAACGAAGTTGAGTCATCAGAGTTAGGAACGACCCCAGATGCGTCAGATAATATAGTTGATTTTTTGGGTGATGTACCAGAAGCTGAATGCGACTTGGTCATAACGTAGCTTAGTGATGTACGTCTGGCAGAATCAGAAATCGGGTGAGTATCAGGGAATCCCGGATCTTCTTGGATGACAGGTGTGGAAAACTGGAAGTCTCTTGGTGGTCTGCCTCCGATACCTGTCCAGATATTTGGCGCATGATAGGTAACACCGAAGTCTGCCATTGCACAAAATGGACAGTTCACAGGTTCACTTATGAGTTCTTCACTGCTGGTTTCTTGATTATCAGTTACATTTGGAGTATCACCTTCATCATGAGGCGGGTGAGGATCAAGACGCTTGAGTTGAACGAAACATTCTGTGCATATTGGTTGCACACAGCATCTAGATAGATTCAGATTAGTCGGATAATAAAGGAAGCATATTGGACACTCAATTGCACCACGATAAAGAGCAAGGAGCAAATCATCAGAGGGAATATTTGGGAAAGTTTTTATTCCCATCTCGCTAGTTGACTTATCCCTGTTATAGCGAGTTTCTGCCTCAAGCTGCAATTTGACAGCTGTTTCGGCTAAACTCCTTTTGAAGGCTTTTTGTTCCTTTCTTCGTATTGAACCTGCACTCTGATGAATCTTGTGGTCGTCTGGATCTTCTTCTTCTTCTGGGTCTATATTTTCAACCGGGGCATGTAATGGCAAAGACCGAAGAGCCTTTAATAACTCATCATCCGTCCAATTTTCATCGTAGTCCTGTAGCGGTGTATAAAATGGTGAAAGCCTTCTGTTTGTGATTAGTTCTCGAACTATTGAAGTCTTATAATTTAAGCCTCCTTTGTAATTTCCATAAGGGGCCAAAAACCCACCATCGACATTCTCTTGGTAGCGAACAATAAGATCAAGCATGTGTTCCTCTTTTAGTCTACGCTTTTCTCTGTCTTTTTCCTTCTTCTTCTTTGAAAGCCCAACCAAAGACCTGGACGTTGACAAGTTATCCTTGGAAAAGGAGCTCGATGCAGATCTTGTCTCTTTAGCTGGTGCATTACCCATTGTGGTAGTTCAATTATAGTGATATGCAAGCCAGTGGTATATGAGGGCCAGATTATACTGGACTGAGAAACCAAGTTCTAGTAGCAAAAATGAATCTTAATCAACAGGTTGCTAATTCTCAATGCTTGATAGCCTTCCTTACTTATGTTCAGTGACAACAATCTTCTCAGTATTGATATCGACAAGTATAAGTGAATAGAGAAACCTGGTGAATCCAATTAGTAACGAATCCTACTATACAAAGATTCTAAATCACTTTTAAGTTTATCGGAAAGGCTCGGTTTTTTTGTTTTACAAGTTTTGTTGCACTATTATGACTGCTCCACGGCAAAAAATATTTGGTGGGGAGACGAAACAAAAATAGTTAGCTTTTTCTACTTGAGAAGATCGTTGCTATAGAAAACAATTTGATCACTGCCGAGATCTATCAAACACTTCCATTTTGATAAAAACTTACACAAGTTTGAAGACAGACAATCTGTTCCAGCTATGGATAATATCAACCAGAGCAATTAATACAGCGATCGAATTACTTATCAACCACAGTTTCTCAGTAAGGACACCGACACACCATGACGGGAGCAAAACATTGGGCTAGGAACAGTATAAGCTACGTGCTCGATCCCAGTAATCAAGAGATGTCAAATCATGGAATTCATTCGCTCGGTGTGAACTCCCTTGAGTATGATAAATCCAATGAACTTTTGATTTCTGGAGGTAGAGACGGAATGGTCACTATCTATTTACCCACAAGGAGAGAAAACGAAGGTTTAGTTTTTGATGAATTCGATTCTAAACGACAAAGCAGCTACGAAGTCAAAAGATTCATTAAAGATAACCTGTCAAATGAAGAAAGGATCTTAGCTCTGGAGCAGAGCATCAGAAAGGGAATGCATCATGAACGACGACAAAATTCACAATTTCGTGCCACTAAATTCTCTCAATTACATCTTGATTGGATTACAGATTTGAAAATAATCGATGACAAGCCTTTAGTTGCATCTTGTTCACATGATCTGTCAGTTAAGGTTTGGAACTATAGCACCAATACAACATCGACGATAGGATTTCACGATGATTATGTGAAGTGTTTGGCGTATGATGGGAATAGTCTCGCATCGGGAGGCCTAGATAACACAATCAATATCTGGGACTTGACAAAAGAAAAGCAGGAATCTTTTTTCAAGAGTAAGACAGAAAATGGGTCAATATACTCAATCGCCAGTCTCGGAAACATGATCATTTCAGGTGGACCTTCTCAAATAGTACAATTGTTTGATAAAAGGACTATAAGCAAACCGATTAGATCGTTTGTTGGCCACACGGACACGATTCGCTGCCTTTCTTTGAAAAAATCTGCATTTTTATCGGGATCGTCCGATTCTACTATCAAGCTCTGGGATCTCAGGACTAACCGCATACTCCGAAACTTTGATATGCATGAATCTTCGGTATGGTCTCTCTATGTTCCAGAAGATCAAAATGAGTTTGAGACATTTTTCTCTGGAGACAAAACTGGAAATTTGATGAAAACAGACTTAAGATCGTCAGACTTCAGTTTTGATATCTTAAAAGAAGATTATCTTGACTCCAGAGTCAACAGAAATCTTGGAATTACAACTTTAATTTCCAATATAAATACCAACAACAAAGAAGGTATCGGTGAGTCAGAATTGAACCAAACAAGTGGTGTCTTAAGTATTACAGGTTCTCATGATTCGATATGGACTTCAAGCTCTAATCCAGATTTGGAGTTCATTACAAGCTGGCCCATTCCTAAGACCGATAAATTCCTCATGTATCAGGGAATCAAATTGAACAGGAACTTATCGTTATTGAATACAAGCAGTCGAAAGTCTTTTGATTCATCACCAGGCGATAATTTTGATATTGCCAGTCAATTGTCGAGCGAAAACTTAGATCACATTGATGACGTTTTGATGTCTCAGATGAGAATGAGAAAACCTACTTTTGACATAGGAAGCCCTATTGCTCGTGAGGGCAGCGGAAGGGTAAACTTCGTGCTCGAAAATTCTGACAGTGAATCAGAACTTGAGGAAAGTCGCTATTCCTATTTTGTGAACGTCAACGGTGGACCAAGTTCAGAATTCATCTTGAGCGAGAGAGGCGTCGAGAGCAAGACTGAAAATGGAGATCCAGAAGATACATTGGAAATCGTTTTCCAGAGATTGCCTGAGAGCTTACTTTATGCTACACCGTTCGTCAGAGAACCGTTTGAAGCTATAACGGGGGCACACGGACTCATAAGATCACGTCTCTTAAACAACAGGCGTCACGTTGCGGTTATGGATGATGATGGTCAGGTATTTCTGTTCGATATAGTCGTCGGCCGACTGATAAAAACAATAGATCATACAGAATACACCTCAGATATTAAGAATCTAGAGTTGAACGACAGATTTGACCAGATAGTTCAGTCATTACAGTCTCAGGAATCTTTGCCGATGTGGTGCACTGTTCAGGCAAAGGCTGGAAAATTATTGATTACAATGGAAGAGTCAAAATTTGCCAACTGCCAAATATACCTGGATGAATTTGAATCTAGTTATGATGACTATACGATAGATTGCCATGAAAAACTAGATCCAGAATCATCGAAAGTGAATATCGGTGAGACGGTTCTCAAATCATTGATGGTTGAATTTACCGAGCTAGAAAAAAAGAGTTTGAAGTCTAAGACTTTCACTGAACTTGCAACCCAGCCAGTCACTAAATCGACTTCCTCGAACTCAACTTCGGTTTTGTCAAAAATGATCAACAAGGAAAACCTGGTCTCTTTAGCAAGCGTTAACGAGTCTTTGGGAGAAAAATCTCAAAGTGAAAACGAGAAGGACAAGCCAATAAGAAAAATGTTTGGAAGACATCGTCCTTCGATTACGTCTACCCCGTCTTCCAAGGGTGTAACAGATACAGGAAAGAATTTGGACGATCACTCAAAGGCCTCAACTGAAGAACAGATAATTGAGTCAATCACAGAATACCGAGAGATGCAGAACGCTATTGTATCGGGACAATTGAAAGTCAAAAAATCAGTTGATCATAACCCGCTTATAGGGATGGACAAAAACATTATGATAGTGATCAATGAAGAGGGACAAAATGCTACCAGAGCGCAGCTCAGCACAAAATTGACGGAGATCGAGAAAAGATTCGATGACCTTGAAGGTACAGTTCCATTATGGGCTTACAAATACTTGCTTTTTGGAAGTGCACTTATAAAAGAACTTCCAAAGATTGTATTTGTGCTTGTACCTCATTCTTCAATTAACGATCCCCTGATGAAAGACTTCAACTCCAGTCGTTTGAATGCCAATCCGCAATTGAGAATCGCAAGAGTAGCTGACTTCGTCAAAGAAAGGCTTCCTGATTTGTTGCAAGATAAGAAACTTCAGTTGATTTGCAAGGACCAAGTCCTCGATCCCAAAATGACGTTATTAACCATCAAATCTAGAATTTGGAAAACAAGTGGAGATTTAGAGCTTGTTTTCAAATTTTTATCTTGAATCTATTTATTTGTGCAGGAAATATACTATTACCCGGCCTCGATTAATGATACGGTTTTCTTGTGGAAGAAATTTTTAAGTTCAAATCTAGAAAAATAGTTAGTTGATTATCGGTTTGGCTTCTTCAGCAGTTCATCGCAGTTCTTTTGATTCGAGCATCTCATTACAAAAAGTATCATATTAGGTAACAACTACAGTTGTGAAGAAATTCAAAGGTTAAATTCAATATAGTCAAAAAATGGACGACGTCGAGCGTACTACCTCTAGACTTTGGAGAGCTTATAGAACTATCAAGGAAATGGTGAAAGACCGTGGTTACTACATAACACAAGAAGAGATTGACATTAGTCTTGATCAGTTCAGAGAAAAAGTGTGCGATTCTATGGGAATTCCACAACGGAAGCTGATGTCTTTCCAAGCTAACGCATCACAAGAGGCTGCCGAGAAATATGGAGACCTTGGACCATTGTGGGTTGAATTTTGCGATGAGCCTTCTGTTGGAATCACCACAATGAAGAACTTCTGTCAACACATTGCGGACAAAAACTTTTCAACTAGCATTTTCATTTACCAGCAGAACATGACACCCTCGGCTACTAAAGCCATAGCAGTCGCGGAACCTGCAACTATTGAAACTTTTCAAGAGAGTGATATCATTGTCAACATAACCCATCACGAACTAGTTCCTAAACATATTAGATTATCGACCGAAGAAAAAAAGGAACTTTTAACTCGGTACAGATTAAAAGAATCACAGCTACCACGTATACAAAGAGAAGATCCAGTGGCACGTTATTTGGGACTGCGTCGTGGTCAAGTTGTGAAGATTATCAGAAAATCTGAGACCTCTGGAAGATACGCTTCTTACAGAATTTGTCTTTGATCGGACTCGCTCTCCGTTTCAACTTTAATCATCCAAAAGTTTCAAAACGTTGGTAACGTTAGGTAAACTTACTATATAAGAATATTGTACAACATATATGTTTAACTCCGATGGTCCTGTTTGTTCAATCTGGCACAAACGACGCTATCTCGAATACCTTTCCACCAATTAACTTCAGATAGTCTGAGCTCGTTCATCGGTGAAACCTCCACACCCGACTTGCCAAGAAAAACAGGACCGATTGTAATAATCAAAGAGTTTATCAAATGAGTGTCCTCGTTTGAGGTAGCACAAGACAGTAGACTTTCTATAATAGAGGCACCTCCCTCTACCATAACTGAGTTTAAAGTTTGGCGACCCAATTCGGCAAATACGTCTTCCCAGACAAACCTTGCTTCAGAATTCCTGTCCAGATCAATCAGAATGATCCTATGTTTTTGGCAAAATGTGTTGATTTGGGGGTTTTGATTCAAGACTAGGCTGTCCACAACTACAATTGGTGGCAAACCAAGTCCCTCCTCGGCCGTTTTTCTCAGTCTTGACGTTTCGTACTTGGCTCCAAGTTGAAACGTCGGGTCGATTATCACTGGACGTATTAGATGGACTTTTTGCTCCATCGGAGATTGGAAACGACAGTTTAAACCCGGATCGTCTGCCAAAAATGTTCCTATTCCAATCAAGATAGCATCATGTTTTGACCTGATATAGTGTGTCATTGTCTTTGTCTCCAGGTGAGAAATAACAGTTTGAACCCCTGGAGCCTTGCTTATTCTTGAATCAAGAGACTGTGCATAAGTCAAGGTGACGAACGGTAATTTAGTATTTAGACCAGTTTCGGAGTTAACTTTTGTTGTTGGGGGCAGGTATCGGTCCAAAAATGGGATCAGTGTTGGAGCCAGTGGACTCAATGGGGCCATTTTAAGAGAGTCTTCAAAGTGACTGATACTCTGTAAAATACAGATGTTAAATTTTGAGCCAATGACTTGAGCTATATGGAGACAACCTCAAAATTGAATACGTTGTTTGTACCTTCTTTTTTATTTATACAATTCTGGTCATTTTGGAATTAGGGAACCAAGAAAAAAAAATTACGAAAAAAAGAAGAAATATTAATGAATATCTAAACCGTATGATATTCAGAGGTTATAGAGCGAAAATTCGCTTATATTTGTGTTACAACACTAATTGTACACCTCGAATATGCTATTCTACCATTCGATATAAATCTACGACGGGTACTACATCCGTGGATCAATTTCTTCCAACGTTGAGAGATATGATCTCTAAGTTGCCTAAAAGTTCTCTGCCGTATTACAAACAACTGCTTGCTTTTGATGAATACCTTTCCCATAATTGTACATTTGACCTGAAGAAAGGGGAAGTGATCGGCGATCCAGATCTTTTTTGGGAGAGCGTTTATAAGGTGATGCCTCTTTATGAAAAGCTTTCGACTACGGGCGAGATTGATGACCAACGAATGGATTCTCTCATATCAATGCTCAGAAATGGATTGAGAATGTATCGTTTTGAACTTTCGAAACAAAAGAAGAACTTTGATAAGGACTCGTCGCACTCTCTGAAAAATCACAAGTTTCATCTATCAAATTCTCTGAAGCAATTGACGGATGAAATTTTAAGAAACCCCACAATAGGAGTAAGTGCCGCAGGAGTTGCAAACTTGTTCAAAGCCTACAAGGACTTGGAGTTTGTTGATGAAGCGGTCAATTTTTGGGAAAAAGGAAAGGAAATTCCCAGACTAAAACCTGTTTTCAACTCGGAAACTGTCTTAGGAAGTGTGATTCAGTTCCTAGTTGACACCGGAGATTTTGATCTTTCAGAAGTTGACCAGATCTATGATCAAATAAAGAAGGGAAAATCAAAAATAATTGAAGAAGAGCCAGAAGTCCACTCAGAGTTGATGATTGGAATGATCAAAGCTTATCTGGCAAAGGGAGACAACGAAAGAGCTGGTAATCTATTTAAGCAAATCACAACAGATGTCTGTAAGGAATATGAGGAACTTGCGATGGATGTTCCTCCAAATGTGCTGAGTTACATGACTAAGGCCCATTTTGCATTTGTTTGTTACTCAACAGACACTAATACTGCCGATATGTTCTTTGAAAGTGCAGCCAAAGGCCAGCTACCCTACCCTACGCCACTCTTGTTAAGTTTCATCAAGCCCTACATGCTCAACTCCTGGGTCGCAGACGGTAGTCTTACAAAAGTTCGCTACATTTGGGAAAAGACATGGTTATTCAATGAGAAAGCGAAAAGATCAAACTCCTCAATTTCTTCTTCTTTGAATGATCTATTTTTCAAGATTTTTTTTGCGAAATACCCTAAATGTGATGCCGAAGGAGTTCAAACATTGAAAAATGTGATTAAGAGCTATTCTAACATAAGAGCAATGGACGAGCCATTTTTCAATTGTTTGCTTGTTAATTCCTCCGTCTGGGCAAATACCAAGGTCTTCAAAACTATATTAAAGGCTGCTGATCTATACAACTTTCAGAAAACAAATGTCTTCTACCGCTGTTGCCTAAAATCTTCCGGAGCAGTCAACCTACAGGTGTCTGAGGTTCATGGTCTTGTTGAAAGCTTGTTGAATTCCAATGTGGCATTGGGATACAAAAAAATTGCCAATGCTGACTGGTTGGCTATACGAGATGCCACTATAAATTCCGAAAATCCTACAAACCAAAAGATTGATTATTATTTCAAATTGTGGAAAGTCTGTTCACCTTACTTTGCTGAAGTTTCCAATTACAGTTCATATCAGCGCGCTGATATCAAGCTGAACAAAGCCTACGCCTATATCTACAAAAATATTAGGGAGATTGACGCAAGTGAAATACAACTTCCACAATTGGATTTCTTTACCAAAGATGAATCTCTGGAACAGCGAGTTTCTTAAAAGATCAACTGAATCCATGATCAATCAAAATAATTAACCTGTATATATATATATGTGTCGTAAATTAATGAATAAACACTGATTTTCTAATTTTTTCTCAGGTTTGAGCTCCCCCCCAACAATCTGTGCAACTGGTGCTTGAAGGCATCAATACAACCACAAGGCCTACTTCAGTCAATTTATAAGCGCAGTATTGCTATACTGGAGACGTCTTCATAAGAAGTTTGCCAATGGGAATTTGTGGTTCCAAAGAAGCCCGCGGGTCGTCACCAACCGCTCTCCCAAACTCTACGGAGCCCAAAGTTCAGAAAAAACCGCCAACGTCAAACAAGCGTAAAGATGGACATAGATTGGGAAGCTCTACGGAAACCGAGAAGCCCGATTTAAGCGCAAAAGATCTGGCTGCAAAGGCCGCTCAGGAAAGATTTGATCAAGAAAAGAAGAAGAACGAAACGGGACAACTCGGGAAGAAGTTAGCCGTAGAAAAGAAGAAGACTTCAAAGGATCACGCATTGGAGACGTACACGAACAAAAACAAAACAGAGCTGGTTTATGATTGATTTAAAAATAAGCGTTATTTCCATAGTATACCATAACCCTTCGGTATACCTGTTTTGCTGTTGTTGACGGATAATGTCAAACAGTGATGTATATCTTGATAGATGAATGTCATGAACGACTTCCACTTAAATAAATAAAGGGTTGGAATAATTGTTATGGCAATCAGTTCAAGTGATAACAACTTTTTTTTTGCAAAAGGTAAACAAAGCTTTCTAACGTGATGGGTCTTCTTTCACGAAGAAATTCAAACGACTCGGTTGCAATACACGAGCAGTTCAGATGTGAAAGCTCGAAAGAATCCTCCCTTGTTTTCACAGATTACCAAAATTCAAAGCTTTTCCAAACCCCTTCATTATTTCGAGATCACAAGGAGAATGTGCGCAATACGAGATTTAGAAGTGAACTCATACCAGAATACAAAGACATTGCCAAAACCTCTGAGTTGAATTTTTCAACGAACGTTTCCACGAGTGTGACGACGGCAACTTTGGCTGACGATACTGTGTCCGCTTATCAAAACTCGATTTATTCATCCAATTTCGATAACCGAAAGCATCAGCGTAAGGTTGATGAGGAATTCATATACGAAAACGGAGCTTTGAATGATGATAACACTACGCATGTTTACCTGCCGTCTGCTCATAGGCTTTCTGCTGAGGTACAACATCCAAAATTGTTTAGGAAAATATCGATGAACAAGCAGACGCAAGATCATGATCAAGATATGACTGCCTTTTATCCCGAGTCTCCTCTTTTGTCAGTAGAAAATCGGGATCTATCAACGTTCCACGTTAACTCACATTCAAATTTGCAGATGAAGATCCCGAACCAAAAAAGAGAGTCCACAATTGATCCGAAGTCCACAATTGTCTCGCAAGTCAGAAAGGTTTCACAAAAGCTTTTTAGCAACAGCAATCACCTATATTCCGACGAATTTGAAGACCAGCAGCAGCATCAGACTCGTGATCATAAGCCCCTAACGGAATTATATGCAAATCAACCCAATCTACTGAACACCATTGACAACTATATTTTGCATGAAGATGAGGAAGCGGAAGAGATTAGGCCATTCTTCTCAAACTCGTACGACAGGACAGCTAATCGCAAAAGTGATCAACGTCAAAATTATCGAAGACTATTCGGAAATATGAACGAAAACAACGATTATCGATTTTATGGTTCGATGTCCTTCAAAGAGCAGTTTGATGATGCAGCCTCTCCATTACATTTTAATTCACCTCATGATTACAAAAATGTTCATTACCGACACAATTTAGGACTCAAGATTATCTCAGGAGCAATATATCTGATCACAATAGGAACTATCTTTTTTGCATTGATCAAATTATTCATTTTCAGGAACTTGGATAATCACCTTACAGATTTCAAGGTCAACACAATCGACAATATTGTTGTTAGCCATGAACTTCTAATTTTTGAGCTTGATGTTCTGGCCAGAAATCCTAACATGCAAGACGTTTCAATTTGGAATATGGATTTAGATGTCTTCTTACTAACAGATAGCAAAAACCTCGACCAGACTGGCTCCCAAATGGAAAATTCTCCGGGGAAACAGTTTGATGTCACTATTTTGTTAGGAAATTCAGGCAATTTTGTTACACCATTAGATTTCCGTGGGATTCTGAGCAGATCATCTAATGCAAATGGCATCATACCGACTGTACAAGATATCTTTTATAATCTCAAACACAAAGATCAATTGGAAATTACTTCGTCAAGGGGTCAGATCAAAATAACACAACCGGGACATGGATTCAAATACAATGGCCAATATTTGAACGACGAACAGTGGACCAACATAATGAACAATCAATTCAAGCTTCTTGTTCGTGGTTCCTTCAGCTACCATTTGCCAATGTCTTCCAATGATGAGCTTATGAGTGTTTCTGCGGATGTAAAAGTAGAACCAAACTCTTCTAATATTAACTAAGATGTCTATGTACAAGTTTTACAAATGAAGCGGTTTATTTTAAATCTTCAATATCTTTTATCAGCAGACTTAAATCTCCTCTACTTTTAGAGTTGATAGCAATTCCATTCAACTTGTCCGCGTCGGCTTTTTTCAAAAACGCTTTGTCCACTGCTGGACAAATGCCTTTTCTTGCAAGTGAACAAACGTCACATCGAGGTCGCTGAGGAAGACAGACCATCTGTCCAAACCCGACTAGAATTGGATTTATTTTGGACCACTCTTCTTTGTAGTCTGTGAGCATGCTTTCCAAACATTTTCTGACATATTCGGGAGTCATGTTCTTAGAAGCTGGGATCCATTTGTAAATTCTCGCCATTCTTTGCATGTGAGTATCTACTCCAATGCCCGTACATATGTTCCAAGCTATTTGTAACAATAAAAATCCCATTTTAGGACCAACTCCGGGGAACGATATTATTTCTTCGATCGTTTGGGGAATGTCTCCACCATGTTGATTCTGCAAAATTTCTGCGGTGCGCTTGATATATGTTGCCTTCTTTCTATGGAACCCCACTTTGTAAATTAATTCATCGAGTACGGATTCATCGACGTCTAGTATTGCCTCCAACGATAAGCCGTCTTTGTATCCCTTAGACAAAAAGTATTGATGTAATCCATCCATCACCAGGCAGTTGATTTCGTCTTTGGTTTGAGAGGAAAGCATCAAGGATATTAAACATTGGAATCTGTACACTTTTCCTTCGGTGAGGCCTGAAATTGTAGATGCTATATTACTGCAACCCATCGAATCGACAGGTGCTTTGATTTTTGCTCTCATAATTTTGATTTCATTGTACATCGGCCAAAAGTGAGGTGGTGGTTGAAGAGAAGGCTGAACAGAGGACCCACTAACTGACGCACGTTCAAGTTCAGGCTCAATCTTTACTTGAATGCGTCGACGTTTAGAGGGCCTTGCAACACGTTGAGTAGAAATCCGTGAGTCTTCGTGCTCTTCTTGCTTTATTTTTCCCAGAGACGGGGTATCTGTTTGTGCCTTCACAGCGGCATTTGTCGACCTTCTGGTACTTCGTTCAGTGAAATAAACGCTCCGCTCAAACTCTTTCTTAACTTTCTGCAAACCCATAAGTAAGGACTCAAGTTTTGGATTTATCTACTTCACGATTACACAGTGTATAATTTATTTTGAGCTAAAAAGCGTTTTTATTCATTACTAGATCGCGAAGCCGCACAATTTATAATAACCCAGTGTTTATTGGATTTCGAACTGAGCCAGAAGGGGAAGGTGATCACTTGGATAGCATCTGTTTGGGAACTGAAGAAGATCGCTCGGAATTTTGGGGTTCAAGTCCCCAAGAACTTTCGAAAGTTTCAAGTTCTTGCTATATTTGTTGATCCAAATATAATCAATCAGTCTTTCGAAAGCTTGACTATGTTTGCTCTCTATAAATCCAGGTGAATTGACAAATGATTTGTACGATGAGCAGAATTGTAATAGCCCTGTCTTAATGACTGTATCATTTGCTTGCCCGTAATCGAACGGAATTCTATAATCCTCTCCGATGGCAAGATAACCTTTGTCTAAATATTCGTAAACCATGGAGTCTGGGGCGGAATTGAAATCTCCTACTAAAAACACGTTTGTACGTCCCTCGCGCATCAATTCCTCGAGATCCGCATTATTGACGGAAAAGTGTTGTTTCATTGTTTGCTTTATTAGGCCCACGAGTAGATATGTCTGTAAAAGCTTCACGTCTGAATATTGTGGTGACCAATAAAGATGCGTATTTGCTAAGAATATGACCGCTCCAGTACTCTTATGCCGTAACGTAACTATCAATGCAACTGTGTTTTGCTTGACAGCTCGCTCATGTAGATCCTTTGTCTGTATAAACAAGTCGGGGGAACTGAAATGAGCGGCCAGGTCGACTGGCTTGCAATCAAGCAATTCGAATTTTTCTGTGTTGTAGAACACCGATACTCCGTCCATTTCCTCCGGACTTTTCTTCCAATAACTCGATGCCCGTTTTCTTTGGAACAAAGACTCATATCCTTGTTTTCCCAAAAGCTCTTTCCAACATTCAGTGTATACTTTGAACTCCATCTCTTGAAAGCACATAAGGTCGACCAAGCTGCATAGGTCCAACATATTCTGGTTTATTAGAGGCAAGCGAAATTCCCAGCTGGTATATTTAGGAGCTATGTGATCATAAACGTTTTCCCACATGTAATGCTGTGATAAAAGATTGTAGGACGATACCGTGATTGTGTCTTTGCTTGGAACTGAATCAGGGCTGACGGGAAACCAATTTCTTCGTGATGTTATAGTGTTTTCTACTTCTGTTGAAAATGATCGCCCAAAAACAGCCACTCTTGAATGAATCAAAATGCGCCTCATTGCAAGATTAACTTGTAAATTCTTATAAAGAAGCTTTTTCCCCAGATTTTTTTTTCTTTGGTACATAGTCCCAAGTATCAAAGCATTTCAAAATAACAGCTTATAATTAGCATATAAGTTACGTAGATATACATTCATATGGATTAGGCCTTTCTAGAAGAGCTGCCATCCCTGAAATCAACCTTGACTTTCTTGTTTGTGGTGTTTTTCTTGAACTCAAACTTGGTAATTAGAGGTAAATGGTCAGAAACGAAGTCTGCGCTAGGCAGACCAACAACCCTTTTGGCATAAGTTGGGTCCATCTCACCAAGTAATCCCTTCACAGACAAAGTCCCTGTTGAGTACCAGATGTATTCAATTACCTCGGTGTAAGTAGGAGTGAAATTTGTGAACGGTAACTCGTTGATAGCTCCGTACGCCGATTTCAAGTGGAATGGATGATTAAATCCTTCTGATGTGAATTTTCCATAATCTCTTCCCTTGAAATCATAATGTTCTTTGACTGCTCCTTGAGAAAACAACTGATAAACTGCGGAATCTGTTTGAGAATTGAAGTCTCCACATATAATCAATGGAATCTTGTTGAGCTCATCTTTGCTATTAGTGTATTTCAGCAAAAGCATTCTCAACTCCTCCAAAAGAACGGCAACCTGCATCGTCTTCACGTCATTAAATTCCGGATCCCAATGCAAATGGGTATTTGCCAAAACTACCTTGCTTCCTGTTGGAATATGATATAATATAGAAATGGATGCAATGTTGTCCTTGTTCATGAAGCGGTTGAAAATGTCTTCTGTTTTCTTGTACTTTTCTTGACTCATGACCACTCTTCCAAACTCAAGGATCCGTTTATCAATCAATTCAAACATTGAGGTCTTGTAAAATGTGGCACACCCGTCCACCTTCTTGGCGTTTTTCTCGTTCATGGTCTTGGCTCTACTCTTACAATGGAACACGCCCTTATAACCATTTGACTCCATCAATGGTACCCAATACTCCTCGAATGTACGAGTTTCAACTTCTTGCAAGCAAATCAAATTTGTTTTATAGGCAAGAATCTCTTCGGTAAGCTTTTGTCTTCTGTAATCCCAATCTAAGGCCCAGGACGGAGTGTATTTGTACATCTTTGGAGTGGCATAATGTTGGCACAAAGTGTTGTAACTCATCAAAGTGAATGAATTGTTGCTCATGGCTGAAAGGTCGTAATCCTTTGCGGGTTTTAGATCATCCGTGCCCAAAAATGGTTCACCGTCATCGCCTATCTCGATCCATTTACGAGGCTCTGGAGGTGGAAGACGAGGAGCTTCATCTCTGAGGTAAATTATCAAGCCCCTAGTACCTTTTTTTGCAATGATGTTCACCAAATCTTCGCTAAACTCTGCGTTCCCTTCAATTCCCAAAAATTCAAGCTGGAAAAGGTTTCCAAATTCGAATGGGACAGATTTCAGGTTGTTGCCAAAAAGGTATAGGTATTTCAGGTTGAAAAGCATACCAAGTTCAGAAGGGACTTCCGTGAGCTTATTAAATGATAAATCAAGAACCCTGAGCGATTTCAGCTTGAGGATTGCATCTGGAATATGCTGGAGGTTATTGCCGTTCAGATATAATCTTCTCAAAAACCCATAGTGAAATAGCTTTGGAGAAATACTTGCGATCATTTGTCCACTCAAATCCAAAGCTGTCCAAAGTTGTGTGTTATTTTCCTTAATTCTTATGCGTTGGTCTTCTTCTTCCTCATCCATCGAAACATCGTTCGTCGTCTTCTTGTGCTGCATCAAACCTTCATTCACCTGCTGTTGGTCCTGACTCTGTTGACTTTCTTGAACACTAACCAGAAGAGACTTTGTGATGTCTACCAAAGACGATCCTTGTTTACTCACAGAATCTGACCCGTTCAAAAGCTTTCGTGATGAGGAAGCAGCTTGTCTCGCATAAAAATGAGGTAGGTTAGAATTCTTTGCAACATGGGCTAGTTGAACTTGATGCTGCCAATGAGCTTGGTTTGAAACTGAGCCGTCAACAGGGATTGGGTTTAACTGCACTTGTCCGCTAATCTGAGCGTTTGGAAAAAAGGACTGCTGTTGTTGTTGTGGTTGTTGTTGTTGCTGGGCTGAAAGAGAATACAACTGTTGTTGCTGTTGCTGTGGCGTTCCTGGTTGTTGCAACTGCTGCAATTGTTGATGCAAATTCTGAAGTTGACTTTGTTGGCTCTGCTGATTATTAGGACGGTAGCCTCCTTGATACAAGGATTGCGTCAGAAAACTTGAAGGATTCAAACCCTCATTTTGAGATTGAGCATGATGCTGTTGCCTTTGCACAAATCCATCCTGTAAGGAACCAAACGGTTGTGCATGTTGCTGTTGCTGCTGCTGCAAAAGGTATTGGGATTGAAATTGTTGAGCTGTTGGCGGCTGCTGGGCTTGTGACTTCTGCTGAAATTGGGATGCGGTATTCATCGAGAACGAGTTATCTGAAAACGATCAGATAGGAACTGTGAATAAGCAAATTGCAGCTTAGTTGAAATGAGCGGTCTGCCCAATTATAGATCTCTCCAAAGTGCACAAATATGATAGCAAAATAAAGTTGAATGAATTGATACAAAAGTTTCTATTCATTCGCTTCTAAGACCTATGCGTAAGCAAATGGCAATGTTGCGAGAATTTCTAGCGTAAATAATAACCCTGGATATGTAGTTCCAGTGTAAAACCTTATTAACACTTAATCGTCTGCAATAGCCAATGTGATGTCAAGTAATAGTCAGATGATTTACTCGTTCTAAATGTCAATTATGATTGTCAACTTTTTTTTGTTGTCCAACTTGAAAACATGTAATAAAACAACATGATTACATAAGCAATCTCGGCAAAGTAGAAGACTTGGAAATTGTAATGGCAGTGCTTTTTTTTTTTCACCCTACGCTAAAATTTTAGGATCTCTATCTTCAAGCTTAGAGACTCAAAGGTCAGTCAGCGCCTTTCATTTTTCATTAATACGTTTAAGATGAGTTCTGCCTTATCTTCTAATTGGAAAAGGCTTCAGAAAAAGCGAAAACGAGACGATTCAGGTAAACAAGAAATTAAAACTCGACCCAAATTCACCAAAAATGGTTCAAATAAACCAAAAGCATCGATAACTGTATCTGATCTAGCAGATCACACTCCTAAATTACAAAAGCTAGATGTAGCAAAACCTGTTAGCAATCGCCAGAAAGAAATAGGAAAGTTTGTGGCAATGGACTGTGAGTTTGTTGGTGTTGGAGAAGATGGAGTAAGATCAGTTCTTGCAAGAGTTTCGCTTGTAAATTATCATGGAGTCACCATTTATGATCAGTTTGTTATCCCAACAGAAAAAGTGACCGACTGGAGAACGGCTGTTAGTGGAGTCACTCGTGCCCACATGAAAGATGCAGTCACTTTCAAAGAAGCACAAGAAAAGGTAGCTAAAATATTAGACGGGAGGATTCTTGTAGGTCATGATGTTGGTCATGATCTGGACGTTTTGATGCTTTCACACTCACGATTTATGACTAGAGATACAGCTAAGCATACTCCATTCAGGAAGAAGTACGCAGCAGGAAAGACACCATCTTTGAAGAAATTATGCAAAGAGATTCTAGGAGTTGAAATCCAGTCCGGTCAGCATTCGTCTGTTGAGGATGCAAGAGCAACAATGATGATCTACAAATCTGCCAAAAATGAGTTCGAAAATCAACTCCAAAAGACCAGGGGAGCGCAATCTACTTAATGACATGTTCGATAGAATTATAGCTGAGATGATATTTCATAATATACTGTAACTAATTTATTACCTGACATGCGAAAATCAGTATAAACGCCACCTTCAATCTTCTTGGGCATGGGAAGCAATCACTTTATCAAGCATGAATGTTATAAAAGTCAGTCTTTTGCGTTTGAGCTCCATTTCTGAAGCTTTGGTTGGATATGATGTGCCCGAATTTGTTTCTGAGGAATCCCAACTTTTGATGCCAGCCAGTCCTGATTCATCCACTTTTCGTAACAGTTTTTGTTCATAAAGATCTCGCTCATTATACTCAGGAGCCACAATCATCTTGGACGTTATATCCAGTGTCGTATGTAGGAGGCGAGTGGAGCTAGAGGTTTCTGCGACTTTCCTCATCGACTGAATGATGAGATTAAATGTGCACCACGCCAAGTGAGGCATTCTTTCCCAAATTGCATCATATAATCGCAGGCATTTGAAAATTATGGTCTCATCGCCTTTCTGAGTATTGAAAAACTTGCAAATAATGAAGAAGCTCACATAGATGTCAAGAAGCTCGGTCTGGTAATAATCAAAGAACGCTTTCGGCACCTGGTAGTGTTCTGAAATTGGAATCATCTCACACTGAGTCATGCCACATTGTTCCAGAGTTTCAACCAACTCAGTATCATTTTGAGAAAAAACGAACAAGTAAAAAACGTAGGATAGAGAGTTCATGTCAAAGGGGCCCTTGTCGCCAGAAGCAAACTTCAAACTTTCATGATACCTTATGGAGAATAAACTCTTGAGACACCCATAAGTAGGATCGGTTGCAAATGGTATTTGGAGTCCTTTAGAGCATATACTAATCATTAGTACATCAAAATGCTCTTTGGAGAACTTTAGTCCATGCAGTGCTTCCAATTCCGTTAGTGATGATCCAAAAATGCTTCGCTGCTCGATCAAGTAATCTCTGATACCAATGTGTGACCCTTCCAAATGATGTGCAACCTTCTCTAAAGTTGCCTTGATGAACATGATAGCATACTGGTAGAAGACAACATTCTCTGTCAATGAAAAGGCGAATCCGATCCAAAAGAATTGAGCAACAAATGGAGACGATGAAGGAATACCTTCAATGAGCTTTGTAAACGAGTGTAGCAAAGATATTGCTAAAGGAATTTTCTCGTTTTTGATTCCCATAATGGTATCTTCGTGATCAATGAAAAAGTCGTTTAAACTTCGAAGGAAATTGGTAACAATATTGTGGCTGACTCCATGACGCGTCAAGCTTCCAAGAACCAAAATTGCACGCGGTTGCAAGTGCGCCTCTTTAGTGAAAGCAATATTAAGAACATAAGAATTCCACCTTATCAAACTCAACTCGCAATCGGTGGGGCTGCTGTAGTCTTTCAAAAATGAAACCAGAGACTCTGTCACAGTAGCAATGGAATGGGACTTATTCACCATATCCAGTCCTGTGGACGCTTCCAGTTCGGGTTTCACGCCATCCTCGCGGGTCAGTCCGAAGAGCATTCTGAAACGTGCTCCTTCTGAAAGTTGGATTTTCTCCCTGATTGAATCTATTTGTTTCGAGGTTAGATCTTCTCTTGAAAGGAAGGAATGGAAAGTTCTTGTCATCAACTTCAAGATGCATCCACGGAATTCGAGCGGTCCATAGTCCATGTATATCGTGACAATGTAAAATATATCACTAATGAACTTTTGGACCAACACCGGTGAATCAAAGACCAAGAATGCTAAGAACCTGACAAGAACGGTTGTTTCTGTCCATCTTGTCTGTGCTTCTAATTCAGACTCATCAGTGCATATAATGTATGAGCGTTGCCGTAATCGATGGATCAAAAACCCACACACTTCCGCGGTTGGAGTCAAAGGCCAGTACTTCGTTATCTCTTCCCATTGATGGCCCTCAGCCTCGTGATCAATGGCAGCTGATATAATCTCGTCAATGACTGTTTCAACCAGTCTATCTTCCAAACAAAGTTCGCTCCATATATGAAGTGCAAATGCAAGTGTGGTAGACTTGGATTTTCTGCTTGATCTCACGAACTTTCTGACGATCTCTGTTGTTCGTTTCGGGCCACGATTCGAATCGGCAAGATGGATATACTTGTATATGTTTTTCATCCAAGGCGATGTGTAGATCACATATGCACTCCATTCCGGTTCTGGACAAAGATCTAATGTATCGAAGAACCCTGATAAGAAATCGTAAGTGAGCTCGGGATGATTAGCAGCTAATTGGGCAGACAACGAAAAGACGTACTGGACATCACCATATGGAAATTCCATTCCGCCACCTTTTATCACCCTATTTCCAGCCGAAAGGTTAAAAGAATTAGCCATCGCTGTTAGCAATTGGAAAGATGCGTTCCTAACATCGTCGAATTGGGATAGCAAACCAACCATGTTGATATTAATCAGTTTGCCTATTGACTTTTCAAGAGATCCATCCTCTTCGGGTTCCAGTGTTTCACCTGAAAATTTAGATCTCGAGAAGTAAAGTGTCCGCATTATCTCAACCTTTTTCGGAGACGTCAAAATGAGCTTGAAGTCGGAGGTCAAATCGGTAGTTGAGATCTCGTTGGGTACCCCAGTCAAATTGGATGGAGCAACTGTAGCAAGCTTGGAAATCTGGTATATATCGACCGGGAATAAAGTCTTCATTTCCTTTCCAAGTTTGATCATCTGAGGCTGACCAGAGAATATCTGGAGAAATTTATTTCCAATCTTTAGTTTGACGGGAATGAAACGTTTCACATCCTCCTGATAAATGCTCACATCATGAAATGCAACTCTAGAGTCTCTGCTCACAGCATTGGTGTAGTAGCTAAGTCCCTGTCTTGCTAAAACTTTCTCATCGTCGTTGGAACTCACGAAAAAGATCTCACAACGTCCCAAGACATTAGAATCTTCGAAGTAGTATCTTGCTTTCTTTATGGAAAGAAGATATCTTTGTGAAACATTGTAGAAATACATTCTTTTCATGTTCTTTATCAAGGAGTCTCCCATCAGTGTGAACATTATATCTAATGTTGGCGCTAGTAGTGTTCCGCTGTTGTATGCAGTGCAATCTGTAAGGATACAATATGGACCGTTCCAATACTTGCTTAGTGTCATAAAGATTTGATAGCACAATATCCCCGGTGTGATCTGCACTTCTTCCTCTTCCATTTGAAACATTTCCAATATGATTAATGGATGACCATCTCTCGTGATCGACTCTTTGACGCGTGACTTGAACTGACGCTCAACAAGAGATGTCTGGGACATAAAGTCATAAAGCTGAGCGCCTCTTTCAGAGTTGTCGTTTTTTATCGCATCAGGAATCTCGTAAACTGAAATCCTTTTAGGTATCCCGGCCCGCGCAAGGAATCTGTCAACTTCTTTGATCTTAGTGTATCTCTCTTCCATAGAAACGTTGAAAATCGTAGATGGTTTCGAATATAGTGCTCGGGCACTAGGCCAATGATCATACAGGAAGTTATGGAAAAAGCTGTACTCTGTCTCAAGTGTCCTATTATCAGATAAACTTTCCGGGTCTTCAGAAAAATCGCAATTGTCGTCTATCTTCGTGACCTCAATCATAAAGTGATTGATTTTTGCCTTGTATTCTCTGAGCTGTTCGATCTTACTTTGCAATAAAGGGATTTTCAGCGAAACGGAAGTTTCGTTAGCTAAGAGTTGTAGAATCCTTGCTATTTGCATAAGGGACCGTTTGAGTGGGACTGATGCTGCTTGCATAATGTTAAGTCTTTCCGGTGAGACTATTGCTGGGTTATAAAGTCTCAAAAACAAGAATGCACCCAAAGCTGACAGTTTTGATTCCGGAAAAGAAATCTTTGTGGCTTCATATATGGTATGGGAAATCAATCTTAACCCCTTTGGAATTTCAGAAACAGATTCTGTGATAGCGTTCACCACTAACTCAAAGTACTTCATAAACAGGCGGAGATTCTCGTCGCAATTTTCATCATCTGAAGAGATCTTTTCTACCTCAAAAAACTCACCTGAATCATACAGTTGAACAAAGATAGGTTGGAAGATGCGCACAAGGTACTCCTTGGCAATCCTTTGAGAGTAAAGTGCAACCATTCTTGTTGCAACTGTGTTGGATCTCAAGATTTCGACAAAATCAGAAGTACTCAAAATATCTGCCTTCAAAAGGGATGTCAACATGGAGAGTTCCAGTTCTTGGTCATTGGTGAGAGTTAGTAACGCTTTGGCAAAACCGTCCACTTCTGATGTTGGACAAACACGAACACAAGCGTACAATAGCAGTTTCCCATTTGCAACCAAATTCAGTCCCTCCGTCATGAACTCACGCTTTTGCTTCTCCTTGTCAAAATGTATTTGCAGACTCAAGTCTTTGACAATACTGGAGAACACATTAATAAAAGAAGATCTTATCAAAATGTTTTCATGATATCCGAGAGGTAAAGAGAATTTCAGTCCGATCTCCGAGTTTGACTTTAACAGATTGATTAGGGCTTCGATGATATTCTTGACAATATTTGACGACCTATGACGTGTTGCCAACGATGATCCATCTTCTCTGTATGATACGTTGAGCTCCTCGAGAATTCTGACGAAAAGATTGAAGTAATTGCTGAATGCAACCTCATTGACCAAGTTCCCTTGAACTCGACCATGCATACCAGTATTCGAAGCGTCAATTGGCAGATTCAACAGTATCGTCTTCAATATCAAGGATGATTCCACCTTCAAATCGTAATGAATGTCAAAAAGCTCCCTTTGTGCAAACTCAGACACTTTGGGAACGGAAGACATACTTTCAAGTTCAAGCACCTTGCTGCTCTTTTGCTCGCGTCCTATTGCTGCACTATAATTGAATGACGTTTCAAGATAGTTCGCAACCACTCTAGCGTACTGATTCTTCTTCAAAATGATTCCCTGTATGCACAATTCATCAAATCTGGGCAAAAACAAAGACTGAAGCTTGCACAACTTCAATTTAAGTTTCAAAAACGAAGGCTTATCATCAATGTTAGCATCCATCATCGTAAGAACCTTCATATTGATCTCCCAAAATTCTCCGACATGAAAAAATAATGAGCTGTTATCCACCTGGCTGATTGCACGCAAAACACTGATGAATAGTTCACAAATGTGATAGTCTTTGAGCTCAAATGCGCTCTCGAATCTCCAGAAATTCTTGGCGAGTAATTCCAAGTAAAGACCGCAAAGACTTGGATGCATTGAGACACATAGCACTTCACGGGACTCTTCACGTTGTTTTGGATCATTAGAGAACATATTGATGATTTTTGAGCTCAGTAGTGCTTTCAGATTCTCGTAGTAGACGGGACGCTTGGGGTCATCTGTAAAATCAGGTGACATGATTATTCCACCCATTGAAGCGAGGTAACAAGCATAATCTTCAAACTGATCGGACTCTATACTGAAGGGGCTTGACTCTGAGTGAGGTGATTCGGTCTCAAGTCCTGTCGAAGGCCGAAGACGCTCAAACATGATATTCCAAATCTCTAGAAGGGTCTCATTAGGAACAACTAGTTTCGTCAAATGATCTCTCAATTTCTTCTTCATAGCCATCGAACCCGAAGGAAGCTTATCGGATAAAATCGATCTTGCAAGTTCTACCGCGTTGTCTTGGAAACATCCGACATGGCCGTGGTCACTAGTAACTATTTGATAAAAAGCATTGAGAAGGTCACGAGCTTGTCTGTGAGTATCAGTATTATCGGAAAACAGCCCCAGATAGACAGCTTTTTCAAAATTTTTGAGCAAACCAAAGCAACCATTTGACTCGTGATAATTCTGTACCAGTGGATCGCTCATTCGGAAAAAACTGCTACCAAAGTATTCCACCTTCAAATTTGTGAATTGCGCCATAAGATCAAGCATCTCAATGAGATGTTGCCTGCTAGTATGTTTTGAGATGCTGATTTTTGAAATCACGTCAATAATCACCAGGGAAGAAAGGTGAGCAAACATTGCCTTTTTAGGGTCCACGTTGGAAAGACATTTTGGGAAGTTGACAAGAAACTTTCTGACTGCTTCGGTCACTTGAGGGACACCGCTCTGTATCAATCTCACTATTGGTGTAAGAATCAGTTTCATCTCATCTTCGAACAGATTCAAATCGTTCCTGGCCTCGGAACTGACCGCGTCGAAAAATAAGAATGGATAGTACTTCAAAGTTTCCAGCATGTTGAACAAGCTTCGATGGGATGATAAGGACGTGTTGACTTTCATTTTGATCACGTGTATTCCTTCATCGGGTGCATGGGTGAGCCCACCAGAAGAACTTGAGGCGCTATGAGAAGGCCTTTTGGTGACCGATGGACTTGAAGGAGAAGAAATGGACTGGACAGATTTAAGATCCAATGCCCCAGTGTGACCGGTATTCGACGTCGGCGAATAATTGATACTCGATGATGCATTCGATGAGGAAGATCCGACCACAGACGATGTTGAATTAGTTGAGAGCGTGTGCTTCAACGGTCCCATCACTTTTGAGGAGAAATTCTTCGATTTATGCGTGCTTCTAGCGGAAGGGTAAATCAACTCTGCCTCGGCAGGCGATGCAATTATCGTTCGTTGCGAGACATTCTCTTTAGTTTGAACTGCCTTGGTTAGACTTGAAGATGCTGCAGAAGTTGTTTGGGCAATCTCTGAAGTAAACGTCGATGCTGATTTATCGTTGGAATTTAGCGACGATAACTTCGTCAATTGACCTTTTCCAACCATCTCTTGTTGAAGTGCATCCCTGATGTCGACAATTGACTCGCTTGAGTTTAAACTCGTTATAGATTCAGAGTCATCCGTAGAGGTGGAGTTGACAGTCTCTAAAGACAATTTCTGCAATGTTGGAAGCATATATGGGAAAATAGTCTTGAGGTGTGTGTAAAAATGTTCACTGACAGACGAGTTCTTAATAACTTTCCTTATACCTCCCGTAACATTGGCCATGCATATTGGTTGAGATGAGTAGTTTTGTAGAATGTTGATAGCAAAAAGACAGAGTTTCTTAGCTTTCAAAATGAACCCCGAAGCAAGAACATCAGTCCTATATTGATCCACTAATTCTGGACTGATGTTAGATGGATAGTACTCCATGTTATCCAGATGTAAATCTAGCTTCAATTGGTCAAAAGTCTGAGAGGAGAAAGTAGCCAGTGGATGATCAGTCTCCCAAAGAGAAATGCAACTGCCAACTATGGTGATCTTAGTTAAGCTTTCCGTAGCTTGTGGACATTTCTGTAAGACCTGACTCAAATCAGTTAAAAACTTCTGTTTGCTTCCGGACCGTCCAACAGATCTTTTTAATGATAGACTCGGAAGCTTGGACTGTTTGTCTTCTAAAAACCTTGCGAATGCGCTAGGAACCAAAAGTAAAAGCGTTGACAAAAACCTGTAGTATGCGACAGGATGTAATTTCATATCCACAGATTTGTATACAGATTCGAAGAACGACTCTGCTTGTGAATTGATTTGATGGTTTCTGGTGCAAGTCAAAAAGTTAGAAGTACGTGATGCGGCCCAATTGAACATGCTATCACAAAAGAGATATAAAATCGATGCCTGTTGAGAGTGTCTGGTGCTCATTTGAACCAAATCTTTAATAAGTGTGAGATACGACGCTATGTTATCCGCATCAAGATAGGCGAGCGCAAGAATATCAGAGTTTGGAATAAACTTGGATTCCGAGCTAACACGCCTCAACGATTGCTTAATTGAGTTAAAGAATTCTTGATCGTTACTTGCAGCAATGTATCTGATGATGTGATCGCAGTACTTGTTGAGATTGCTGACTTCTGTGCGCTCTGAAGAAACAGGGTTGATGACAACTGTCTGATTCAATGCGAGTTGTTGTGTGACTTGTGTGATGTAATGCTGAGACTTGAAGCTAATAACTATGATGAGGAATCTTTCTGCAATCTTGCTTTCTATTGCTCTAGGTCTTCCAATGTGGTATTTCTGGTCAGACATAGCCGATTTCGTTATGGTCAACCCTTCGTCGTCGTAAATTGTCTTACCGTTAACCTTCTCATCTTCCGACCGAACGTTGTTCCAGACTGAGTTGAGTAAACTCACAAACAGTTCCAGCAAGATCCTTAGAGAAACAATTGACAAGGTACTTCTTTCTTCAATTGGTATGTTATTGTCTAATTTGTTGATGTTTTCCAAAACGTTAATTGTGCATATAGCAATATCATCTATCCAGATGGTATCCACCACCCTGAGCAGCTGAGATTTTGCCTCTCTGAAATTGGAGTCGGCCTCAACTTGCGAAGCCGTCAGACCGGACCTTATTGGTAATAACGACTCAATTCTCGAATACAGTGCGGCGATTATCGAGTCCACGGGCTTTCGCACCGGAAGAGCCTCGACTTTAAGAACGGCCATGTTGCTGATAAGCCTCAGTCAATAGAATATGCTTAATCTCTATAAAAACAACAATGGTTCGTATTTCTCGATATGTCAACACAATTAGCCTGGTATCTTTTATTTTAAATTATCAAAATCACCTGCAGTTCCTCTAACGTTTTTTTAATTTCCACACTAAATAAAAAACCCTACAGGTATTCCTCGCAAATTGTTATTCATGCAGTAGTGTAGTGCCCATTCGAGCCTAGAGTACCATTCAAGACGGAATTACGGGTTTGTGATAGTGTTGGCCAATGATTTTGGACAAACCTTCATTAGTTCATGAGTAACAACGATAATTCAACAAATCTTGACATCATTGCGGTCTTATCGAAAAACCGTTGCCAGCAGGCGGAAAGTGAAATGCACCCTTACACCAAACGGCATTAATTCTTAAAAGCCATCCTATGATCAAACAGTAGTCTACAAGCTAATTGAAGTCAATGATTAAGCACTATTTAGTATGATTTTAGAAAGCCAGCTTGGTGAAAAACCACTTGTTCTTTCCGGCTTGGTGTCTCTCCTCAAATGCCTTCTTAATCACCTTCTTAGCCTCTTCTCTTTGGGATGGCTCGGACAAAGCCTCGATCGAAACAGCGTTCTTGAAAGATTCGACCTCGAACGAGTATCTGGTTGGCATCAAGTGGTTGTAGTTAATGAGTTTCACAAATGGCTTGATCTTAGTTCTCTTAGCAACCTTCTTGTTTCCCATAGATTTAGTCACCTTGAGTGGTTGTCTCTCAACACCGGCGACAATGGCATGTGGGAATTGGTGGGACTTGGTACCATCATCGTGTGGTTTCACGATGACGACCTTCTTACCAGCGTATCTGCCTCTAACGACGACGGCTAAAAACTGTTAGTATTTTGGGATAATGGGGTCAGGTATCGTCGAGTTTGCCGAATCATGACCAAAACACGGAGTCTCGCGCTCAGTTTAGGTGGTCTAGCTCAAAACCGAGAAGTTTGGCGATACTTGATATTGCTGTTCTTCGTTGTGTTTGAGTGTCTTTCGACTTGGATACCTCGACATGTAACAAAACCGGTGCTCTTGTACTTACCAACTTTGCCTGATTTGATGAACTTAGCCATTTCTATTCTCTTCTTGTCTAGAACGTTAGCACCAACACAAAGAGTAGCTAATGAAGTTTCCTGTAGGAAGTGAAAATTCTCAAATTGAAAAATTTTGTATCGTTTCCGTGCAGAATTTTTGGCCCGTGAAAATTTGGCACTCTCCGTGGTGGAAAAATGTTTGTTACCGGGTAGAAATTTGTGGCTCGCGGGGGGAATTTATTTTCGCCCCATGAACAATTGTGACTAACACGACTTTTGTGTTTTCGTAAGCTTTTATTGTTAATAAAGCATTCTACAAAAAAAACGCAGTCACAATATTTTGGACTGGACCTAGTGTTACCAAAAAGGGTGAATCTGGGGAATAGTGAATAAATGCACAATCAAATAGAATACACTAACGTCTCTTCCTTGTTGTCCGTGCAAGAAGCTTAGAGTTCATCGACGTGACTAGACGAGGAGAGGAGCCATTTTTGCTTGAAGCAATTGTAGAATTCCCTTGAGTAGCTTGTTGAGGCAGAACATGATGGGTCTCGGCCCCAATTGGATCTTGACTCAATGTCTGAGAACTGTTCCACAATGCCTTGTTAATTGCGGCAGAGATCATTGGAGAGTTCTCTGAAAGCACCTTGCGAGTGTTGGGGTCGGACTTGCGATTACCCTGGGCTTTGCTGTTGTTGATTTCTGATTCAGCCCGCATTGAAGATGGAAACTGGCCAGTGCCTCCTGGTGGAGGCTTGCGGATCGGTTTTCCTGCACTACTCGATCTGCTTTGAACACGGTTATGTGGATCTGGACCTGAAAGTAGATCGAAATCAAGTAATGGAGAGCCTGGAGCAATATCACTTGGAAGCTTCGGTGACAAATCAGTCGGTGACATAGCCATATTTGCCGCACGAGATGCTGCCTGATTTCCCGTCGCCATCCCTGAATCTCCAGCAGGATCTTTTTCCATCAAGAGCCTGATGCTCCGTTCCTGTTGCATGAATCGTGCCTTGGCTAATGAATTGGTCCATAAAGAAAGTTCTTGCTTATCAACCTCAAATGCTAATGTCACATTGACAGAAACAATTGCAAAAATACCAGAAGATAAATTACGTGACCGTCTATCTCCAATCACTTCTCTAAAGTGAACGTACGAATTGACTAGATCAATCTCGCTGACACATTGATACTTTTCTTTGTTGCGGTCGTGATTTTCAATGAATAAAAGAGCTCGACCAAAACTGGTGACCACTAATGTTCTTTGTTTGGCAATTGGATCTGTTGACAACGCCTTGTAATGGAACAAATTCTTCAATTTTGATATTCTCTCCGAAGTATTGTTATCCTTGGAATTATCCTCATCGTCTACCTTTTCGGCAGCCTCTTCCTCCGTGAACGTGATTGCATCATCCTCGCTATAAGCTGAAATCACCGAACTTTTTCTTAGCGTAGATGCTTGCCCCAACATCCCAGGGTTAGATGAGTTCAAAAGCTCCCTATTTTTGTAGCCCAGAGGGGACTCGGTGAGAGTTCCTTTGTATTTCTTCTCAAATGCCTCTGTGCTGTATTTGCTAACGTGAACAATACCCGCCCTTAGTACTCTTTCGTCAGGATGGATCAGAAATTTAACCCAGGCCATATCTAGGATTGATAATGGTGGAGTTTCGGTGGTCGTAATTGCAGAAAGTGTAGGTTGCTTGGATTTCATTCCCGAAGAACTCGAAGACCTGTTGAAACTTCCAGTCGTATTAATACGCGTGTTGATAACCGGACGGGGAATATTGGTACCTGGGATCACGTCAACCTTCTGTTGGCTTGACACTGGTCTTGGTTGGATAGAAGCACTGGAAATGGTTGATGCTGGCGAAGAACCTAACGTGCTTGAAGATGTCTTTGATATATTAGGAGGAGCATAAGCCGAAGACGAATAAACATTTTTGGCAATACTGTTATTCGAAGCGGTTGAGGATAATCCCACCTTGGAACTTTTAGTGTTTAGTTTTGGTCCCGAACTGGACTGTGGAGGTCTGAAGTCATGCCTAGCAATCTCTGAACGGTCAGACTTGACTGGGCCGGACTTCGGAGAGCCTGAGGCTGAAAATAGTTTTGGGGTAGGCTGAGTGAGTAATTTCTTCGTGGTTGCAACAGCAGCGGCTGTAGATAAAGGCTGACTCGATACAGTTTTTTCTGTTGGTAAAACTGGCGATGAATTAACCTTTTTGTATTCCAGCGGGTTTGGAAGTCCAAAAATCGTACCATTGTTGCTGCTTAAAGTTGGCGCGGCACTCATATTTGGGCTTGATGAAGTACTTGCGCTTGTGACGTTGGTAGCAGATGCACTCTTTCCTGCGCTACCCAGTCTCTTAACAGTGGCAGACGCTGGAGGGAGCTTTGACTTGTTCAAATCCGGAACAGGAAGCATCGATTTGGCAGACATTTTATAAGGGCCTAATTCGGGAGGAGGTGAATCCCAAATAGATTCCTGATTACTCCAGTCGACACCCCTGAAGAAATAATGTTTCTTGATTTCGGGTAAAGAAATTCTGTCCTTTGGCTTAAGAATCAAAATGCGCTTGACTAGATCTCTGATGACCATTGGGAATCCAGCACTGAATGCGTACTGTAATTTTAAGATCTTTTGAAAAGTGAGATATTCGTTCGTAGCTTTGAACGGTGGCTTCCCTGCGATCATTTGATAGATTATGCATCCCAATGCCCAAATATCTGCTCCCTTTCCACAGTATTTGTCATTTAACAATTCAGGAGAAACGTACTCCGCAGTTCCCACGAACGAGCTTGCTCTTGTGTCGCTCGGATACTCATCGTTGCTATTCTTTTCTAACATTTTTGCAGTCCCGAAATCGGTCACTTTGATCTTCATGTCTGTATCTAAAAGGATGTTTTCGGGCTTGATATCTCTGTGAATGACACCATTGCTGTGCATGTAGTCAATTGCATCCACCAATTGGGTGGAATAATATTTGACTGATTCTTCGTCCATTGTACCGTGTTTCTTGATCAGAGATAGTAATTCTCCATTTGGAGCATAATCCAAGACAAAGTACAGACTTTGTTCATCCTGGAAAGTATAGAACAAATGGATAATTCCATGGCCAGAGCCAAGTCTGTTTAATGCATTCTTTTCGATGTTCACATACTTAACCTTCTTCTCCTTGATGATGTGGCGTTTGTGTAAAACCTTTATTGCGTAAAAACGACCAGTCGTAAGATCGGTCGCGAGAACCACGGTAGAGTAAGAACCTTCACCTAATTCTTTTCCGAGCTTGAAGTTCTTGATCGATTTCCTCACTAATTCAGTGCTGACTTGGCCATCAGCATTCTTCACCTTTCGGAGTATCTGTGCGGCTCCTTTTTCTTGCCATTCCTTGGATGATTGTGGGAGTACAACGCGATCACTTTCAGATACAGGAATCTGAAGTTCTGTGGAACTTTCATCGTCTTCGTCGTCTTCATAGCTCTGATCTGCTTCAGGACTTATTGATTGATGCAAGTTTCTTTCGAGCAATTGCTCTCTAGTGTATGGGATAAAATCACTGACATTTCCTTGTATGCTTGTGGTCTTCTGAGCATCGAGAATATGTGAATTTGGACCAATTCTCGATTGTGACAAAAGGTTGTCGTCGGTCATGTATTCATCGTATAGATCAGAGTAATCAGATATCTCCGGTGCATTGAGACCGATTGAATTTGATCGGCTGCTGTTAAATCGATTGGAAGATGACATTTAGAAGTGGCTTTGCGAATAAGCTTGAATACGGAAGCAATGTGTTCAAACGATATGGAAAAACAGTGTGGTTGTATTTTATGAGTTCGGTGCAATCAACTAGTGAGCACAGTTGGAAAGTTTATGAATTCAATGTTTTTGGGCCATTTAAGTGTGATATATGGCAGATTTAACCTTTTGGTTGTGTTTATCGACAAAAAGCAAGGTTAGAAAATTCTATGCTGATTTGTCTCGTATTGCGACGGTAAACCCCTTTGTTAAGTATTTCAAAGGTTTGAGTCAGTTTGATCGACGTACCAACTGTCACTCCGAAAGAATAATTTATGCAAATTGGAATCCGCAGCAGTATATAGAAAAGGCAAAACTTGACATTTCAAAATGATACAATTACGTAATTATGTAAATAGTGTTTTGGTTTGAAGTGAAATTGGTAGAGCGGCCATCCATATGAAATTTTCTAGTCCAGTGCCAACGGTCGTGGGTCATTGAATCAGTAATCTGTAAAGTAACATCTGGTGCCTTAGTGATATTTTCTGGCTTGGATGTGCTTTGTTTATATTTGCCGAGTTGAGTGTGGGGTTGCATATTTAAATATCGATCGATAATAATTTAGCGAGAAAGGGTACGGCGTCGAACCAACTTGTAAGGTACGCCAACCCTTCGCAAGATAACCAGAACAACCAACAGAAGTCGTAGGTATTAAAACTGTTTGACAGTCAACAGACCAGAATCAAATTTACCGAACCTACTCTCACCCCTACACCACCAGTACGTGAAATCCCTGCCCTTTTACCAGGGGCGTTTATAAACCTGCATTCGTTTACAAGCTCCAATTGATACTTTGGAACATGTTCCAAGGATCTGTGTCGATTCGCTCCACTACTATAACCGCAGACCACGATGAACTAAAGGAATACTTAGCAAATTTGAACGAAGATCTCGCCAGATGTGAGGTTGAGCATGATCTATCCATCTGCCAAGACCCTTTGATATATTACGACGACAAACTGAATTCAGAAATTCAGCTCTCTGAATCAAGCAAGAAAAGCAGGAGACACAAAAGGCGAGCACGAGAGCATCGGATGTCCAAATTCTACAACAAAATTAGAGAGAGTTTAGTGGTACCATTTAAGAAGCAGGTCAAAGAGTACCCTTCGGACAATATCGAGCCAAACTTTGAGCAGGATGTTGTCGAAAAGACAGAACCCCAACAAGACGGATACCAAGGGTATACTGTGCCAAATAATTCCGGGTCACTTTTGCGCCATGACGTGAGCAGAGCAAGCAGAGCTAGTAGACGGAGTGGAGAATCCGTTGGCGTTTCTCAAAGACGATCTTTATCCAGGTACAGTTCGGTTATACGGTACCCGTCGTCAGTTATCGAAGTGTATATTGGAGGAGATCTCTTTGATAATCACCAAGATCTTTGCAGGCAATACAGTATAGCACGAGCCCGCTCAACTAACGGGAGCGATGATAATTACTCGATGGCTTCATTGGTGATTCCCGGGTCCCAGGCTGTGGCAATTCGGAGAGATTCCATTTTGGTGGCGAACGCAGCCAGTCGTCGTGGTAGCAGGTTGTACAGTAGTGTTTCCAGACGACTAGCTGACATCGAGCAAGGATCAGGAAGCACTTCTGAGAAAAGTGAGCCAAATCAGCAAGATCAGCAAGAAGAGATATCGTCTAACGGTGTTTACTCGTTCATTTCCGAAACTACAACAGAAATAGACGATCAAGAACAGTCTCCAAATCAAGGACTTGATCGAGCAAGCTCAATGTCTACCGACACACTAGATCATAGTGCCGAGCTCACCAATATTTTGTCGAGCGGGAACGAAGATCACTTTACGGGCTCAAACCTCGAATTCTCGGGCCGCGAAGATGACGACGACGACCAAAGCTCTTTTTACTCAATTTTACAGTCACCGCCCCATTTTCACCAATAAGCATCTTTGATTAAATCTTCGCTCCGACACGCAAGATCCAAAAAAAATTTATAATGCACAGGAGTTGTCAACTCTGACGCGGTTCTACGGCCTGAAACCAACAAATGTTTCGAAGTTGGTGTAGGAGAATTAGTATGAAACCATTCAAGATAGTATCACACATCGCCTAATTAGGCCACTATGATAGATAAGAAACAGTTTTACAAAAGAGTGGAAAGCAATCGTTTATTTACTGTAGTTTCCAGTTGAATGGACCCCTTTTAAATGTTGTAATTCGCGTTCCCAAAAATAAATTTCCGAATCGAGTGGCTCGAGAAGTGATTTTTCGAGTTTTTTGTTTTCTTTTTGTTTCAACAGTGTTAGAAAGCTCAAATCCTTTTCGTTGGTTTAACTTCGTATCGTATTCAATCCAATAGTTGAAACACCGAATTGAGACCCAATTTCGATTTTAGACCAACTAAGAATATTATTTTGAAGACAATAGTTTTCCCGAAGAAAAGCATTGAATAATTCAACGTTCGCGTCTTGAACCCTTTCCATCATCGATGTCGAGAATGACCACCGAGGCCATGGGAAGAAACGCGTTCACAGATATCGCCCACGCTCCGCAACCTCCCCAGTTACTCCAGTCTTCTAATGCTTCGTTACACAGCAAGAATTCAAGTGCATCTTCTGGAGCGAGCTCGGCCTCCAACGCAAATAACTCCAGCGACCTTACTGCAAACAGACTGCGTATCCATGCCACCATCTATAGAAAAAGTGGTTGGGTCCAAGTGAAAGAAGATGGTCTGATCTCGTTCAGGTGGCCAAAGAAATTTTTGGTGCTCAGCGAGTCGAGTCTTGAGTTCTACAAAAATGATGAAAAGACAGAACTATCCATGCGCATTCCTTTACTTCATATCTCTGGATGTTTCAAGAACCAGATCAAGACATTTTGTTTTGAAATCACACATCGGTCAAAATCCACTTTCGTGTCAGTGAAAACAGAAAAGGAGTTGAATATGTGGATTGACTGTATTCTGGCCAAATGTCCCAAAGAAGGGTTCTCTAAACCAATTACAGTCACACATGAGACCCATGTTGGCTTTGATCCTTCCAGTGGTCAGTTGACTGGTGTGCCCGCTAAATGGATGGCACTCCTCAAAGGTTCGAATATCACATCTGAAGACGTTGCTGCCGATCCGACCGCTGTCATTGACGTTCTGAACACGTATTCCGAGCTAGTCAGCCCTGATCCTGGTCAATCAGACAAGGGTTCCTCGGCATTCAGTTCGTCGCCATTCTCAAATCCCAGTATGTCTGCTTCTTCACGGCTGATTAACGATATTACCAAACCATATTCCTCCGCAAATGACGACAAGTATTTGTTACCAAGAAGAGTGCCCCCTCCTCCTCCTTCGTCCTCGAGTGCAGGACCAGCGGCGTCTGGAAACGCCGCAAACACGAAGTTCGTTCCATTAAGAAAAGCTCCGGAAGCTCCTGTGGCAAAGGTCGCACCACAGCCAAAACGCAACTCTCCACCAAAGCCGGTTGGACAGGTTCCACCAACTCCACCAACTTTCAAGAGTAATGTCAAAAATGCTCATCAGCCAGCGGCTTCAGACGTGACTCCGCCAAAGAGAATCAATCCAAATCTTAAACTTAACACCAATGTTACCACTCCAGGTCAAACTGCTTACTCCACTCCATCCTATAAACAGCCTTCCCCTGTGAACCATTCGCCATTGTCTTACAAGCATCCATCTCCCGTGAACTACTCGCCTGCTCAACCATACTCGCATTCATCGCCGCATTCGGCCCATCAAGTTTCGCCAGGTTCGGAGAACCAAGTTGCTGTTTCAAAGCCTTCTCCGTATGATAGACAATACACATCTCCTTATGGTTCACAACCAGGACACTATCGCCCCCAACAAAGGCCTGTGCAACCTCATCATCAACCAGTCACTCCAAAGAACAAAATGGCGATTGCTGCGGCCTCTACTGCGGCCAAAGAGAGTCCTTACGAACATCCTTCATTGGCAAAGAAGAAGCTCGCCAATGGTTCTCCGGGACAAAAGGCTGGTGGAAGAGACAGACGTATTTCTACATTGTCTGAAGCGCAGGTGATGGCCAAGCTCAGAAGTGTTGTTACCAACACAAACCCTGCACCTTACTTCCAAGTGATTGAGAAAGCAGGACAAGGCGCAAGTGGTTCCGTTTATCTTGCTCGTTCATTAAAGATGAGAAATAGGCAAGTTGCCATCAAACAGATTGATCTCAATAAGCAGGGTAGAAAGGAGTTGATTGTGAATGAGATCTTGGTGATGAAAGACTCTCACCACGAAAACATTGTCAATTTCATTGAGGCCTATTTGAATGGATCTGCAGACTTGTGGGTTATCATGGAATACATGGAAGGAGGATGTTTGACAGATGTTATCGACAACAATCCTGATATCACTGAAGAACAGATTTCATCGATATGTTACGAGACCACGAAGGGTCTTCAGTTTTTGCATAAAAAGAACCTGATTCACCGTGATATCAAGTCGGATAATGTGTTGCTTGACGCGCAAGGAAATGTTAAGATTACAGATTTCGGATTCTGTGCTAAATTGACTTCTGAGAAGTCAAAGCGTGCAACTATGGTTGGAACTGCATACTGGATGGCACCTGAAGTTGTGAGACAGAAAGAATATAACGAGAAGGTTGACGTCTGGTCGTTAGGTATAATGGCATTTGAGATGGTTGAGGGTGAACCACCATATTTCAACGAGGAGCCGTTGAAAGCACTCTATTTGATTGTTTCTAATGGTACCCCTACCTTGAAGAATCCAGATGACCTGTCGAGCGAGTTTATGGACTTTTTGAGTGTTTGTCTTTGTGTTGAGGTTAAATACCGTGCAACCACTGACGAGTTGCTTCAACACAGATTTTTCAACAAGGCATGTTCTACATTCGAGTTGTCCAAACTTTTGCAGTTCAAGTACGATTCCAGTTCTATAAAACACTAATTAACAACGTTTTCATTAGCCTAATAATCGATTCAAAAGGCAATTGGATTGCCTTTGGTATCAGTCACTTTCAGGAAGAAATGTGTACTGACTATTCCATTTTCATCTCCAGGAGTCAATATGACACCGTTCCCAGATTCATAAAATACAAGAGGACTCTTTCTGAGCTTCTCCACGTCCAGAAAGATCAAAAGATTACAGCTCTTGCGCATCCCGCTGATGATCGGTTCCGCTGATGCGTCATTGAGCCAAGCAGGTAAACCTTTGGCAAAATGGATGTGGTTCCTTTTCATCTTGCTCAGTCCTCCGGAGGTTCTGATTGCTTCCAAATTTTTCAAGTATGTCCCATGAACAATTGTCTCGGGCAATGAGCCAGAGGTGAGTTTTACCATATTATAGGAATCGTTGACCATACTCAAAGAATGTCCTTGTAACGCGCACACAAAGTATTCTTTAAGGGGATCGTAAGTCTGTGAGTCGGAAAACTGATCATCAGACTTGAATGCTATTCGAAACCGTTTCTTCTCGTTATTATTAACAACCCAGAAAATGTCCTGCGGAGAAGCATTGAGTGATTTCAAGTACCTGTGATTCAGAAGCTGATCCAAAGGAACGAAACCTTGTTCATCGATATCCAGATTCTCTTTCACTGCCTGATGTCGTAGAAGCTTGGATAGACTTTTGGAAATTAAAACATGCCGTTTGTTAGGGTCCATTGAATTAATCTGAAGAATTACTCTAAAAGTGTTGAAGAAAAAAAAAAGCCTGATGATATGGAAGCCAACTAAAAGCAGTTGAGTAGTAGTAGACTGATCATCTCTAGGTCCTGTTGGTGACTCATACCACGAGCTTCAATCAGGCAGGTTGGGCAACCAGTTAGATCATCAAGAACAGAGATTTGCAGACAACTGTGGCAGAGCCACTTATTTGCTACATATGTGCCAGTATCCACACCGAGCAATACGATATCACGGAGAAAAAGCTCCGGGAGCTAAGCTCTGCTAAATCTACCAAGTGCATACGCCTACGTGAGGTTGCCTTTTTCAGACACGGAATAACTCCGACAAGAACCTTCAGGATGCAGATCTGTCTTCATCTTACAGGCCAAAACTTATTCCATTTGTCCCGAAAAGATATCGGGCGTACCTTGCTTTCGTGATGCATTTCTACTCAAGCCAATGATGGATTTTCCGTGTTTTGGGAATCGAGAGGAGTAGTAAGTCTTGGTATCCAACAAACGTATCAAGATGTCCCTTCCTCGATGTTTACAGAGCGGGGCAGATGAGGGGACATGGAAAGGAAAACAAGACACTAAACAATATGCTGCAACGTTCACCCCGAAAAGAGGCTATAAAGCAAGTGAAATCTATTGAAATGTTCCGAAATAGTCCGACGAGAAGTTTAAAAAAACTCTACACGTTGTTCGGCTTGGATTGGTTTGGCAGAAACTGGTGTCTATTTTATCGGGTAAATGGCTCATAGCGGACTGACACGAGCTACATCGTATATACAGCCGAAGACGATTCGATTCCTCGAAGACCGGTTGACTTTGGCCGCCGAGGAGCGTTCTAGAGCACTAGTCTTGGCTGCGGAGTTTTTCTATGTAACCGGACTTCTCACCGTATTTTAACGGAAACTACCAGCAAATATACTTCTCTGCGGCTTATGTTTTTTTCGTGTTGGCGATATTTTTCATTAAGCTCCTAGCAAACAGTTGGACGTTTAGAATTTGATTTAAATACTGAGATTGTACTGAACGAATCTCATTCCATAATATTCCAAAAAATTTCTCATCTTCGGGAAATATTATGCTCCGTATTCGTGCTGTTCGCAAAATGGACCCCACAAAGATAGTTAGACGCAAATCGATCATATCTGATTCGAAAACCTCACATGTGCATTCTCACACCATCAAGACACCTATTGGTGAACAACCAAAGGTCGGTGTTCCGAAGTATACAAGACTCTCGGTTGATGGACCGATTGAGTGTGATTTGCATGGTTTCCAACTTTTGAATTCCCCACTTTTCAACAAGGGGTCCGCTTTCACTCTGGAGGAGAGAGATGCTTTCGGCCTGACTGGTTTACTTCCACCTGTAGTCAACACTCTGGATGAGCAGGTTGAGAGAGCTTACAGTCAGTTGCACTACCTCAAGACACCTCTCGCTAGAAATGACTTCTGTACCTCCATGAGACTGCAGAATAAGGTGTTGTACTACGAATTGGTCAGAAGACATATTAGAGAGTTGCTTCCAATCGTGTACACTCCAACCGAAGGAGATGCAATCGCAGCTTACTCCAATAGATTCAGAAAGCCAGAGGGATGTTTCTTGGATATAACCGATCCAGACTCCATCGATGAGAGACTCGCTGCTTTCGGCGAAGCCAAAGACATTGATTACATTGTTGTTTCTGATGGTGAAGGTATCCTTGGAATTGGTGACCAGGGTGTCGGTGGTGTGCGTATCACGATCGCAAAGGCTGCCCTCATGACTCTTTGTGCAGGTATCCACCCTGGAAGAATCATGAGCGTTGTTTTGGACGTTGGAACCAACAACGAGAGACTTCTCAAAGACGAGTTGTACATGGGTAACAGATTCAAGAGAGTGAGAGGAGCCGAGTACGACGAGTTTGTCGACAAATTCATTCAAGCTGTCAAGAAGAGATTCCCAAGTGCTGTTCTTCACTTTGAAGATTTTGGTGTCACCACTGCTAGACCAATCTTGGAGAGATATAGAAACGAGCTCCCATGCTTCAACGATGACATTCAAGGTACCGGAGCTGTTGTTATGGCCTCTATGACCGCAGCCTTGAGATTGAGCGGTCGCGAATTGCTCGACTCAGAAATTCTTATTTACGGTGCTGGTTCTGCCGGTTTAGGTGTTGCCGATCAAGTTGTCAGCCACATGGTGATTCATGGAAGTTCTATTGAGAACGCAAGAACTAGAATCCATTGTATGGATAGACAAGGTTTGATTTTGGATAACATGCAAGATTCTACTTCCCCAGCCCAATTGAGCTACGCTGACAGCGCCGATGAATGGGAAGGTGTGAATACCAGATCTTTGGTTGAAGTTATCAAGAAGATCAAGCCTACTGTTCTGGTTGGATGTTCAACTCAAGCTTCTGCATTCAACGAAGAAGTGATTAAGGAAATGTACAAGCACAACGCCAAACCAATCATTTTCCCACTCTCCAACCCAACCAGACTTCACGAATGTACACCAGAAGATGCTCTCAAGTGGACTGACTACAACGCTTTGATCGCTACAGGATCTCCTTTCGAACCTGTGAATGGATACGTTATTTCCGAAAACAATAACTGTTTCACTTTCCCAGGTATCGGTTTGGGAGCTGTTCTGTCCAGAGCTACCAAAATTTCTCGCTCTATGATCTCCGCTGCCGTGGACGAGCTTGCTGCTGGTTCTCCAGCCATCAAGCACTCCAAAGCCGGTCTTTTGGCCCCATTGGAGGTCATTGATGAAACATCTGCTAAGGTGGCTACCGCTGTTATTCTCAAGGCCTTGGACCAAGGTCTCGCTCGTGTTGAAGACGAAGAATCCCCAGAAGGTGGTAAAGTTACGGTTCCTAGAGACTTCGAAGGATGTCTTAAATGGGTTAAGTCACAAATGTGGAAACCTATTTATAGACCAATGATTAAGGTCGAACACGTCGACGCCATCCACACTCACCAGTACTAAAAGGTTACTTGCGAGGCTGTTGGCACGGTTCCTGATATCGCGTATAGCTAATTTACAGATATCAATTAATTGTTTTCTCCGCCGACGGCATCCGTAGCACAGCCCGAGAAATTTCCCCGGTCACCGACGGTTTTAGATAAGACAGCCATCAAACCCGAGCAACATGGAGTCGAGAAACCAGAGATTAACCGAATTAAACCAGATAAGACAAGCGCTATATAAGAAGTTATTCCTTCCCTCCAAACTTCAATTTCAGATCACAGCGTTTTGTCTATTCGTATCTTGCGTATATTTGTTAATCATCCACATACATAAACGCTCAACTAAGAAATAATGGCTCCTACTTCACTAGTCGCTAACCACGCATGTTTGTGTGATCACACCATGAATCAGCATCAACATAAAACCGCTCAATCTTCTACCAATGCTGATCAGCAGCCTTTGAACGAGTCGTTGGCACAGATTTATGGTGATCAAATCAGACTTGCAACCATTTCTGGTGACGCCGATTTGAAGCCTATCAAATTGGACTGGTTCAACCAAGACTGGAAACAAAGAGGGCCAATTGTCTGCTCTCGTCGCGGAGATGGTATCACCAAGCATAATGCCATTGGTGCTCACTCTGGTCCATACTCCATCTACCACGCCCTCAGCATTGCTTCTGGTCAACTAGACTCCAAGCATGTTCCGGACTACACCAATGCTCAACCACCTGTTGATTTTGCTCCTCAACCACAATGGTACGATAAGGAGAAAATTGCATCCATCGATCCTTTGGGACACTTGGCTCCCTGGATTTATGGAGATGTTGCTGAGGCAGAAAATGTTGAGGTCAGACCTTCGATGTCTATTACCAAGGCAATTTTGTCTCTCCCAGAAATCAAAGAGGAAGTCAAGAAAGGGAACTTAAAACCAGATGGAAAGATCGTTTTGAACGAAGACGGTGAGATGGCCGTCACTAAGATTGCTGTTGATCCTGTCTGGTATCTTCCGGGAGTTGCCAAGAAATTGGGTGTCACTGAGAACGAATTGCGTCGTGCCCTATTTGAAGACACTAACGGAATGTACCCAGAACTGGTCACTCGTCCTGATATTAAAACGTTCCTCCCACCAATCGGAGGAACAACCGTTTACATTTTCGGAAACCCAGAAGATATTCCAAATCCTGAAAAGAGTCTGGCACTTAGAGTTCACGACGAATGTTCTGGTTCTGATGTTTTCCTCTCCGATATCTGCTCGTGCAGATGTTATTTGATCTTTGGCCTTAGAGAGGCCGCCAAGGAAGCCCAAAAGGGTGGAAATGGAGTGGTTGCATACTTCCGTAAAGAAGGCAGATCTCTTGGAGAAGTGACAAAGTATCTTGTTTACAACGCAAGAAAGAGAGCAGGAGATACTGCTGATGCTTACTTCCACAGAACCGAATGCATTGCTGGTGTCAAGGATGCCAGATTCCAAGAATTGATGCCAGATATCTTGCATTGGTTGGGAATAACAAGAATCGACAGAATGCTATCTATGAGTAACATGAAGCATGACTCCATTGTCGACCAGGGAATAGAAATTGTGGAAAGAGTCGAGATCCCAGATGAGCTGCTACCAGCAGACTCCCGTGTTGAGATCGACGCCAAAATTGCATCCGGCTACTTCACCAACGGCCATGTTTACACGCAAGAAGAGCTGAAAACGATTCACGGACGTAAATGGGACGGATTTAAATAGATTTTAATACCTTGACTAAAAATACGAGATTTATGCTTAGTTGCGATATCTGTGTAAAACAGCGACTTTGGCAAAGGTACCTGGCAAATGCTGCTACCAAATTTGTGCCAAAGAGTTTGGGTTCGCGTATTAAAAAAACCGGGCGGTTTGTAGCCCTGTGCGAGCCGGTTTTTCAGGGCAGAGGCGCATAGTAGGTGTACTAAATATCAAACGAGAGATTAAGAGCCAATTGGTGTATCCGCGACATTATATTCGTACGGACCAAAAGACACTTCGAACTTAACTCGAATAAACTTTTTATCAACGTGGTCATTTTGACTTGAGTAATTGAGTCCAGTTCACGCGTTTGCAGTCAGCTTATTTACCGTGTGCTGTCAGCAACAAGCATTTGACGATCCCGCGAACCACATCTTATTTGACTCCATAATAAGTGGTAATCACTCGAATATATGAGCGAGCCCGTCAGCGAAGAACCAACAACAACTGCGCCGCCTTCTGATCCGGCAGATCCTCCCAAAGAGACCGTCGAGCCGGAATCCCCAGTGGAGCCCCAACAGCCAGTTGAACAAGACGTCGCCCAGGAACACGAAAATGGAACTACAGAGCCAGAAAGTGTCGATGAGCCTCAAACGATCCCTTTAACCAACGGATCACATGCGTCTCTTCCGTCTAGTCCAGCTAGAAGCCGAGCAATCAGTGCCGCTACCTCGGTCAACCAAGCAGCGACAGTTTCATTTATCAAATCGTCGTTCGAGAAACTTCTCCAGATCAAGGAAATCACCAAGAAACACAAGAACTTGGTTGAGCTACTAAACAAGTCAATCGAGACTTTAAATACAGGCGAACTTCCAACCGAGCACGATTTGTTCGAAGTGCTCAGAACTGCCTGTGACATCCCAAACCCAGAATCCAAAATTGTCGCCTTGGACTGTCTCAGCAAAATCTTCACCTTCAACGTGTTCAGCGAGCCTATTCTCATAAGCTACAAGAGGACTAAGGCAGAAATCCACACGGATGTCGATATCGAAACGAATAACGATACCAATGATGGCCGTGTGCATACAGTTCCTTTAATCGAGGCTGTCGTCCAAGTGATCAGCTCGTGTTTTGAAGGAGAAGGTACCGATGAACGGGTTGAACTCCAGGTGATACGAGTGCTTACAGGGGCAATTTTGAACGATTCTATGCCAATTCATGGAAAAGTTCTGTTGCAAGCAGTGAGACAAATTTACAATATCTTTTTGTTATCTCTGTCCCCTGTGAATCAAGGTATTGCACAAGCAACTTTGACGCAGGTTGTCAATGTTGTTTTCGAGAAAGTGTCTTCGGCACGCAAAAAGAATAATGCTGAGTTAGAGCCTCCAGAACAGGCCGAGGATCTCGCAGCTCCAGCAACTCCAAGTACTCCAATTGTGCCGCCACCTAAAATGACACTTCAAGAAATGGAACAGAACATGCAGACCGACGATGTCCAAATCGGGATAGACGAGTTCTCAAATGAAGAGGAACTTATTGTGAAGGATGCATTTTTGATTTTGAGATCGATGTGTAATCTATCTGTGAAGGTCATGGAGAACGATTCTATTGACATGAGATCCCATGCGATCAGATCAAAGCTTTTGTCGTTGCACATTGTGCATTGGATTTTGAAAAATCACATCGACGCTTTCCTTGACAGAGATTGCAATATTGTGAATAGAGCCACAAACGAAAGAACCAGACTCGTGGACGCGATCAGAAAGTACTTGTGTCTTGTTTTGGCTCGCAATGCTGCATCTCAATTGGCTCCTGTTTACGAGGTTTGTCTAGAAATTTTTTGGATCATGGTCGATAAGATGAGAGCCCAATTCAAGTCGGAGATCCCTGTGTTCCTGGATGAGATCTACTTCCCTGTTAGTGAAATGAAATCCTCGACAGCTCACCAAAAAAGATATCTGTTGTCGATCATATTCAGAATTTGCAAAACTCCTAAAGCATTGATAGAGCTTTACTTGAATTATGATTGCGATACGTCAATGCCTAATTTATGTGAGCTGATTATGGATTATTTGGCTCGGTTTGCTCTCACCAGAGTTGAAGCCACACCAACTCAAAAAGTCAGTTATAGGGAAAGTCTCACCAGAAACTTGGCCACCTACAATCTTTCCGATGTTCCGCAGCTCAATGTTGCAAAGCTTGGAGGACATCCTCCAAACCCTGATGCTTCTCTCACTTTCCCTGTGGAGTATGCCTTGAAAATGACTTCGATCGACTGTATTCTAGCATTTTTGAGATCACTCAATTCCTGGAGCGGTACTCCTCTCATTACAACCACAAATGGTGATGTTGGAGGTGCTCTGTCTACTTACGCTCATAGAGATCGTGCGCTCACAAGCAGTTCTGTTTTGTCACAAGCTTCGGCAGAGGCTTCTGCAGCAAGTGTCTCCGCCAGCGAGACTGCAACTTCGGCAAACGATGAAACCTCTGCTTCCCAGTTTGAAAACATTAAACAAAGGAAGAATGCTTTCCTTGACAGTGTTCGTCTCTTCAACTACAATCCTAAAAAGGGACTCAAGATTTTACTCGAAAACGGTTTTATTCCAAGCGATTCTCCTTTGGATATTGCGAAGTTCTTGTTGGAAACCGAAACTTTAGACAAAGCAGCTATTGGAGAGTTTTTGGGTGAAGGGGATGAGAAGAACGTTGCTATTATGCATGAATTCGTTGATTTGATGGAATTTAAGAATAAGAAGTTCCTGGACGCCTTAAGATACTTCTTGCAACACTTTAGACTTCCTGGTGAATCTCAGAAGATTGATCGATTCATGCTGAAATTTGCCGAGAAGTATGTGAACGACAATCCTTCTTCATTCGCAAACGCAGACACTGTTTACGTGCTTTCCTATTCTGTCATCATGCTCAATACGGATCAACATTCACCTCAAGTCAAAAAGCGGATGACTTTAGAAGACTTCGTCAACAACAACAGAGGAATTGACGATGGCAAAGACATTGATCATGCTGTTCTTCAGCAGATTTACACAGATATCCAAAATAACGAGATCATTTTGAAGAGTGAACAGCATGCAGCCTTGATCGCCAATGACATACAGCCAATTCAGCAATCATTTTTCGGTGGAAGAGATTTGGCTAAAGAGCAGTACGCAAAAGCTTCCAAAGAAATGTCGTCCAAAACAGAGGAAGCAGTTAAGAGTATAAGAAATACCTCCAAGAAAACATCGAGGGTGGTATTCTATCCAGCAAATGTTCTTAACAATTCCGAGCATGTCCGCTCGATGTTTGACAATCTTTGGATGTCAATTTTGGCAGGTTTGACTCCTCCGTTCAAGGAATATGACGATGACGATACTTCGAAGCTGCTACTTGAAGGTATCAAATTGTCCATCCACATTTCTTGTATGTTTGATTTGGACTACGCCAGAACGTCTTTCATCAGAGCTCTTGTCCAATTCTGTAACTTGAACAATCCTGAAGAACTGAAAGACAAGAACATCGATGCAGTCTACTCGTTGCTCGATGTTGCGGTTGAAGAGAACTCAAACCTTGGATCATCATGGAAGAGTATTTTAACTTCTATATCTCAGATTGAACGGTTGAAATTGTTATCCCAGGGAGTCGACTCTGATACTATCCCAGATCTGATCAATGCTCGTTTGGCGAGTAGAAACTCTATTGAAAGTTCTAGATCTCACAACTCAAACCAGGGATCGTTCTTCCCATTTGGCAAAAAGCAAACCATTGCAGAGCAGACATCGCAGCACTATTTCAGCCAAAAGCTGAATGCAAGCATGATTTTGCGTATCAGCTCAACTGACTTGGATGTTGCCATTGACAAAGTGTTTTCAAAAAGTTCGACAATCGAGGGCAATGGTATATTTGATTTCATCGCTGCATTGAGCGAGGTGGCCCACGAAGAGATAGAGTCTTCTGGCCAGAGTCAAAATCCTCGTATTTTCTCTCTACAAAAAATGGTTGATGTTTGTTACTATAACATGGGCAGAATTAGAGTCCAATGGTCTGCTCTTTGGGCGGTGATGAACGAAAAATTCAATGAGTTTGGCTGTCACCAAAACACATCAATTGCCTTTTTCGCATTGGACTCTTTAAGACAACTTTCGGAGCGTTTCTTTGCAATCGAAGAGCTTTCTCATTTCCGGTTCCAGAAAGAGTTTTTGAAACCTTTCAACTACATTATTTTGAACAGCCCTCATCTGCAAGTTCGTGAAATGGTCCTGGACTGCGTTCAGTACATGATCCAAAAAAAGGCGGACTTAATTAAATCTGGTTGGCAAACATTGTTGGAGATTCTCACTAATGCAGCAAAAGATAACAACGAGAAGTTTGTTGCCAAAGGACTGTCTTATGCAAGTATGATTATGAGAAGTCATTTTGAGCAGATCATCAAGCTTGATGCTTTCTCTTCGCTGGTCGTTTGTCTTACAGAGTATGCCAAAAATGAGCAATTCCAAAAATCAAGTCTGCAATCGCTTCAGTCTATGAGAAAGCTTGTTCAAACTATCCCAACAACTTTACAGCAGCATGGTGATGAGTTGACGCCTGATGACTTGTGGTTCCCTCTTTTGTTTGGGTTCCATGATATTGTCATGAATGGTGAAGACTTGGAAGTTCGTTCGAAGGCTCTTGCATTCACATTTGATGCGCTGGTTGAAAATGGAGGACAGTTTGAAGGTGCATTCTGGGACAAGGTTTGTGAAGAGCTATTGTTCCCAATATTTGGCATTTTGGGTGACCGCTGGGAATTGAATTCCACACAGGATGACTTGTCGGTTTGGTTATCGACAACTTTGATCCAGGCTTTGAGAAACATGATCGCTTTGTTTGGCTATTACTTTGATACCTTGAGTGGTAAACTGGATGGATATTTGAAACTCTTGGTGTCTTGTATCTGTCAGCAAAACGAAACCATTTCCAAGATTGGTATCTCGTGTTTGAAGGAGCTGATTTTGGATAATCTGTCCAAATTTAGCGAAACCCAATGGAACCAAATTAACGACTCGTTTGCTGAGCTGTTTGAGCTGACCACTGCTAAGGAGTTGTTCAAGGCCGATCCTTTGAAGGCCAAGGGAGAGCCAAAGTCTGACGATTCGGAAGATATTGAGGAAGAAGAAAACACATCGGTAATCCAAGATGGTGAGTCTGACTTGGAGCTTCCTTTACCTCTTAATCATACGAAGGAAAAGTCTGCAATCGTGATCAAGTGTGTCTTGCAACTTCACGTGATTCAGATTCTGTCCGAATTGTTTGACAATGACAACTTCTATCAAACAATTCCTGTGTCCAATTTGTTGAAACTTTCCGACTTGTTGGAGCACAGCTACAGATTTGCCAGAGACTTTAACGAGGACTACAACTTACGTGTTCGGCTATGGAACGCTGGTGTGATCAACATGCTTCCTAACCTGTTGAAGCAGGAGACGTCTTCTTCGGGTGTCTATATCAGCATTTTGTTCCGCTTGTACTGTGACACCGAGAGAGTCAATAAGGAAGCAAGAGAGAAAATTATTGGCATTCTGATTCCAATTGGAGTGACAATTCTCGAGAGATATGTCTCCCTGAATGAGACCGATCAGTCAAGAAATATTCAAAGCTGGAGACCTGTCGTTGTGGAGATTTTGCAGGCTTACAGTGAGCTTGATGGAGAAGATTTTATCAAATGTTGTCCAGTTGCCTACGATCTTGTGTTACAATTGTTCGACAAGAATATGATGGCTGATTTGAGAAGTGCGGTCAAGGAGTTTTTGACCAAGGTTGGAGACACCTACATTCTCGAAAAGCAGGAGACGAATTCTGTATAGCATTTGTGTTTTAATGTATAAATTTCGTGATTGAAATGTCTTGAGTTAGTAGACACACGACAAAATGGTTCTCCGGTTCGACGACAAAAATTTTTCAGTTCGTTGTTGGAAAAGCTATACTTTTGGTACTTCTAATTGCACAAAGCTTCGACATTGAGCGTAATTTCGCATCACTAGGCTTTGAAGATGTCCAACAACAAGGTAAGTTCTCATGAAATGTCGGAATCCGTGAGAGATGCTTGCTCTTTTTCAACAATATCATTGGATTGCACAAGCAAGATGATTAAGGGACCGAGCATAGCACTTTGAATGACACGGATTTGGCTGGAATTGGAAAACTAACAAAGCAGAATCTCTACGCCCTTTTGGGTAACGATGTGTCTGACGACGAGGGAGAAGTTCTTGCTCCAAAGGAAATTGTCAAGAAGAGCACCTCTTCCAAGAAAGTCGATGCTCCACCTCCTTCTGCCGACAAATCTAAGGCCAAGAAGAACAAGAAGCCTTCTGCCACCGGAAACGAGGCTGGTTTGAAATTGAAGAACAAGAACACTGAGGTTGAACCACCAAAGTCCACTGACCGTCGTACCGCTAAGAGCAAGAGCTTCGACAAGCACTCTAGAACCGGAAAGACTGAGACCGCTAAGTCTCAAAAGACCAAGCTTGGTGACGAGGTCGATGCCCAGGTTGAGGGTGAGGCTGATGCCCAAGAGGAGCTTTCTGAGGAAGGTGAAGAGGTTGAGAAGCCAGTCTACAAGACCCTTGATGATTACTTCAACGAATTGCAGGTGCAACAAACCGGTCTCTCTGCCAAGCCAAAGAGAGCTGCCAACCAAGGTGCTCAGGACAAATGGACCAACGACGAATTGCTTGTCAAGGAAAAGGAGGTTCTTTTCGAGCCAACTGGATTGAAGCAATCCAAGCAAAAGGCTAAGAAGGTTAAGCAATTTGTTGACGTTGAGGTCATTGTTGCTGACGAAATCCGTGAACCAAGAGAAAGACCAGCCAGAAACACCAACTCCAGAGGTGGTAACAGAGCTCCAAAGGGTAAGGGTGCTAAACCAGCCCCACGTAAGGTTGCTCTTAATGACAAGAACTTCCCAGCTCTATGATTTCGTTGGGTCTCACTTTTTAGTGTATTAGTTTGTACCGACAATTAATACAACTTTAAATCCGGATCTTATATTTAAATTTAATTTTTGTGGGTGTGGCCAGGATTTTTCATTTTTTTGAAAAAACCCCAATTTTCTGGAAATATTTACTTGTGTTATGTTACCGTGCTAGTGGTTTTTAAAAACTGTTTAATTAATTGTGACACATTGATCGAATTTGTTATATTTGAAGCCATTTACTTGTGACAAACCTATTAGTTGAAGAACCAAGAACTCGTTTCAATTGCAGCATTTTGATTTACCCAATCTCGAAGTTAGAGTCATAGATAAACGCGTGCTTTTGTTGAGAATTGGTTTAGCCAGCGCTGGACAATTTATCTGAGTTTAGAATCATGCTTCAGTCGTTGATAAATACCACTGACGAATCCGGCACGGTGAAGAGGGAATTCTCCTCTCCTCCGCATTCTTCCATAGCTTCAACCACGTCGTCCACTTCCAATACTTCCCCGGACTTTCACGAAAATGGCAGCAATCAGCGCATGACGCATCCCAAACAAGAATTGACCGACCATCCATCCCAGGTTGGTTCTGTTCTTGGCGCTGACGTTGATGAGGATGAGGAACAATTGCATAATTCTCACGTCACTCACACCAACGGAAAGCAGCACAGGAAGAGTTGGAAGAAAAACGTGGCTGAAGAACACAAATCTTTGATTTCCACCTCGTCACCAGAAGGCATTGCTGCCGCATCCCAGATAACTCCAAACCGTATTGCCAATATTTTACTTCAAGAAGGACCATTGCCAATTAGACATTTGACAGCACATTTGGTTTCTCAAATTCCTAGTTTTGGCCACTTGTCGCTTTCTAAGCAAAGGCGACTTATCATGGCCGCTTTGGAAATGGGCGACTCGCAAACGGGTTGTGTGTTTGAGAAAATCGGTTGGGGCCAATGGGAAGCCAGAAAAGCCACAGATGAGCAGATATCGCAACGAAATACACAAGCTTCAACCAGCAATAGAGACAGATCCCCTGAAAGTCCACCAGCACATTCCGGTGGAGCAAAGCCTAAGCGGAAAGAAAAAAGAGGAAGCAGTGTTGCTCTGAGCACATCTCCAAAAAGCAAGGGTAACTTACCAAATTATAGACGGGAGTCCATCACCAATTCTGCTACTGATTTACACAATACAAAAGTTCCTTTATCGCCGAGTCTCCAGCCGTTGCAAAGCCTTCGAAACTCATTCAAGGATCGCAAGTATTCCTTGGACGAGGCAATTGAGTCGTCGTCAGAAGAGGAAGATGATGACGATTCTTTGGAGCGCTTTCAAGGGGAAGATGACGATGGTATGTTTGCATTTGAAGGAGAAACCACATCTCAGAAAACAAAGCATGCGTTGCGAAACGGTTCATTTTCGTCAACAAACCGCCGGCCTTCCTTTGCAGGAATCGCAAAGCCAAGAAAGCCGCGCTCGTCATTCAATAGCCAGTCAATCGAGGCCGTATTTGATGAGAATAGCAACCTTGATTCGGCATCGATGCCAGACGGATTGCTTCCAAAAAGAAGACCAAGAGTCTCGTTTTCCAACTCCTCAAGTGTCACTCGACAATCATTTTTGCGGACTAATATTTCGCCCTCAAGTGGGCCCATCATGATGCACGACCAAGTAAGCAATGTGACGATCAATACTGTCTCTTCGACGGAGAATCTGCAGGATCCGGAGCGCAATGATCTGGATAATTTCACAGACGAGGAAGATTGGGAGGCCATGGGCCCGGCCACATTGCGGAAAAACAGCTCATCCACAGTGACTGTTCCCGCAACAAATGTGACCGTTGACCATAACTCGCCGAGACCGATATCAGTTAAGGTTGTGAAACCAGACAAGTCCAGCCCATTAAAAGCTGGTTCTGCAATTCAAAGTGACGAAGAAATTGCTGCTATTGCGCTGATGGATTTGAAGTCCGTTTAATGTAGGATTTACGTTTGATTATGGATAAAATAAGCTGCTGGGTGTTTTTAATTGGTTTGCATAGGGTTTTATATAGGTTGATAGGAATATTTAAATTGCAACACGACGCGACAAATTTCTTTGTCACATATTACAATATAGTTCAGCAATGAGGCCTTTGACAGCCGAGGAAAAGGAAATCGCCACGGTAAGTAACGGGTTCGTCTGATGCTAACCGACACAGCACTTGAAAGCCAACATTTGGTACAGTGTATCCAAGATGGTTGAACAAGAAACAGACAAATTATCTAAAGATTCTGGAACTGATATAACAGCCACGCCACGATTCACCGCTGCTTTGGTTGAGCTTGTGTACCGACAATTGGCGGATGTTGGCGAGGATCTGGAATTGTTTGCCAAACACGCTAAAAGAAAGACTATAATCCCTGATGATCTGTTCATGGTGAGCCGGAAGAATGACGCATTACGAGAATTGCTCAAGGACCATCTCCAATATTTGGAACGAGGATCAGGAGACGTGAATAATGGACATTCTAACCCACCAGTCTCTGATAGTGATGAACCCTTCAGCGATCTTAGCCAACCGTGAATGGAGCCAGACGCGACTTTTAAGGGGCGTCTATCGACGGGACGAGTAATAAGTTTTTCGCTGTGTATAGAAATGAAAAGGTCGATTTTTGATTGACAAATTTTTTTCCAACGTTGAGTGTGTCGAAATGTTCAGAGGTCAAGTTTTGAACGTCGGCCTTTCTGGAACCGCGCGTGTGTTCACACGGAATATAACCAGTGTGCCGCGTCGGATTGCTCCAGTTTTCCGTTATGGATCGGACAACGTTGAGAAGAGAGACGCGCGATTGGAAAAACTGAGACTTGTTCCTCCAAGACCAACTGTTTTTGCCAGAAACCCATACCACGAAGATAACATGGAGGTTCTTTTGGAGATGTTGAATAAGCACTCGTCTTTGCCATACAGCAAGAAAAATTCAGAGGGAACTACGTGGATTTCCTTTGACGACTACAAGAAAAGAGGTGATGGTGCCAAATGTAAAGGAGCAGAGTACGCCAAGTTGAAACAGACACTGGTTCGTCTGGACTCTATTGATCCACAGCTTAAGAGCCAGGAGCTGGAAGAAATTTTGAACAGTTACAAGGTTTCTAAATCTAAGAAGGAGGTGATAAAGAAAGTGAAAGAATTGGATAGCAAAGGAAGGGCAGTTGCCGTAGGAAGAAGAAAGGACTCGAGCGCAAAGGTTTATGTGGTTGAAGGAGAAGGAACTATTTTGGTTAATGAACTTTCATTCGACAAGAAATTCGTCAACATCAAAGACAGAATGAGAATATTGCAACCTTTGCAATTGGTTCAATCGGAAACCAAATATAACGTTTTCGCACTTTCAAGAGGTGGTGGAAGCACCGGACAAGCTGATGCTGTGCGTCTTGCTATTGCTAAAGCTTTGGTGATCCACAATCCATTATTTGAAAGCATATTACAGAAGAACGGCTGTTTGACCAGAGATCCTAGAGCTGTTGAGAGAAAGAAGCCTGGAAAGTTGAAGGCCAGAAAGGCCCCAACTTGGGTCAAGCGTTGACCGCATGTATATATTTACTATTGTCAATATACGAATTTGATTAGAATTGGCTTGGAGTGTATGGATTTTGCTAGTGCCAAAGCCCAATTATCATGATGTCGAAACACAGCCTTCAAAACCACACAAACCAAAAATAATTTGATTTTCCACATCACCTTTGTTTTGTCTAAAGGAGTCCTGGGGGCAATTGGTTGCTGCACTTGAACTTCGTTTTATTCTAAAATGGTGAAGGATACATTCTACTATGACCTTTTGCAGGTCGAGACCGATGCCGACGATGTGAAAATTAAGAAGGCATACCGTAAGATGGCTTTGAAATACCATCCGGATAAGAATCCCGGTGACAAAGAAGCAGAGCAAAAGTTCCAGGAAATCGCAGAGGCCTACCAAATTCTTAGTGATGCAGAAAAGCGAAAGCTTTATGACGAAGTCGGAAAGGACGAGCTCACCAAAGCAGGCGGTCCGGCCGATGATATTGGACCAAGAGAGTTATTCGGTATGATGTTCGGAGGCGAGGGTTTCGAACCATACATCGGAAAGCTTACTCTTCTCACTGCCATGTTTGACGAGTTGGGAGCAGATCCAGAAGCGGAACCTCAGGAGACTAAGCTTTCCGAAAGTCAGGAAATCGGAACTCACAATCCTAATGCCCATGTTTCGCAAAACCCAAAGAAGGAGAAGTTCGACTACGAGAAAATGAAGCAACGGCAGGAAGAGGAGGCCAAGAAAGTTGAAGATTTGGCCAATCAATTGATCGCCAAAATGCAGAAACCTATAGACTCTTCGAGCTCGGGCTTCCTTAGTAACGAATCCATTGTTCAATTCCAAAAAGAAGTGACCAAAGAAATTGAAGACTTGAAAGTGGAATCCTTTGGTGTTGACATTTGCCACATTATTGGGAAAGTGTATCTGTTCAAAGGACAAACGTTTTTGAAATCGCAAAAGGCAATTCTCGGAAGGTTCCACAAGATGTCTTCCTCCTTGAAGCAAAGCCGTAATACCATGAAGAATGTTTGGTCGATGGTTTCCACCGCTACCGAGGCTCAATCTGCCGTTGAGGCGCTAGAGAAGCTGCAGATTGAAGAATCTACAGAGATGGACGAGTACGAGAAGGCCAAGTACGAAAGGGCAATGACGGGTAAGTTCATTTCCGTTGCGTGGGTTTCTTCCAAGTTTGAGATGGAGTCAACTTTGAACAAGGTTTGCTCGAAAGTCCTGAACGATAAAACTGTTCCAGTGGAGGTGAGAAAAATGAGAGCAGAATTACTTGTACTAATGGGAACTTTATTCAAGAACGCTAGAAGAGATCCCGGCGAGGAGAGCGAAGTCCAGATGTTTGAGGAACTCATGAGAGAGAGCAAGGAAATTAAGGCAAAGGATTTGAGACGGGCGGCTGTTATGAATTCTAGAGGATCTCAACCGGTTTCTAGTCCAGACTCCTCTATCAAGGCTACTCCTGAAGATGTTCCTGGTACCACAAAAGCTTCCAAAGAAAACAAAGGATTCTTCTCCAAGATCCGCTAAACTTTCATTTCTATAACACTGTCTTGTAAAAATGATTTAATTCGAATTATAGAAAGGTAAACGATTGATTAAAATAAAAAGTTACACGGAGCCAATGCAATGAAAAGAAATCTCAAACTCCTGACGATCCGTACAACTTTGCCCATTCCTCAAACTCTCTCAGGCCTTGCTTAGAAACACTTGGTCTGATGTAATTAACAGAGTTGATGAAGTCCTTTAAACAGACGGGCCGAATTTCGTTCTTGGAGGTAAGCAGGAGCTTGTCTCCGAGTTCTCGTAAAGGTCCCATGGCTGCATCTTTAGCCAAAGCCGTGATGTCGGATCCAGAAAATGAATCTGTCAACTGGATCAACTCTTCAAGGTCTTTTTCTGAGATTGTATGCTTTTGGTGAGAAAGAAGCTTTTGAATCTGCGCTTTCCGGGTATCGTATTCTGGTAAAGGAATGTACTGTCTTCTGACGAATCTTCTTCTGGCGGCTTCGTCAATACCCCATGGAAGGTTTGTAGCTGCCAAGACAAGAACTCTTTGTAAGTCTTCACCTTGGTCTCGTCCAGCAGCTGCTTTTGTTAGGTCAGACCATTGAACCAAGAACTCATTCTTGATTCTTCTGGACGACTCGTTCTCTCCCTCATTTCTACTTCCAAGCAGAGAGTCGATCTCGTCAACGAAAATAATCGACGGAGCAAGTCGCTTGGCCAACTGGAACAGTGCTCTCACGAGCTTCTCGGACTCTCCCAAGTACTTGGAAGTCAAGGAAGATGCAGAAATAGAGAAAAAGGTGGATTTCGACTCGGTTGCAACGGCACGAGCGAGCATGGTCTTACCTGTACCTGGGGGTCCAAATAACAACATTCCTCGTGCAGGCTCTCTCAACCCGCTGAAGAGATCGGGCCTCAAAAATGGATAAACCACGGTCTCTTTCAGAGAGTTCTTTGCGGCGTCTAGTCCAGCAATGTCATCCCAGTGCACTTCATCTCCATGGACCACGATCTCGTTCAAGATCTGTTTCGCAGCAACAGGATCGACTCCACGCATGGAGGCAATCAGCTTGTCCTCGTCGTCTTCAATTGAATTGTCGCTGTCAAGAGTCTCTGTATCCTTTGTCGAATTATCAGCCAATACTTTTGGTGCATTGGTGACACCTTCTTTGGTAGCTGGAGACGTTTTCCTTGACAATGACTGGGGTTTCTGAGGCGCCTTTCCAGGACCTGGGGATGCGGTAGGTCTGCGAAGCTGTGTCTTTGGTAGATGTAAAGCAGGAGCAGAAGTGGGCGGAGGAGATCTTGTATTTCTGACGGGCGACTTGGTTCTGTTTGGTTGGCGAGAAGAAGCTGGAGCAAGTTTTTGCGAAAGCTTGACTTGAGAGGATATTTTCAATGCTGCTTTCGCACGCTCAGCTGATGATCTTGCGTGAGGTTTCGGGGCTGGCTGTCTTTGCTGTGGTGGTTGTTTTGGGGTCATTTCCAATTGCGCCAAATTTTCATTTAAGTCGATCAAATCTTCGTCGTTCTTGCAGCGAATGACCTTGGATGCCAACGCATTCTGTTGTAGTTGTCTGAGTGTCTCTTTGTGATAGAAATCTTCGTTATCTGTGGCGCTATCAAAGTCCTGGAAAAGATCATCTTGCGAGTGTGAAGAATAAGATTTGGCGTTGGACAAGCTTGTGGATGGGGCCCATATTAAGTTGGCGGCCTGTTTGGCACTCACTTGAGAGGATGATGATGCACTGTTGCCGAGACTAGCGCTCGAACTGTTGTTGGACACATTGTTGTTCGGGCGCAAAGACTTGATTAGCGGCTTGCTTGCGGTTCTTTTGCTATTCATCGTGACTGGATTGGACGATCTAAGTGTTGGAACCGATGTAGGGACGGATTCAGAACGAGTGACAGGAGCGGTACCTCTAAGGGTCGAACCACTTGAGGAAAGTTGTGGATTAGAATAAATCTTTGATGGTTGAATAGTTTGGGCCGATTCTAATTTTTGTTCCAGTCGTTCCAGGTGATCGTCGGCTTGAGCTTGTAAAATACGAATTTCATCCAGAATGTAGGACTCTTCGTCGGTCAGTTCTTGGCCCACGATACTTCTTTCTAGGCCATCAACCTTTTGGAGTGCAACCTGATGAAGCGTTCTCCAACCGTTGAGTGCTTCATTTGACCTATTATTTTGCTCTAAACTTAGATTGGTAAGAGACGTGTTGGCAATCTCGTTGTAAATCTCCAGTAACTTGGGCAACGGCGGACTCGGCTCCTTTTTCCTTCTTGAGAACATGGTATCACAACAAATGAACGTCGCTTGACGGTATACCTATTAGATTAAGTTAATTGAGAAACCGAATTTCAGTTGTTTAAAAAATCTTGACAAGATAGTAAAGGGATCAATTGTTTATCTCTTGATCTTGATCTTTGTGGTGGTTTATTCTTTATCTTTGCCGATTAAAATCTACCAGTCATATCTAACCCTGAAAAAGGCCCAGCTCTAGTGTTTTTATGTTTTACTTTTACTTCCATAAATGGAATTAATACAGCGGGCTGAGTACTTCTTTTATCATGCACAGCCACAACCTAGCTAGACGAGATCCGTGCAGAGAATGATTTACAAATAATGTTGTGACCATACGGGATGCGCAGCTGTGGATATCAGCAACGCATACTTAAATAGTCACGTCAATCTATCCAAGTAGAGTGGCAACCTATTCACATCATGACTCCAAAAAGCAAGTAGATTCTGGACCTCACCCCTAACTTAATAGGCGGCAAGGTCCGGCCAATATGGCCACGAAAAAACTCCCCAATTGGCGTCTGTTGCAACACAACCTTTCTTGCGATTGGAAGTGTCCTGCTTATAGCTTGACAAAATCTTGGAGGTAACTTTCGATAAACAAAATTTTCCACTTGCCAAACTTCTTATATATATAGCTTGTGTGCGGCTCATCGACCTAATGCAGAAAGTTGACCGATTGTAAAAGAACTGTCAGTATAATACCCGCTTGTGCAACCCACCAAACATGTTGGACAATGAACGGACACAACCGGTACTCAAACTCCCAGCTTTTCGAATCATTGTTGAAATGTCCTGTAATGAGTCCCGTGTTACCACCAAAATCACCCATCATGGATCTCACGGTAGCTTCCTTGATATATTTGGGAGAGTCGATCGACTTGGAGGCCTCCCAAATGCCCGAGTCGAAGTTGAAGTTGTAGTAGTTCTCGCACCCTTCGTGGTCGTGTCCCGTGACGATGATCCCAGAGTAGTTGCCTTTGAATGCTGCGTTCATAATTCTTTGAGAAGTCTCGTGCTGTAAGTGATTTTCCGACTTGAGCAATCCAATCCGGTATTCACCGCCAGGATGGCAATTCTTCTCATTGAAGAGTTCAACCAATGGTCCGTCCACGCACAATCCAGCGGGCTTGTACATTGGGATGTGCGTAAGCAAAATGGTCGATCCATGGTACTCTTTCTGGTCCAACGTTTCAATGAACTGCCATGTGTAGTCTTTGAACTCGGGTTGCAGCAAAGGTCCGTCGACCGCAAGAGAGTTCAAAACCACAATTCTCCATGGATGATCTGTGTCATTGTCATATTCAATCCAAAAGTTATCCTTTCCAAACAACTTCCTCCATCTGGCCATATGTTGGTATGTTGTATCACCGTATCCGATATCGTGATTTCCCGAGACATTCACCATCAGAGGCTCATCGGTGAGGTTAGCACTGGTCCAATCACGAATGTTTTCATAATGGTAAAAATCCGGGTTTCTGAACAAGCCCTCTTCCAAGCTTTTCTGGAACCAGTTCATATGTGTGACCCAATCTATGTCCTTATGCTCAGCAATGAAATCCAATTCCAAAAAGGTTTGTTCAGCTGGTCTAGGGAACAGTCTGGTCATGTATCTTCTTGTTCTGTTATAGAATTCTGAATCAGCAATCCATTGCGACGAAAACAAATCACCCAGACCAACAACATGTGTAGGATTCAATCTTCCTTTCATAACTCTGTAGATGTGGCCAAGGTAATGATCGTTTCCAAAGTTATCAAGACGTTTGATATAAGGTGTAGAAGGCCAATTGCCATTGATCTGCGGATCTCCAAAGGACATGATCCTAATATCTCTTGGATCGGGCTTGTTGGCGTCCAGCTCTTCCACAAAGTATCTCTTGTAAAGATCTCCAACGTATGGTATATCTAAGACGCGTTTACCAAGACCACTTGGTTCGTCCTCATAAGTGTAATGCCAAGAGCATTGATCCGCGTTAAGACTTGGATAGGTATATATGTACACGTTCACCACAAATGTGGCTAGAGTGACCAGCCAGGTCAATTTTGAGAACCAGCTCATTGATATATCGCACAGTTTACCAAATATTTGCGTCCAGGTTATTAAAGCCCCGGAACCAAAAACACTAAAAAACACCTTTGCACCCCGAAACAAACATTTGACGACTAGCTATAAAAGCTTAAATATGATCATTTTCGTTTAATTTTTGAGTATACTATACATCAGAATCTTCCATAGCTCGTGTAGCCGCTTCTTGAGTTACTCATTTGGTTCTGTAGCAACTTCTTGAAACCATTGCACAAATGAACCATGTCAGGATAAAGATTCCCGTGCAATTGGTAGCCATTAGGTTGTACCTTAATGTTCCAGGTGTAGATCTTGTCGTTCTTCTCGTTCAGTTTGAAAAGAAGATAGAACCAACCTGGAGACTTGTGGTTGTAGCAGAAACAATAGCAGGACCGATTCTTGTTGGCCTTCGAATAACGAATAAGCCATTCCTTTGTATCGTTCAAAGGTTCGTTTTTGAATTTATCATGGTTGGTGATCTCTTGCACCTTCAAGTGCAAATTGTTGATGTGGGACACAATCAACTCGTCAAGATCATGGTAACGGAATTCCCCGACTTGAAGAGTTCTTCCAACTGTGTATTCATTCAATTTGTCAAGTTCAAGAACATCCAAGTGTTGGAACAATTGATTCTCGATCTTCCATGTGACAGTCAAGTGATCATTTCCCTTAGACGATGGACGAATCACGAATTCTCCGTTGCTCTTGGAAGCTAGATAATCTTCGGCTTGCTTGCTCGTGAAGTTGTGGAAGTATGGATGCTTCAGCACACGCTTCATGCTGTTTTCTTTCTTCTCACGCTCTTGCTCCTTATTGGCATCTTGATTTTCGGCATCAAAGTCCCACAATCCCTGGAACTTGTCAACGACCTTTCCGTGAGAAGCTTGCTCGATGTCACCTTTCAACAAAGACAACTCGGCTTTGAAGCTTCCGTAATCCACGTTCTGGATAACTGCCTGAACAGCTTGTCCGGTCTGGTATTTCGTCAATAGATTAGTGTTGTCTCCATATTCCAAAATATTGGACCGACTGATATTGCACGAAATACCAGATTGAGTAACACCCAACATGAATCTGTTATCAACTCTTTGCAAAATAACAGTAACAAGCTGTCCTCTTTGGAAAGTATCCTTTGTCTCGCCCGTCAAGAGCTCAAACACCTCATCTTCGTTCAGAATGTGGAAAGACTTTCTCAACTCTTCATAGTTGTTCTGTAACTCCTCTTTAATCATCTCCAATGTAGCTCTCTTACGATGGCCATGCTCCTCCAACTGATCGGCATAGCCTTCAAGAAGCAAGTCATCCAGCTTCTCGACACCTTCATCGTAAAGCTTAGAAATGACACCTCCTTCTTCTTGCTCAACTTCCTGTTTCTCTTCCTCGCTAAGGTCCAAGGCATCACTGGCCATTTTTCTTGCTAGTTCGTAATCCTCGGGATGGATTCTGGTGGCGTCAAGCAATTCAATGTCCTTATCTGGTCTGTCAGGCACAGGAAGCTCAATGAATGGAGCACAGTTGACAAAAACAACCTTGGTCAAAAGCTCTCTAACAATGAGTTCGTCTCGTCTGAGCAACGAGCCACCATTAGCCTCAATTCCTTTGATCAAGCTGTTTGCCTTTCTTGGACCTAATCCAGAAATGTATTGTAGCATAGTTGCAAGATATGGTGATCTCACGGCATCATTGATCTTAATACCGACCAAGCATGCCACATCCACAAAAATGGAGTCGACGGCTTCTTTAACTTTGTCGTTACTGAGCAAGTTCTGGTGCTTGTGGATAGAAATCGAAGTAACCGCATCTCCCAAAGTCATGTATTCGAGCAATGGACTCTGGACATATCTTGCAATCCCAATACAGAACCGCGCAACTTGCGGTTTGTCACTAAACTCTTCAAGGGCTCTATCGGAATGTTCGTAAAGCCTACTTGTCTCATTAGGAACGTAAAGGACTTGCAGTGGAATTGGATCGCCTTCATACTCCTCGTCAACATCAATTTCAGTAGTGAGGTTGTTCAATCTGATGATGTCTTGGATCTTTCTGAATAAGTGAGAAATTTCGACATTGTAACTTGAAACGGCAATGACTTCAGGCTTGAACTTATTGATCACTTCCAACAATTGTTTCTCAAAATCACCATGTCTATAATTCTGCTCGAACTTGATGTGATCCGAAACGGAACCGTCGTAGTCCAAGGCAACAGCGATGACCGCAGAGTCACGCTTACCATCACCATTTGAAATTGCTAGCACCTTAGGAACAGTACCTTTTGCTGTAGGCAGTGGGTGATAAGGAGCTTGGTCAACTTTATCCATGAAGTGTTCCCTAATCTCAAAGAACAGCAGTCTCTCACAGATACTTCTGTACTTCTCTTTCACATCGAGCACAACAGTTGGAATCAATTTCTTCAACGCCAAATCCAAACAATCCTTTCTCAGAGAATTCCAAGAATTACTGAGATCAGAAGTACCATCCGACGAGATGAAAGTAAAGAGATGGTCCGTGAAGCTGGCAAAAGCGTTCTTCAAAGCAACCTTCACTCTCACCAAACCCAAGGATTCAGCTTCCAACATCCGCAAAAACAGATCTGGTTGCAGGGTGAAAGATTCCAAAGGTCTGTTGATAGCATACTTGAAATCGGCATATGGCGAGCTATCCGTGATTTTGAATTTACCCTTCTCGGTCAGTTCAATGTCAACACTGGCGAAGCTTTGGAATGCAAGTCTCAAATGCGCTTTGAGCTTAGGATTATTGAACAACTGTTCTGAAAACATGTGCTTCACGGCGGTAGAAGCCTTCTCGACAGAGTCAAAGATAGAGTGATCATTCACACAGTCCTGAATCAAATCCTCAACCTTTTGATCCACATCATCAACGAGATAGATTTTGTTATTAGTGAAAACATTCTCTCCGAATTTTTCAGCATCAATACCGATCTTCTCAATGACACGGTAAACTGGGTCACTCTTGATTCTCTCAAAGAAGGTAAATTTGGAGTGTGACTTTTGTTTACCCTTGTGATCGTCTGGATGTAGTTCGCGCTGTCTGGAACTATAGGTGAAGGTGAGATAATCTTGCAAATCCTGTAATTCCACAACTGTCTTTGCTGACTCGATATATTCGTCATAAAGCGTGTCGACAATATCCAAAGCCTTGTACTGTTTTTCGATGTTGATCTTCTTTTCCAAGACAGCGTAAAAGTCGATATCGAGCTGAACAATTCTCCATAAATCGTTTTCGCTGAGCAATTTTTGAACTCTTAATTGGCCATCCTCGCGGTATGTGTGAAGAGTGTAATCCTTTTTGTTATTCCAAATACTTGGAACCTCGAGATTCTCCTTGGAAACAAAATAAACAATCTGGGCAACAGCCTTGGTGAATGGTTCAATCAAGTCTTCTTTTCCTTGAAAGAATGTTTTCTTTTCTTCGACTAATGCTTTCGAAACCCAGTCTTGCTTCTGTTTGAAGTCCTCATCGGAAAGGTCGTAGTTAGAGATTCTTTCTCTAAAAGCTTGGAATCTTTCAGGAATATCTGTGACTCTAATTTCTTGATCTCTATCGGTCAACAAATGCTCTTTCAATTCCTCAAATTCGAAAACTTTATTCAGGACCTGTGTTTCCTTTGATGGTTTTCTAGCAGAATCGGCCTCTTCATCGACTTCGTCCTCCATCTCCGGTTCCTCATCAAGACTTTCTGCTTCCAAGGCCCAAGCGTACTCTTCTCCATCACCAAAGATTTCGTAAAGCTCGTCAAGCTTGTCTTGATCAAATTGTGAATTTGAAGCAAATGTGGCCTGTTTAGCCCGAGCGGATCTCATACGAGCCAATCTCTCATCTCTGTCTTCATCGTCCTCAGAAAACTCGTCGTCTTCGATGAAATCGTCGAATTCTCCGAGCATGTCCTGTTGTCGTTGTTGTCTTAAGCTCTTCGAGGCCTCCATCAGATCGTCCTCTTCTTCTCCCTCACCTTCGCCACCTTCTTCATCTTCTCCTTCCTCGTCGGAGAACATATCAGTCAGACCTTTGGAGGTCGGTCCCGCCGACTCACTATCGTTTCCTCCACGCTTAAGACGTTTGAACTTACTCTTCTCGGCAAGATGAGGAGGAAGCTCTCCTGCGTTTTCTCTCAAAAGCTCGAGATCGTCTTCGTCAAGCTCATCGTCCTCTTCAAGTTTTCTGATGGCTTCTCTCTTTCTCTTCTTATGCTTTCTACGTCTCTTGCGCTCGTCGTCATCTATATCTTCGTCTCCTTCGCTTCCTTCCGCATCGTCGACGATAAATCCATCTCTGACTTGACGGATAGCTTCTTCGTCCTCTTCTTCATCTTCATCTTCCTCTGACGAATCCACAACGCTGCCTCCGCCGTTTTCGCTGTCCTGGGCCTGAGTTTCTGCCGTGTCTTCAATGAAATCTTCGTGAGATTTCACCGCTGACCCATTGTCGGTAGCAGTATTAGTCTCGTGATCTGACATTATCTGAAAGTCAACGACTCAATGAAAGAATCCGATCAACTTTGCGCTAATACACCAGTCAGAACCTGCACGAAGCAAATGTAATAATACTGGGCGATTTTTACTTTGAAAATATTAATATACAAAATCCGGGTAAACTGGGTGAATAGTTAGTTATTCCAGGACTGAAAAATTGCATCTCTGCACCATTGAATAATCGGGTAGCTAACAGTTCACGTAGACGAGCCTCGTTTAATATTATCCTTAAGATCGCTCAGATACTCGTCGTAGTGTCTGTTCAGTTTGTCGTTGAATTGTTTGTTTTTCTCATTAATTGAATTCTGGTTGTCTTCCGTGAGCTTGCGTCTTTTGACTGTGTTTGTTTCACGCTCTTTCAATTGAATCACCATCGCATTCAGCTTAGCTCGGTCCGTCAACGAGCTGATAATGTCCGCCTCAGATTTCCCTTGTTGTTTCAAATCATGATACAATTGTTTCTGGGCTTCGTATTGTTTTGTGTTGATTGTATCCAGATTCTTGAGTTCCTTTGAGTAAGTTCGACGAGCAAGTTGTTTGAAGTTCTGGAACTCGCGGTCTTCGGCTGCTGTTTTGTTGCTCTTCAGCTTCTCGTTCCAAGCCTCATCTTGTTCTATAGTATATTCACGTCTTTTTATGCGATCGACGTCGATGTTCTGGCGTCTTAATTCTTCCTGCTGTGCTTCTTCTTGAGCCTTTACTTGTGACAAGGCTGCTTTCGCTTTCTGGGTCTCCTTGATCCTTTGCGCTTCTCGTTGCAACTCTTTGGAATTCTCTCGTAAAGCCTGATCTTTCAGCTCTTTGAGCCTATTGATTCGCTGTAAAATCTGAGGCTTGGAAGATTGTTTTTGTACTGAGGCACTCATTACAATTGAAATATTTTTTTCACCTTACAAAAAGAACTAGGCGTATTATTCTGCCTACCAGGGACAACTCTCGTAATCTTCCGAGGATCGGATGATCCGCGTTTGAGAACGTATCACAGCACGAATACGCAGAAAGTCCGCCAGCCACTTTAAACCCTTCGCAAATTTTAGCTCGTGCTTCCCCTGCTACGCACCATAATAATCTTGGACTCCGAGCCCCATAACAATTAATCGTATGCTATCACGTTAAATGTCCTAGTTTTTAGGCTTTGGCGCAACATGTATCTCTTTCTAAGATTCCCAGTACTCTTTTCCGGCTATTCCAAAAGCCACAAATCGTATTCGCCATACTAAAATGGATCGGCTACCAGAATTTCCGAACTGGCTGATCTCCACCTAGATAAGCAATCTATGGCATTTTCTTAGAGGCTTAAAATTATTTAGACATAAATTCTTGGCACATGTCTTTGCTCCAACAGTTGACTCTCTTCCAGTATAAAGAACCTAGTGAAGGATACTGGGGTCCGGTGACCGCCACAATTGACTGGTGTGAAGAAAACTATGTGGTTTCTCCGTTTTTTGCAGAAATAGTCAACGCCACCACCAACCTCTCCTTTTACTTCCTGTCGCTCAACCTATTACGTTCGGCTATCAAGAACGACCATGGATTGATGTTTGTGTTTGTGTCCATCGGTATGTGCGTCGTTGGAATCGGATCTTGGTTGTTCCACATGACTTTAAAGTACGAGTTCCAATTATTAGACGAACTACCAATGATCTACGTCACTGCAATCCCATTTGCCTACATTTTTGGACTGGAGACTAACTCCAAGTTCAAAAGGTACCTTGTGTATGTCACCACTGGTACCCTTATTGCTGGGCTCACATACATCTATTGTTCCGTTTACAAAAATCCTGAGCTCCATCAGGCTTCATATGCTGTTCTCAACATCTCCATTGTGGTGAAATCGGTTTCCCTTGTCAAGAAGCATGTTACGGACTACAACCAGAGGCATTTCCTGTACAAGTTTGTTGGATTTGCTCTATTTGAGTTCCTATTTGGATTTCTCGTTTGGAACCTGGACACAGTGTATTGTTCGGACCTAATTAGAGTCAGAAGACTGGTTGGGTTGCCACTGGGTGCTCTGCTTTTTGAAGGTCACGGATGGTGGCACATTCTCACCTCCTTGGGAATTTTCCACTTTATTTTATACAACCAAATGTTAAACGTTTGGTACCGAGGACTTCAAGACAAATACGAATTGGTCTGGAGACTTGGGATGCCCTTTGAGGTCAGACTGAAGCCACAGCCTGCTCCAGTTGCAAAGAAGGAAAAGTCTTCTAAATAGACAGACCAAAAGTTAGAAAAGCTATTGAGATCTCGTAGGGTCGATCGACCCCTGATTTAATTTAAAAATCCGGTTATTGTGGAGAACTAGAATTGCCGGTCGTTCCATAAAGCTGTGTTGATTCGTATAAACATGGTATTTTTTGACTATCCTGACAAGTTGCCAGACTCGTATGTGGGTTTTTGGGGCCCTGTTACCGCCACCATTGATTGGTGTGAGGAAAATTACATTCTGTCGCCATACATTGCAGAAGTGGTAAACAGTTTCACCAACTTTGCGTTCGTTGCCTTGGCTATTTATCATCTGTATAGCACCTACAAGAACCAGTTTGGAGGACTGTACGTCTACATTTCTCTTGGATTTGCTTCTGTTGGAATTGGTTCATTTTTGTTCCACATGACATTGCTCTACGAATACCAGTTGATGGACGAATTGCCAATGGTCTATGTGACAGCATTACCCTTTGGGTACATTTTCAGTTGGAACCAGCCTCCAGTTAAGAGATATCTATGGAGAATCGGAACTTTCGTCGTTACTGCCCTGTTCACTTATATTTACATCTTTGTGCATAGAGACCCTACGATCCACCAGATATTCTATGCTATTTTGAACTTTGGTGTTATCTACAAGACAATTAAGACAATCCATTCAGTGGTGACCGACCCTGCTTCTAGAAAGACTTTATACAAGATGCTGGTGTTGGCGGTGTCGTTATTTATCTTTGGATTTTTCATCTGGAACATGGATTTTGTCCTGTGCTCGCAACTGACCGACGTTCGTCGTAACATTCTTGGTCTGCCACTTGGTGTCTTCACAGAGGGCCATGGATGGTGGCACATCTTCACTGGTCTCGGAGTTTATTATTTTATTATTTACAACCAGATCCTGTCCACTTGGATGTCGGGACGCCAAGATAGTTATAAATTGGTCTGGCACGGTATATTTGCTGAGGTTCAACTCCAAAAGGAGAAGGATGAGTGAAGCTAAATCTTTATAGAACTGTATTGTTGATATCAATTAAGATTCCGCAATTTTAGCACAGATGTAGCGATAATTGTTGTCAATCACGCGAAGTCGTGGGTCCTCCTTCAGGTCAGGTTGTTGGTGAAGTAAGTCTATTGTCTCTTTCATCTCGTTGAAAACAGCTTCAAACCAAGACGCTTTTCTGGTATTTAAGTCTCTCGCTAATAAAATTCCAACAATCTTTACCTTTTCAGAGAAATTGTTAAGATCCAGTTGTCTTTGAAATCCTTGCTGACTTTCAAAGCCCTCAAATGCCAAGTGCGAAAGACTGGTGTCATCCTTCTGCTGAATTATAGAGAAAATGATGCTCTGAAGCCCACTATTTATTTCTTCGTCTTTGCAACCATTTTGTTTCCATCTGGTAATCGATTCTATCAGATCATTCGTTTGTTCATCCTTCATGAACTTGACGTATTTGGTGTAAAATTCCAATGCTAGTTTTAATGCAAATTTGTGTTTGGTCTCGTAAACTCTCCGCTGGTACAGCTGATCAACAATGGCTGAGAACATGCTATCGGCCGTCGCAGAAAACTTAGTACGGAAACTCTCGTTTCCGATTAGTTTCTTGAGAAGATGAATGGCCTGTAGATATTCATACTGCTCCAGTTCGCAGAAGCTTTCGAGAATTGCAACCAAGCGATTAACATCGTCAATCCTTGACGCAATGAGTCGTTGTTTCTCCTCAGACATGATGTAATTTCCAGTGATGATCATGGAAAGCGACTGCGCAGCGTGATTCGGGCTTCTCAACAGCTCAAAATACGCGTCCAGCTGGTCGTTGGGGTTGGTTTCGTTGGCCGAAAGATTCATCACGCTAAGAAACAATAAATTAGTTTGGTCCTTCGTTGTCTCGTTTAGATGCCGAACCAGATCAAGCATCAATGATGGGTCGTTTGAAAGATCAAGCTGGTTCATGCTGACAGTGTGAACGAGCTCGTATTGCGAGGCTTTGAGCAGTTCTCTAAGCATTATGGTCGAGGTGCTAACTTCACTGAACTCTTCAAGTAAGCTTATCCATTGGTCGTTCCAGTCCTCTTCAACCTTCATTTGAGCAAGCTTTGTATCCATCTCAAGTCGGACCAGAGCCTGTATCGAGTCTGTGCAACTCAGAACAAAATTATTGAGAAAATGAAGAACAAAGAAGTTGTACTCGTCAGAGGTCAGATTGTCTCTGATCAAAGTGAAAAACGACTCTGACTGGGGGTCTTGTAAAACTATATGTCTGTTTTCATCCGAATCAGCAACAAAATTAGCCAAGAACCGGAACACCATGCCCAGTGACTCGGTATTTTTGACATTTAACTGCTTGATCGAATAATCAATAATACTTGGTATAAATCCTTTCACTCTTGGATTGGATCTGTTAGTCTCGTCTCTCATGAACGTCCCTAACTCATCAAACAGATCGGTCAACGATCCGTGAGAATGACTCAGGTTTTGTTCCAGCTGATCAAGGGTTTGATCCAAGGTCATAATACAATATTTAGATTAAAAAAATTAATTATCCCTTCGTGGACGTAACATTACAGATATTAAGATACATGCATTTAGCGGTGCTTGCGCACCTCCCTGTACCACCCAGCACCAACATCTTCACCCCTCGTACCCGGCTCGTGATCAATGTACCCGTAGACACTGCAATCGTTAAGCCAGAAATGATTAGATAATCCGGCAGCATCCATTCTATACTTTGGATCAGTGATCAACATGCAGCCTAAGAAGTCGCTGATTTCTCGTGAATCTGTTTCACTGAGCTTGTACTTCTCCATCAGAACGCTTTCCAGAGGCCAAGGCTTGAGATTCTTGATCTGGCGAAGAGTTCTCATGTCTGAATGGAAATATCTTTTCGTATTGAAACCTTCTTCCAATACGTGTCGCGAGATCGGACCGACCAGCTCGATGATTTGCGCTAAATGGTCATCATTCTTGCTGAAATTAGGTCCTTCCGTCGGATCAAACAGGTAGTCGCCTGTTAGAAGCTCGAATAACAAACATCCAATCGACCAGATATCAGACGAACATCCCCAATTGGCTCCCAAAATCACCTCTGGGGCCCTGTATTGCCTCGTTTGGATATCATCGGTGAAATGTCTGTATACCCAGCACGCATTTCCAAGGTCTGCAATCTTGACCCTGATAAGGTCGTCGTCCTCCAGCTCGTCCTCGCGTGGTGGCTCCGCAGAGAAAGGATCAGACTCTTTGAAAGTTTTGCTCATCAGCGATTGCAAATCTTGATGTGATGCGTGCGATGGATTAATATTGTTTCCAATGGTTCTTCCGGCAAATGTTGAGATTGATGATTGCAAAGGAGAAACAAAAGAAGAATTAGATCTGGATCGCAGCGGCGAAGGAAGTGGTTGAGATCCGGTCACAAGTGTTTGGCGTCTAGACTTTCGACTCTTTCTGAAAGGTATCCGCTTATTATCGTCGTCAATCGAGTTCGAGCTCGTGTCGGAGTTGTAACTCTTCAACTTGGAAGAGACTCGCCGTAAAAGTCTTCTCTCCTTCTGCGAATCCTCCAGGTATTTGACCAGCTTTTCCACGTCTTCAATTTCCAGCAAAATGTTTTCCGGCTTGATATCAGTGTGAATGATACCACACTGACGATGCAAAAAATCGGCCGCCAACAAAATTTGTTTGGCGATCTGTTTCACAAACTTGATGGGTAGACCTTTGTGTTTGTATCTGCGGATCAAACTTAGTAGATTCTCCCCTAGCACTTCGAAAACCATGCAAATGTGAGTTCCATTAGCTCCCTGGTGATCAAAATAGTCCACCAATTTGATTAAATGAGCGTGTCCTGGATGATCAGGATCGGTGTGGTTGATTTTGGACAAGAGCTTGATCTCGTCGATCGCAGTCTCCCGGTAAGACTTTGCACTTCTCACCACCTTCATAGCAACATGTTTATTTTCTTGTGTATCTTTAGCAAGCCAGACGGTGGAAAAATGGCCCCACCCGAGCTTACGCACCAAAACGTATCGACCATCTTTGTAGCTTTCACCTAGATATGCCGGGTGGTATCCGCCAGGAACGTAGTCCTCCATGTCCTCTTCATTAGCGGGATCCACGTCACTTTCCGAGTCTGAGTCATTACTCACGTCTTCGTCCAGGTGAGACTGTAGCAGCTGTTTTAGGCTCGTAGACTCTTTGGTCATTTGACCATCTACAGTGACTGGGTTTTCGGTCGGAGTTGAAGTCACATCCGGAACAGACTTGGTGAGATCTTCGTCCTTCATATTGGTCAGCTTCTGCGTGACCTCCTTGAGAATCTCCTCATCCGGTGCGAAATGATGTTCGTGTGGATCAGGTAGTTCTTCACCGGCTTTTTTCAACGCTAACGACAACTTGGACGTTGTTGGATTAACCGAGTCGTTTGACGATCCTTCGACATTTTCCTTGGCAAATGGCTCTTCAATGTTGTTTTTACTCTCCTGCGAGGGTAGCTTTGACATAATATTTCTGTGCTGATGGGAATGATGACTATTGTTTTGAGTTTTCGCCTTAGAGTCAGGAACTGAATTAATCAGTTTTGAAAGAATGATTCAAAAGAGTTCGATCTCCAGCTCTTCAAAATATTATAGCAGGTCGACCTCAAACAATAAATGAGAGCTGATTTCGGACAAATTGGCGTTAACCACCAACTCTTTTTGCAATTAGTAAAATCCAATTGATTTTTTTTCCCTTAATCTCCTCCTCTTTGAAAAAAAAATTAACAGGTCGGAAAACCCATAGCTTACCAAGACCAAAAGCCATTACTCACCTTTTAAACTATATATTAGATAAACCTAGCAAACCTAAACAGTCAGTCTCGTAAAGAAAAATGACGCTTAATCTAATTCATCGGCCATGTCAACATCACCATCTTGGTCAGCACCCTCGGTAGTCTTCTTGTCTCCGCCAGCTTTCTGGTTAGCTCTCTCAGCAGCGAGCTTTTCTGCCATGGCAGCAGCTTGAGAAGCCTCTTGCTTGGCTCTCAGTTCTTGTCTGAACTCCTCTTGCTTGGCGTTGTATCTACCCTTGATCAGGTTTCCAAGGGATGCAAGCTCTTCGTACTTGGCAATGTACTTGGCCTTCGAAGCATCTTCTCCCTCGTCGTAGAGCCAGTCCTCGGTCTTCATCAACATACCCCCGAGCTTCTCCTTCTCCTCTGGAGAGGCAAAGTCGGCGTATTGTTCTTCCAGCTTACCTCTCAACTCGTAAATGTACTCCTCCAAGGCGTTCTTTCTGTCCTCAGTCTCGGCAACCAACTTGTCCTCGGCAACCATCTTACCTTCCTCCTCGAAGTACTTGGCCAAAACCTTTTCTGGAAGTGCGAGGCCGCTGAAAACGATGTCCAAGTCCTTAGACTTCACAAGCTTCTTGACGGTCTTGTACTCAGGCTCGTCCTCTGGCTTGGCCTCTGGGTTTTCCACAAGCTCTTGGACCTCCTTCTCCTCAACAATGTGAGCAGACTCGATAGTGAAGAATCCGGATGGGTCGTTTCTGACCTTCAACTTGCAGATAGCGGAATCTTGACCCTCAGCGACCTCAACACCAGAAAGCTTCCATTTGGCGATTTCTGGCAAAGTTCCAGCAGGGAGCTCCTCAGGGTGGGTGTACTTGGCCTCGATCTCGAAGTCAGATGTTCTGTATAAAGTGATCAGCTTGGTAGATGGGAAAACACCTCCCTTAGGGAACACCTCCAGGTGGTCAGTGTCCTCGGCGTCTTTGTCCCAGTAGTAGGTGACAGAAAAGCTGTTGGTATCTTCAAACTTGAATGGTCTCACTCTCAAGGTTGGAGAGTGCATAGCGCAGATGAATGCAGCACCCTTGGCAATTGCCTCGTCCTGGTTCAAAGTGAAGGACAATTGCTTACCGAAGATCTCGGCAAGTCTGGTTTTCACAGAAGGAACTCTGGTACAGCCACCAATGACTTCGATGGAGTCCAAATCCTCAGACTTCAATCCAGCAGCTTCCAAAGCCTGCTCAATTGGGACGTGGATTCTTTCGAGCAATGGCTTAACCATCTCCTCAAGCTCCTCTCTCGTAAGCTGGGAAGAAACATCAACATCATCCATAACGGACTCGATGTTGAATGGAGCCTGAGAGTTGGCGGAAAGAACCTTCTTCAACTTCTCAGCAGCAACCAAAACTCTGTTGTATCCCTTAGGGTTGGTTCTGATGTCAATCTTGTATTTGCTCTTGAACTCGTCAGCGAAGTGCTCAGCAATGGCTCTATCGAAATCTCTACCACCAAAGTGTTTGTCATAAGCAGATCCCAAAATCTTGAGTTCTCCCTTCTTCACAGCACCAATGGTGACGGTGTAGGAAGAGTGGCCAATATCAACGAAGGCGACCTTCTTTGGCGCCTCCTCCGGAAGATCTGTCTTGAACACACCATATCCAACAGCAGCAGCAGTAACCTCGTTAACGATTCTGACTGGGTTCAAGCCAGCGATTTGACAAGCGTCAGCAGCAGCTCTTCTTTGTTGTTCAGTGTACCAGACAGGAACAGCCAAACATATATCTGTGATGTTTCCCTTTGTTTCCTTGACAGCGGTGTCTTTCAATTTGTTCAAATACATTGCCTCCAATTGGGTAGGGGTGAACTCTTCTTGCTTACCAAGATATCTGACCTTGACGGCGGCTTGGCCATCCTTAACGACAACTGGACAAGTGAAGTATTTCTTCTCGATTTCAAAATCTGGCGAGTCTGCGTTCAAAGCAAGAATACGCTTGATGTTCTCCACACTGTTCTTCAAGTTGGATGTTTGTTGTGTCTTACCAGTCTCACCGATGGATCTGCTCTTCACGCCAAACCCAACGATGGTAGGGGTACTTCTGTTGGAAACTTCGTTCACAACCACATCAATTCCTCTGTTTTTTGCAACAGCAATAACAGAGCTGTAGTTACCTAAATCGACACCGAACGGAGTAGACATTATTGATGAAAACTATGAATAAATCACTAGTTATTTAAGCAAGTTCTTGAAACCTTGAAAAATTTTAAAGACACTTTAATTTTTCGGTGCACACCTCTCGAACTTTCTAGAATTTACACTACCAAAACTCATCCACGGTTTAATATCCAACCTGGAGAATGGTTTGCAAGTTTCTCCATCCGTCACTATCGACCAGCTTATACTCCTCCTCCATCGCATTCTCGCCCTTGCCCAATTTCCGCACAATTTCCACGATTAATTCCAGTTCTTGTCCACTCAAGATGTCTTGATTCAACGTAAAGTAGATCAGTAAGTGGAAATTGCTCAATAACTGACCCAATTCTTCAGCATTGTCTCCATTCACAGCGCTGAGATAGTTCTTGAGATCAGGCATGGTAGCAGACTCTCCAATGTAGCCTCTATTCTCCACCGGGAATTTGTTAGATGCACCAGCTTTGAAATACGGACTGGATTTTTCAGGGAATCCATGCGTCAAAGACACCAAGAGATACTCCACAGGAAAGCTTGGATCTGCCTTTTCTTTCACTTGTAATCCATACTCGTTAAACTTTTGGTAAAAGATCTCCGGAACATATCTAACATCATTCTGTTCGTTGATAAATACTTCGTTTGGATGCGTCGATGGGCTGATCAAATCGGCTTTCACCAATCCCTCACCGCTCTCTGAAATTTGATATGCTTCGATATCGATCTCGCCGCTTGTGTTGCCTGAAATCACACAGGTGACGAACTTGGACGAGAACTTCTCAGAATCGCTCCACTTGCATATGTTGGGGAACTTGAGCTGCCATTTGATTGCAAATATGGCCTCCAACGACGAAAGGAAAAAAGAGTCTTTGTGTCTCTTGCAGATCACGGATCCATTGCCAGTTCCTGCATCGAGAAGATCTGTAAATATGATCCCAACGGGAACAAGATCTAATCGTTTAGCCAGCGACAAAACCTTCTCTTCGTCTTCCCAGTTCTGCAAGATTAAACCATCCTCCTGGTCAACTTGAGGGAACTCATAAATTGCTTCAACTTTAGCTTTTATCCCCAATGGAACTTTTTCGTACTTGTCGTAGCTACCAAACATCAGACCAATTCTTTGCGCTCCAGACATTCTCCACGTATTGATGAACTCATTGATTATCTCACTGTCTTGAAACTCAACATGATCCACCATTCTGAAATTCTGTCTTTGTAAAGTGACGGCAGATGGCTGACATTTCGAGCAAATGCCTTTTGGCCATGGATCATGTCCACCTGGGCATTTCTTGTTAATACTGAAGTTTGACTCGGAAAGAGGTGATATGTAAGATGATCCTGATTCCTTTTTGTTGGCCAAAGAATTCAGTTCATTTATATGTGCATGAAATGAGATATGCTTAATATTGTGCTGTTGCTGATAATCTTTATCCCAAGGAGGCAATGGTGAGCAGTATTCGCACATTCCCTTATCGGTGTGTCTGCAAAGAGAGGTTCTCTTTCTTGGAATCAATCCCTCTTCCTTATCATAAATATTATCGATTTGCAATTGCTTGATGGTTTGTGTTTCTTTGACCTGACTGATGTTAACAGAGCTTGCCAACTCTGCTGGTTCGTAAGATAAATAGAGCATTTCTCCATGTTTCAGATTGAGACCTTGAACAGTGGAGTCTTTCAGATTCAATGCTAATTGCCCTGCATCTCCAGGTTTGGTTGCGATTTTCAATGATTCTGGCTTGAATGGAGGCAATTTTGTCGCCAATTCATCCAAAACCGTCCCAAAGGCAGACGATGGTCCTGTATTTAGACGGAACATTCCATCCTTAGAGCGGAATCTAAGAACCTGGTTGTTAGAATGAAGTTGATTATCACTTACCAATGCCATTTTCGATCTTATATAATTTTCGCCACAGAGTAGTTCGATTATTTAAAGTAAATTCTTGGAAAAAATTAAGTTACAATTAAAAATGCTGCGAATAAGTCAGAAAAGACTTTATTCATTATCGAAACCTCTTTTGGAGGCCGACAAGTCGGCTTTCTATCGGTTAATGAATAAGTCAAAGAAGGCATCGTCTTCATCAAATCAACCTTTTGGCAACAGCTCCCTCATTTTTGAAACTAGAAGAAAAACGGACGCAGACAACCCAGATATCAATATAATCTTTGGCTTTTCGGGTAAGAATAAATCTACAAAGTCATCAAGAAGAGACGTTTCTTATAGAGCAATACAGAGAAACATTGCGGGAGTCACTGTCCCGAAACAACCTATAGAACCCGATAACTGTTGCATGAGCGGATGTGCGAACTGTGTGTGGGAGCTTTACAACGAAGACTTACAGGAGTGGAAACAGATTACTAAGCGCGCTGTAAATAATCTGATGGCTCAGGGGGACAACATCAAGGAGAAATGGCCTGCTGATTTCGATCCTCCTCCAGCTTATCTTCCAGAGAAATATATTCCTGATGAATTAAAACAGAATGGGATCACACGCAAGAAAGAAGTTGAAATGCCGCTTGGCTTACAAGTGTTTGCAGATTTGGAAAAGAAACTAAAATCCAAACGAAGCCATCAGACTTCTCCAATGGCAACGCAACAAGCATGAACAACGTATATATTTTTGCATTTATTTGATCAATATACTCCCTTATGAGTCAATATCCACGCCATTCTTTCTCAGATATGATTCAGCCTCTTTAATTTCTCCCAATAGCTCTGTGTACTTGTCTTTTTTATCTTTGAAAGTGTAAACACCCCAACCTAATGTCCCCAAGGCATAACAGCCAAAGGACACCAAAGCCCACCATGGAACAACCGGGAGGATCTCTTTTTGAACTATGGTTGGGACAGGGATGACTCCAACAAGAAGAGAGAAATAGATTGCGGAAGCAAGAAACACTGCCAACACGGTTTCCGATGCCTTTGTCATTGTAAATATGTTTTTTGATCAATTTTGTTAAATCGATTATTACGTGAAGGAACTTCGCGACAGAATTTCCTGTCGCACTACGACTGTTTTTTGAAAATAACGTCTGTAATTGAATTTAAATCGAAAGAAGTGAAGAAAGCGGATCGAGCTTACAAAAGGGCCAGGATTGCCGCTCCCAATGCGTAAGTGATACCTGCATATTTCAAGTTTTGATTAGCGTCACCTTTAGAGCTTGAGGATGTACGGCTAACTGAAGAAGTAGCAGATGACGAAGACGAGTCCACGGTAGAAGTCTGCTTCGACGAACCAGAGCTGCTGACACCAGTTTGAGCATTGATGGTATTTGTTGAAGCAACAGAGATCACAGCAGAGGTAACCTCGTTATCGTCGGCATCGTGAATAGTGTAGTTGGAAGCTCTAATATCAATATCGACAATTTGACCAATGTTTGATCCATTCACTCCGTAAAGAATCAGATCTTCGACACCATCAGGTGCATCTGGAAGGTCAAAATCAACATCGAAAACAGATGACAGTGACTCGAGGTATTCTTTGTCACAGGTGACAATTTTAGCTTCGGAAACGTCGTCCGAGGAAATGTCAGGAATACTGGAGTTGGCAAACTGACTCTTAAGATTATCGAAATCTTCCTTGTATGTCAAAGATCCATCATCATCAATTTCAACAATTCCGTAGTTGTTTGCCTCGACAGAGTATTCGTAGATCAGTCCACCGCTCAAAGTATTAACCAATCCGCCATAGACACCTTCACTCACTTCAGTGAAAGTTCTTGGGGTCTTAGCGATACATCCATATTCAGAAAAGAACACAGGAACAGTGGAGTTAGAAATCGTCTTGTTCAACGAACCGTATCCAGACGAGGACCAGTCAGAGACACCGGAACACCACTCGTAAGAGTTAATTCCAAAGAAATCAGACTTGGAATAATCGTCCTTTTCGCCGTCGATAGAGCAGATCAGGTATTCCAAAGTGACATCTCTTAATCCATCATCCAAGACATCAGCAGCCGAGTATCCAACAGGTATTGTTCTGTTGGAGTTATTCTCGATATAACGTTTCATATCTCTTTGGACTGCCCGCAAATATTTTGGATCCACACCAGCTGATTTAGAGTCATTGATAACTTCGTTACCGCTGAAAAATCCAAGCAGATTTGGGTAGTTCTTGAAAGCATCGATCATTTTGAAAACTCTCTCCATATAAGAGTAAGTGTATGAGTTACTTGGATTGTATCTGTCCAAAGATTCCCCAGAAAGAGGAGAGTTGACATCAATAATCACGTAAATACCAGCAGCGTTAAGGACAGACATGCACTCGTCGTGGTTCAGATCTGGATTCAATGTGTAAACTCTAATCACGTTGACCTCGGAACCCAGACTTTGTAAGACGTAGGCATCTCTATAACAAGCTTCGATATCGGAAAGAACATCGGTGGGGTTGGAATCTTGATAATCAGATGATCCACCTGGTTGGTAATCAACACCAGTAACAAAGAAAACTTCACCAGGATCGCTGGCATCAACTGCGGGCTTGATGAACCGATTACCAACGACCTCGATCGGGATGAGAGCATTAACTGCAGACAAAGAGCTGAGAATGCTCAAGAAAGACTTGTATCCAAGCATAGCAAAGACTAACGATAAAAGTGAACGAACGTGATGTAATAAAAACGGGTGAACAGTCTTACAGACTTTGTTTTCCTTTTAGTTTAATTAAAAATCTCCACATCTTAATTCAAGAGCAGACACAGGCAATAAACGAAGACGCGGTGCGAGGAGGGTGCCCAAATTTTTTGGTAATATGCACGCTATAAATTCTGTTTGAAAATATTGTCCAAACGGAATATTAGCAGATCGCAGGCAGATTCCGTTAAAAATCAAGATCCACACTATTGGGGACGGCCAACATGGATTTTTGTCGTAACGCGACAAGGATCTTTTGTGATAATTTGGTTGGTGCGACGAGTTTTACCCCAGTAAACTGAAGAATCCTTTATAGGCAAGGTCGATATCCCACAAGAACTCCTTCAACTCTTCGTCGTCCAAAAACTCGTTCAGCTTTAGGTTGTTCAGCTTGATTAACCACTGAACCAAATTCGAACGACCGTCGTAATCACCAAATACTTTGTTTGTGCTCGTGATTATGTCCGTCAAAAGGGGATGTAGCTGTTCTTTTGTATTGTAATTTAGTTTTATTGCGTCCATGAGTGTGATGAATGATCCTGTTGCCTCAGCAATGGCTTTTCCTTTTTGGGAAGCGTCGTTATTATTAGCCGATGCCGGAAGGTTGACTGTGGAAGATGAAGCGTGGGTTTGCGTGGCGGTAGCTGGTAAGCCAATTTGTATACGTTTGACGGCCAAGGGGCAGTCTAATTGGTATCGCGAGACGAATTTTTCAAGATCATCAAACTCTTCCTTGACTTCGTCGTCTTTCAAGATCAGGTTGTATTGATTGATCAATCGCATTGTTGTGCTTGTGTAGTAGTCTTCGTTAGCGTGGAATCTGTCTTTAATGAAGGACTTCTCCAACACGTTGATAGCGACGATGATGGAATACAATTCAGCAATCGACTCATAGTGGTCTCTTTGTTTGTTTGAAGTGTAGAGGGGAATTTCGTGGTCTAGAGATTGTTTCGCTCTGCGAATCAGACTCTCAGAAACCGACCGAGAAGTGGCAGGGGCATACGCTAGTTGTTCCATTGATTTGCCTGCGAAAATAAATACGACAAGAGAATTGAGCACAGCCTCGAATTAGGAACATACGCAATAAAATGTAAACTTGGAAATATCCGTTTTAGGGAATGAAGCCAGGAAGAATCTGGATTCCGGAAAAGAAAAGTGGAAACAAGATTTCTCTGATACTGGGTTTAGTCCCGAAGACAAGGAGCATGATATGAGAGATTTGGACTAGGTGATGGTTAGCGCCATTTTTCAAACACCGTCAATCTCGACCCCTGTCGTTTCCAGAACAGGAGAAGTCATCGGCTAGGCACACTTGCACTTGAGAAATTATGCAGAGTCTGTAATCTGCAATAGATTTTTCCAAACGCTATTGTTAAAAGATCGGTCTCTACAAGAATGTCTGCCTGGAATCAATTAGGATTGCCCTTGCGGAAGCCGGGCATTTCTCTCAATAGTGTAGATCATCCACGGAGAAATGCGAGCTTTCAACCCACCACGATCGGCTCGGCCTCGGTCAGTAATGAAATTAGTCCCTAAGCGTAAAATGTTTATAATAAAAATAAAATTTTTCTCGATTAGGAAGCCTAATTACAGCTTAGACACTGCGAGCTATTTGGAAAAGTCTTTTCTACAGGAGTATTTTTATCCTTGTTATATACATCTACTTGCTCAAATTCTTGTCAGATCGAGACTTTGACAATGGTGAATATCTGGAAAGTAGCCACGGTTGTGGTGTGTTTGACCCAACAAGCTTTAGCAGTTATCCCCAAAGACCGAGGTCATTTCACTCTGCAGAAATACACAAATTCGACATCATCAGTCCCTGTATTTTCACCACCTCCCCCACCACCTCCGCCATCCTCATCCTCGGAAACCTCTAGTCCTCCTCCAAGCAACATCGTCACAGACTCACACACAACAACTCCAACTCTAACGTCGTCTTCCACACCGGTGTCACTCTCCTCTTCTGCATCGGTGTCCCCATCGATTTCCTCTCCGGTTTCCTCGTCGGTGTCTCCATCATGCGAACCAACCCCATACATGACATTCCTCCAGCAGAACGTTGACTCGGAGTCCCATTACTACTGGGCCGTTTATGTTCCTCCAAGTTATGGTCCTTATTCGGTTTCCGTGCCTGAAGCCGACGACTGGTCTTTTGATGAAGATTTCTTTAGCCCCTCAGACATCAAACTAGAAGGCACTAGTGCCGTGTACCAAACCTGGAACATCTCTTCAACAACCGACGTTTGCGTGCCAGACCTCCAAGATTACGACTACGAGTTTTTGGCTTCCATCGTCCCAGGAAATTCAAATGACATCGTTTACAGTGCCAATGCCACAGTGGTTACCGAAAAGTTTGGAACTTTCTTCCTCGAGGCCACTGGATCTATCGGTGCTCACCCAACAATCATCGCCTACCAGAACGAGACTTCTGGCTACGGTATTTTTGAAATCCATGTTCCTTCTAATTACACTCCGTTCGGTATTCAGGGAGAAAGCCAGGACGCATGGACTTTTGTGGAAGATTACTACAACTTCGATTTGGATGGAAATCCCGCATCTGGATCGTTCTCCAAGATCTCCAACACCTCCATCAACATGGCTTATCCTTTGACTTCTGTGGCTGGAAGCACCTACAACGTCGACTTTGCAATTCGGCCCGTCGGTAATGCCAACTTTGCCAAGATGAAGAGAGATGTGAGTGAATACGATGCTACTTTCACCTTCACTGACCCAAGCACTACTATTTATCTCAGTACATCGGTGTCTTTAACTCCAGTGACAAGTTCATCTGCTCCGTCGACTACTCCAAGCAGTACTTCCTCCTCGGCATCTTCCACATCCACCCCAGAGTCTACCGATGCTCCTACCTACACCATTAGATACGAAGGAAACACAATCCTGGTCGACTTCTCTGTTCCAGCTAGTATCATGGAGAGAGGAGGTGTGACATACTCGTCCTCCAACGAGGATAACTTTGACATCTCCAGCGGAGGATCTGGCACTTTAGCTCAAAGCAACTCCGTCGGAACATTTGAAATCGTTGGTGAAGAGGATGACCCAACACAGCCAGGATCGTTTGATATCTACATCTCTGTCAACCAAGGCGGAAAATCCAAGAGAGCAGACTCGTGGTTGTATAATATCAAGCTTAGTGCTACTGCTTCGAGTGGTGTGGTCAAGCCAAGCAGCTCTGCTGACGAAGAATCAACTTCAACTGCTGGTGTCTCGGTGGTCACCACCACCGACTCCAGTGGAAAAGCCATTGTGACCACCATCGTTTCTGGTTCCGAGACCGAGACAACTTCTTCAACATCTTCTGAGGACGACAGTCTCACCACGATCGATGGCTCTGCCATGACCTCCACTGCAGATGTTGATAATCATGACTTCACAACAGTGTCTTCTGAGTCGTCGTCATCGTCATCGTCATCGTCGTCGTCATCATCATCGACAACCAAAAAGACGACAAGCCCGACGAAAACTTCAAAGACTGCTGCCACCACGGCCCACACTGCCCCTGCCGGCGAAACCCTAATTACCAGCTACGGTTCGGATGGAAGTGAGGTGGTTATCACCACCAGCCTTCCTTCTGGCGTTGAAGTCTATGGTACAACCAACTCAAAGGGAAACTCTGTGTTGGCTACCTCCTACAGCTCCGGCTCTGATGGTCATGTCACCACAACATCTGGTAAAGACGGATCTCTTGCATACGTCACAGTGACACCTTCTGAGTCTGAATCGAAGTCAACATCTAGCTCCGATACCGAAAAGACATCGGGTGGTGACTCTGACAACTCAACCAAGAACTCAAACCACCATTCAAGCACAATCACTCCTGCGGATGGCGACTACGTAACGACAATCGTGGGAACTGACTCTAATGGAAAGCCTACTACAGTTGTCGCTACGGTGCCGTCTGGCCAAACGGAAGTGTTCACCACCAATTCTAATGGAGACTTGACATTGTCGACTATAAGTGCCTCTGGCTCCGGCTCGTCGGGTTCTACAGGCGGAATATCGATTTACTCCGCTTGGGCAGCCTCCTCCAAATCTCCTTCAGCATTGCTCGGTATTTTCACCGTGCTGTTCTACATCTTCATCTGATACAACCACCATCGATGATGGCTCGTATTAAAAATACCCAAAGCGCTCATTATATAAATCGTTAGTATTATCATAATTGATAACTGTTAATTTTTTTGACTGTTGTGCCAGTCTAGGTGTCTTTTCAAATCGTAATCCTTCTTGAATCCGCGTCCGCAGAGCTCGCACAGAATTGTCCTTTCGTTCACGTTGGAAACGACTAGGTCAAACACAGAACCAATCCGACCTTTGTTTAGTTGTTTCTGGAACGTTTGCGATCCTGGCTTGGCACGTGGAACAGAACTCTCAGGAGCAGTATTAGATCGCGCGTACTGCAGTTCCTCTTGAACTTCAGTTTCCTGATGCTTTTCTGAATAATGTACAGTCAACTCTTCCTTTTTCTGATGTCTCTCTCCGCAAATTGAACATTTCCAAATCTTTAGCTCGTCATTGTCCTCGTGAATTTTCATGTGATTTGCAAGTCCCGTTGGACCAGCACACTTCTTGCCACATATTTCACACGAAATCTTAGAATGCTCGGATTTGATGTGTAATTGCAACGCTGACCAAACTTTGAAAGCCTTGAAACAGCCCGGATACTCACAGATCAGTTTGGCCGTATCGCTGTGCTGTTTCTCCATATGGTCCGACAGTCGACCAGGTCTGCTAAACGCCTTCCCACACTCTGTGCAGGTGAGTCTAGCGGCATCGTGAACTGAATTGATGTGGGCCTTTAGCGACTGGTGTTTGTAGAACGCTTCTTCACAGCTTTCGAAATGGCACTTGAAAGATTTATAATGCGTCTTTTCGTGTCTTTTCAAGTGCTGGAGACTGTTGACCCCCTTGCTGCAAATTGAACAATGAAACGGTTTGTCATCGGGAGTGGTATGTTTGAGCATATGTCGTTGTAGATGGTCTTTCCGAATAAACGTTTCCTCACAGATTGTGCACGCAAACGGTCTTTCATTGGTATGCGATCGAAGATGCTGCTCTAAAAGCGATGGTTTGGAGTATCCTTTGCCACAGTTCTCGTAATGACAGAAATATTTCTTGACTCTAGAAGGGGAGCTGGATCTTGAAGGGCTTCTTGAGGAGTTCCTGGTTGAAGGAGCCGGGGACAAGATCTCCAGAGTTTTCTCCGATACCCTTGCATTCTTTGCGTGTTCTGGGAGAGTAGAATCCTCCAACTTCCTCTTGAGTTGAGGAATATCAGAAGTCATATCTTATCAGAAGAATATAAGAGAAATATTTAATCTTCATATTTTTTTTTTTCCTTTTATTGTTACCCGGAATCTTTAATAGTTTGCAAAAATTTTCATAATAGCGGTGTTGTTTGTTAGTCTTCAATAGACCTCCAACTCGACGAACATGGCAGACTACGAAGAAGATGGAATGAAGAACGAGAGATACGACGACTTCGATGAGAAGTACGAGTTGAGCGACGAGGAACGGTTCAGCGATGAAGAACCATTAGAGACTGAAGATGGAAAAACGATTGTGAAGGGAGGATTAGGCCCTGACGACGGAGAAGCTTATTCCAACGGAAGCACTCTAAAAAAGACTAGAAACTTGGCGATCCCAAAAGACCAACGAACAACAACCCCATACATGACGAAATACGAAAGAGCTAGAATATTAGGTACCAGAGCATTACAAATATCTATGAACGCTCCAGTTCTTGTTGATATTGAAGGAGAAACCGATCCATTGCAGATTGCTCTTAAAGAACTTTCACAAAGAAAGATCCCGCTTATCATCAGAAGATACTTGCCTGACGGCTCTTACGAAGATTGGAGTGTCGACGAGCTGATCATCGATCAATAATGAACCTGTATTTTATTAATTGTTTGGCATAGACTAGAAAAAAACCACACAGCCCAATGATTTGCTCCGTAAGATCTTTTTAGTTGGAAACTGTATCGATGAATGCGTCTGATGTGAATGTTGCTTTACCAGTAAGGCCGTTTTTCTTACTGAAAGAGCTTATCACTTTATTCAAGTCGTTTTTGCTCATTTTGGCGTCTGGGTTTGTTTTACCCACATCGAGGATATTTTGGCGAAGGTCGTCGGCGTAGATGGTGTTGGACTCGTTTTTGAACGACGAGAACACCTGCTCCAGTTCATTTTTGTCGTTGAAGTCACCATACTTTGTGTGCATAAACTTCACGAACGCATTGAACACCAGGCCGTCCGATCCAGACTCTGCAAGCATCTTCTTAGCGTCGCCCCCATCTTTAATTCCCAGGCTGGAATGCGTATTCTTGATATCTTCTGCAGAGATTTTACCATCGTGATCTTGATCCAAAATGTCGAAAATCGCTTTAAAATGCTCGATCTGCGATTTCGATAACGAGTTAATATTCCAGTCGTCTGCCTTATACAGTTAGCTTACTTCAAAGGGTCTCATTTTGTATACTCACTCCCATAGTCAAATAATCAATAAAGTTTAGGAAAGTAAACAAAAAGCTGGTTTCACCTTTACACCAATTTTTTTTTTCTTTGTGTTACTCGATCAACCATGTCGGTGAACGGATTGCTGAAGGCTGCCAGGCAGTCGTTCAAAGACGACGATCCGAACTACGTGATATACTGCTGCGATAAAATCATCGAGGATTTTGACAGCAAGAACTACTTTGCCCATATATTTAAAGGTAAAGCTCTACACATGTTAAAGGACGACGAAAAGGCGTTCGCTTCCTATGAACAAGCAGCAAAGATCAATTCGGACGATGTTCTTGCCTGGAAGGGAATGCTTGAGCTGGCAAGAGAAAGCGACAATTACGAGCAGTTTTTCAGAGTTGTTACCGGTTTTGCCAACAGCTTGCTTGCCAAAAATGATAGTTTGACTGAAGTGGTGACAGCAGTGAGGGACTACCTCAAGAAATTCAAGAGAAAAGTTCCTATCTTGACAGAATACTACTTGCGCCAGATCATTCCAGGTTCTGAGTTTGGAGACTTGATGGGCCAGATGTTTGAAAAACCAGAAATAGCATTATTCCAACTGATCAATATCGTGGAGCAAAAACAGAGTGCCTACATTAAATCGGAGCTTTTCAAGAAGAAGCTGACCGGAATTTCCAATATGTCTGACAAAAACCAATTGGCCTATAACCGTGTGATCACTACTGCGCATAAGCAATTTGGACTTGTGGAACTCTGTGAGAGATACATCGATATGTGTTCAGACGATTATCACCGCAAGAAAATGGAATCAAGATTGTTAGAACTCAGGTTCGAACAACTGAAAGCCGCTCCAGATGCAGAAAAGAAACAACTTTATCTGGAAGTGTATGATATGGTGGAAGGAATGGTTGTGGTGCAGAGCCCTTCTCAGCTGGCCTGGGATCTATACTTTGATTGGAAAGATTTGAAATCGTTCGAGTCTCTGGACCTGATTTTGGTCGCGGACTACATCAAGCTTTTCGGAAACGTGGGATTAGGTGCTGTGCTTTTTGCATTTGTTTCCTCAGATATTTCTCCATTTGACAGACAGAAGGTCAAGGAATACCTCAGAGTGGAAAAGAAGTCTAAAAAGAACAGGTTTCGTAAGAAAAAGCGTGTTTTGAAAAACATCAAAACTGCCGAGGAGGTCGAAGAAGACCCGAACGGAGAAGCTCCAATAGCGATTGAAGAATCAGAAGAAACAACAGACGCAGATGATCTCTCCCCTGCAGATGTTTTGGAACTGATGATCCAGGGTATAAAAGTTGCATCTGAGTCCCTGCTTGCACATAGAATCGTCACAGCGTATTATCTGCATTTGAGAGAATACGAGACCGCCCTCGACTACGCAAAGCAACTTGTGACCCTGGTTTCAAAGGAACAAAAGAAACTCAAGCTAGACTTCCCAAACACAACAAAAGACTCACTTTTGAGTCTTGCAACGACATATACATATTATGAGACCCCTAGACATTTCTCCCAAGCTCTGAAACTCTACGATTCTGTGCTGGGCAAGAGTCCCACTGATGTTCAAGCAAGAATCGGAAAAGGTTTAATTTTAGTGGAGCAGAAGGACTACAACGCTGCTGCTATTCTCTTAGGCAAAGTGTTAGACGATGCTCCAGACCATCTCCAAGCGAACATGGAATACAGTTGGAGTATTATTCAGATTGGAGAGTACGCCAAGGGACGTGAAAAATTAGACAAGGCGTACAAGATGATCGATGGAACTGACCCTAATTCTCTAGAGATTCGTGGCAACACTCTTTGGCGTATAGCGGAATCGTATCTTATGGAGGCTAGAGATACAGAGAGTCCAGACGAAGAGCATGTTGCAGCACTGGTGAAGAGTGCGTTCGATTTACTGATCGAAGCACTGAAACAATCAGAGTCACTCTCTGCACCATACAGCTCGTTGGGTTACATCTATTTGACTTACTATGACAACAATACGCGTGCGCTAAAATGTTTCTCCAAAGCTTTTGAGTTGAACGCCGGTGACATGCTTGCAGCCAAAGAGCTATGCAATTATTTCAGCTCCCAGAAAGATTGGGAGATGGTTGAAGTGGTTTGCCAGAGAGTGGTCAATAGCGAGCAAGGAAGAAGGGCTATCTTGAGCTTGGAGTCTGATGGATCCTGGCCTTACAGAATGTTGGGATGTTCATCTCTTGAGCGGCAAGATGATAGCAAAGCTATTGAATTATTCCAAAATGCTTTGCGTATCGATTCCGCAGATATCGATTCCTGGATTGGATTAGGCGAAGGATATTTGGCTCGTGGACGTTTGGATGCAGCCTTAAAAGTTTTCAACAAGGCCTTGGAGATTGCGCCTGATAATTGGCATGCAACGTACTTGCTGGCTGTGATATTAGGCGAGATGGGAGAGTTCCAGGACGCTATCTTCCACTTGGAGACGATTGTTGCAAAAAGACCCGAGGAAACTTGTGTTTTCGTGAGACTCGCGGAGACACTGGTCATGAAGACAGACTACGAAATCAGCAACAGCCACATTGCTCGTTCCTTAGATACAGCCTTGAAAGCGATCGAGACGTTCAAGGTTGCCGTCAAGTTGGACCCATCTTCCCCGAACTTGTGTCGACTTGTCGGAGAACTATTGAAGTTGACCCTGATGGTGGAGTCTCATATCGACAAACTTCCATTCGATGATCTGAACAGTATTTTTGAAAACAACTCGGCACTGAAGACCACCAAACTGCTTACAGAGATTGGAGATAGCGCAGAGTTTGAAGCTTTGAAGGATAGTCCGATCAAGACCGAAGCTACTTGCTATTTTTTGATACAGAGTGCAAGAATTGGAGTCTCCATCACTGGTGACGGGGCTCCGCGTCTTCTGCGATCGTCTACAGCATACAATTTAGGTGTTGCATATTTGGCTGCATTCTTGAAGTTGGAGAAAAAAGAGCTCCAAGAGAGCGCTATTAAGGCTTTCAAGAACGCCATTCTTTTGGAGAATGATAACCCAGAGTACTGGAATTCTTTGGGAGTTGCTTCGTTGAGCCAGAACGCCAAAGTGGCTCAGCATTGTTTCATCAAGGCTTCGTCCCTCTCACCACGTGATCCAATTCCATGGACTCATCTGGCTGTTCTATACATGCATTATGGAGACATGGACCTTGCCAACCAGTGCTTCCTCCGTGTTCAATCACTTGCACCAGGACAGTCCAGCTGTTGGACCGGAAGAGCGTTGGTCGAGGAAGCCAACGGAAACGAGCAAAATGCATCCCAGCTGCTTACCCACGCCCACGTCATGTCCAACGGAAAGAGTCCATTGTCGATGTTCCTTTACAGTTTGTCTGTGGTGAAGAGTATTGTTGGCACCGAGACCACGGAAGAGAATCTGGATGCGGTTCAGGAACTCGACGTGGCCAACTTGTCGATTCTCACGTACCTCAAGTACTATCCTAACGACAAGCTGGCTCTGAACGTGGCCATCTTGCTGATTGAGCGTGTTCACGATTTCTCAACAGGACTTCAATACTCTCAACAACTGTGCGCTATCTTAGAGCACAAGCACGAAACAGACCAGTCTGATGATCTCGTTACCTCGTTGGCCACCGCCAAAGCACAGATTTCCAGAATGTACTTGGGAGCACAGGAATACGAGCTTGCCATCGAAGCGAGCGAACAGTCTATGGAACTGATCGAGTCTGTTGACGGACTATCTGATGAAGTCCAGAAAATCATGCTGTCTTCGCTGGCCGTTCTAGGACTCTCATTCTTCTTCAAAGGAGACTTTGACTCATCTGTCGAGGAGTTCAAAAAGATTCTGGAATCGTTCCCAGACTCGCAAAGGGTGGTTGTTCTGATCGCACAGGTTCTGTACGACTACAACTCCGAAGACACAAAGCAGGCTGCCATTGACGAGCTGTTCAACCATATCGAGAGCTTTGGTAGCTCGCTATTGGTTGCACTCACACTGGCCTCGATATCGTTGGTGGAGGACTTGGAAGAGTTCTATCCTGCCATCAAAGAAGAGCTAGAGTCTTTGTCATTGAAACAGCTTATCGATGATACTTCAAGCAGCGTTCCGTTCTTCCTGGACTTGCTGAACCAGAAAATGGACACTAAGAAGACCACCATTTGGCAAAGAAACGCCATTCTGTTCCCGTCCGACGCCAAAACATGGAAGAAGCTCAACAAGCACGTCCACTTGAACGTGTGTCTGAACTCAAAGGGCGTCGGTGCAGACGAGCTCAGCAGCGCATACCTGGAAAGAGGAGAACTGAGAGGAATTCAAAGAGCCCTGCTCTTGAACCCAAGCAGTGCAGACGGCTACGTCGCTTTGAAAGGATGCTCATAAAAATGCATAATTACATTATAGAAATATGTACTAAAATTCTTGGTTGTTCTTCGCCAGCGTCATGTCGCTCATAGCAAATAGTAAGTCATCCTCATCATCTTCTGCGTTGCCGCCAGAACGAACAACGTTCCGAGGCCGCACATCGGTGGACAGAGGCGAGTGAGAATCGTGGTCCTCATCATCGGACTCAAACACCTCCTGGTTGAAGGACTTGAACTTCAAAAGCTCAGGGTTCACTGGACGGTTGCTGCTGTTTGTGGAGTTTGTATTTGTGCGCTGCGAAGAGCTCGTGAGCCGGCGCAAACTGTTCTGGACAGTCGCAACAGCGGTTGCCGATGCAGGAGGGGAAGAGTTTCGCCGTAGAATGTGCGCCAATGAGGAGTTGGAGGGAGAGCCCGAAGAAGCATGGAACTTGCCGTACGAAACCGAAGGCGTCACCATCGGAGCAGGAACCGACGGTTTGAGCGTCTGGGACGATGGCGAGTAGTTCGAAGAAATCGACCCCCTCCGTGACAAATCGTAAGAGTAGGTTCTCTTGAAACTTTGCGGCTGCGAACTCTGGCTATGGGACTGGATCATCAACTGGTTGGATAACGAAGGCAACCGCTGTTGCGGGTCCAAGCCGAAGAAATCGTTGGATTTCTGCATATTCTTGAAATTCGCCAGCGTATCATCGTACAGAGACGGAGAATTCGACGTGAACCTCAAGTCGGGTTTGGAATCAAGCATCTTCATAAAACTGTCAAGATCATCGTCCATGTATAAAGATCCCGACTGCCCCAATTCTGTGGATGAAACCGAAGGTGATTTGTTTCTTGTTCGGAAGTTGTTCAATATAGGATTATTTGTTGGGGTGGAGATAGACGGATTAGCAACAACCAACTGACCATCTAAACTGTTGTTCCTGCTGGATGTTGTGCGAATTCTCGATCCAAACGAGGACGAAAATCTGCGCGAGTTTGATGGGACCAAATGCGCAGTTTCTTGCACAGGCTGGTTTTGTATGGTCGAGCCTATCGACTTGGGTAGCGAATCTCTATTTTGCCTCAGCATTGCCACCAATGAAGCACTGGAATTAGTTCTGTTCAGTGTCACAGGTATAGGTTTGGAAGTGGTGAACGACGAAATGCTTTGGTTGCCCAATGTTGCACCAGGTGGAGGGGATGACGAAGAATTTATTGACCCAACCTTGAATAGTTGAACAGACCGCGTGGAAGATCGTCTTCTTGGAGACTGGTCGCGTGTATGAGTAGATGTGGACAAAACACGGTTCTGCCGAAACTCCGTTGGCGAAGTCAAACTGTTGCGATCGCTATCGTAGCTTTCGGTCTGAGCTACTGACAAATGGTCTAACATGAAATGCGAAGATAAAAGCTCTTCATTGTCACTTATTTGGAAGTTGCAGTTTTTCCGGTAAGAAACCGAGACTCTCAACGCTCCAATAGGTGTCAAGATTGGCTCTAAATTTTTAGATCGTGAATGTTCTTCTTCGTCCGCCAGTTTTTTGCTCAAACCTATTCTCCCTTTCGAGGTGATAGGCTTGGATCCATCAAGTATACGACAGGAAACATGGATTGAACTGTTTTTGAGTTTCGACTTGGATAATTTGTCTCTCAATTTGTAACTTGGAAGTAGCCCGGCTAGCAGATAAAGTGACCTGAACAAAATTATAGTTTTCTTATAGATACTTGGGAGTTCCAGAACATCGTTATCGAAAGTTGTTAGGTCGAACTCCACCAGCCACCGTTCCAGTACAATTTCACTTTTTCTGGATGTTTTGATAATCACGTCATCGAGCATGAGAGTTTGGTTGGAATTTAGGCCACGGAGATCCAGGTATGTTTCAATCACCAGCGGGGGCAACGCTAGAATGTCTTTATTTTTCCATAATGTAAGGGCTGTTTTTGAGATCTCGCTGTTGCCGAGGTCCAAATTGAACCACCTGTTGTTGGCTTTTGAATGAGAAAACCCATCGTTGATGAGGGCCATGTCATCGTCCAAGTGCGATACCACTGATGGGAATGCAGCCCGAAAATGAATTATGACATGGGAAGCTTTCAGGAAGAAATTCTGGATTATTTGTGAGAGCTTTTCCGACTCCTCCTCAGACAGAAGTTTTGAAGGTCTTCTTAAAGAGGTCATGCTCAAACAAGATCCGGCCTGCTGAACAATAGAGAATCAAGAACAGACTTGATAGATCTGATGCCAGAAGTGGTAACCTAGACTGAGTTACTCTCTATTAGAGCAAAAAATTGAGTCACTATGTTTTGAGGGCAAATGTGATAAGAAAGCCCTCTTTGTTAAACTGATAGGAACCCACTTACTTGAACACTTGAACGACTGATAAGAACGATGTTTGAGACTGATATGTTAACGCGTAAACGTTATAGTATTTCGTTGATAGAATGAGCTAATGATGTAGTATTATTAATCTTTTTTTAACAGAATTGTAATGTTTTAGCTCTCTAATCAGTCATCTTAGTGATAAACAAAAAAAATATAGAATTAGTGTGGCACATATTTATTCTAATCTTGTTTTATCAGTTGAGCAACGCGAAAAATATAATATACATAATTTTATTATTATGGTTATGCTATTAGAAACTCGAAAACATCAATTGCGGTTCGAAGTCTTCCAAATCTTGTGATACAAGTTCGCTCGTAATCATAGTATTGTGCTAGTTGTTTCAACTCAGAAGGAAGTAACAACTCTGCTTCTCTTCCTTTGACATCTTCTCTGCCAATCTTATCAAGAAGGATGCTATTTTGCTGTTTGTGTTGTTCCATTTTTTCGAGGATTTGTCCCAAATTGTACATTATGGACTTTTTGAACATCTGGATAGCAGATTGCGGCTTGAATCTAAATGCATAAACGGCACGCATTGCTGAACGGTCCTGAGTCTTTGGGATTTCCTGTAGTTCAATCACGTTGAAACTCAACAGCCGACTCAAAACGTTTCTGACAACAGTCTCTTTCATCAAAACAGACTTGCTGATAGCCTTCTCATCGGTGAGACGTTTATCCTCAATGCAGTTCAAAACTTTCAATGCGTCCTGCCCCATGGTAGCCTTGACATACTGTTTGAAGGCGTGCTTGGCAATGATAGGTGAAAGTCTAGTAAATGGCACGTGAAATTGTCCGCTGTCTGTTTCGGAAAGAAATGGGAATTCAGAATCAGCCGCCAACAGTTTCAAATGGTGTAGAATAGTAGCCATTAATTTGGCACTTGGATAATCGCCATCTTTTTCGTCCTCAGACTCCACCTCCGGAGACTCGAGTCTTTCAAAAACTTCATCTAGTTCAAGCTTCACCCTCTTGACACCAGGATTACCACTGTTTTCCTTGGATCTCTTCCGTCCAGTTTCTGCAGACGGATCAGCAATGGTGTTCATAACACTTTTTGTTGAAACATTGAATTTTTCTCCGTTTCTGACCAATTCCTTGTAAACATCGTTCACACTGATATTCATGCCTCGTTCCTGGTCCTTTAATTCTTTCCGACCTGTGATCTGAGCAATGATGCGCGGGTCTAACCCAACAGCAGACTGGCCCATATTGGATAGAAACCTTTCCAGCTCGAGTTCTCGACTTTGAACGTCGGTGGATTTGGCTTCCACGCGATTCAAGATGAGTGCGTAGATCTTAGAAGATACTGTGCCCACTTTATGCTTTGCTTCGGAAGCGAAGTGCAACGAGCGTAATCTTTTCAAATACCGCTCGAAGTTGAATGCTAAAGGAACTTCTGGATCAACCTTTGGGAACATGGCAGTAGAGTCGTTAACAAAAAGGTGTGCTTTGGACTTCCCTTCGTGTATTAGTTGCTGGTGCTTTCTACGTGCTTCGTCTTTTATCATTTGTAGCTTTTTCGATTGGGAAATGACCTTACCTGCATTTTCCGAGTTGAACGCTGCGGTTTGTTGCTCATACATCTTTTTAAAGACATCGAACTTGTTTTGGGTGTGTGTATTATCGATAGCGACGATCCAGCTATCGTTCACCAGCGACGAAAACGCACTTTCAATCTTTCTGGCTTGATCTTCTCCATCAGCTGTCATCACGAACTCGCCAGCGGTCAAATGACCATTGACAAGAACTTGCTCAATAATTGTAGCATGGAGATCACCGTAGTCACGAGCAATATCGTTGATGATGGAATTTGCATAGAGAAACTTGTAACAACCGTTGAACGAAGACGAATAGTAGGTTTGCGATCTCTCGGTGATGTAATTATTTTCTTCAAAATAGACAGCACACTCGAGCTGTATGAGCGAAACTAGAATCTTCTTCAGTGGTGAAAGCTTCAACTTGCTGTATTTTTGAAGCTGGAACAGTGTTAGACGTTTGTGATCTAGCAGAATTCCAAACACGTATGCAGCCTGTTCTCCTAAAAACAGCTTTAAAAGAGACGTGAACAAAAACGACTCTGGCGATTTAGTCTTCATAGACGAAGGAAGCTCCGTAGGAACTCCTTCTCGTGCCGTCATGGGAAATTGTTATGGATCTAGTAAGACAAAAAAATTGTCAAAGGGCCTAAAAAAATTAAAAAAAAACATATTACCTAATCAGCCATAGCACTGCCAGGAGAGAGACGCTGTTAGCACTGGGACAGGGATGCTATTGGTGAAATTATCCAACGGAGAAGCTTGGAAAGCTAAGTAAAGCGGTATTAAAGATTTCAGCAAATGATGATGCGACTCCGTTGGGATCTGCATCAACTAATTGCTGCTATAGCTACGAACTCACTCGCCAAATCTGAACTTTGTTTCTTCAAAGCCAGACAATTACAAACTATAGCTCCAGATTAACTACCCCGATCATTTTCATCCGCATTTCGACGGCCAGCTCCCAGTAACTTCACCATCCAAATTACAGTTCTCCAGGACTTTCACGTGATGGCTTACATCATATAGTTCTTGGTGTACGGGTGAACCCATTTTTGGAGTTGTCCAATCACAACTAAATAATTTATAAAAGTTTTTGGATCGGAAGAGGACCTACAGTGATGATGTAACTACACGGAAATTGATGATCTGGGACTCGGAAGCATAGCAAATGGATCTCAAGTCCATATTTGTGTGCGAAAGTAGAAACTGAAATATCCAAGTAGCCTAATTGTAGAACAGCACGATGCTATTTGATTGTGCCCCATAATTTATCCGTGCGAAAAAATAAAAATGCCTTGCGTGTCACCGGGGAAATTACTCGTTTCCAGCCTAACCAATTAGCTAGAAAATATAACAAACATTTAATTTAAAAAGTTTTCAAACCAAGTACAACAGTGCAAGAATGTTTGCAAAAACGTCAATCAGATCTTTCTCTACGACTGCTCCTAAGGCAGTGAAAGTTTCCACTGTCGGAACCCCAGGAACGGGAGTTTCTTCTTTGAAAGTGATTGTGAAAAATGCCGGTTCCAAAACCAGTGCTCCAGGTTTGGCTCATCTCCTTGCATCCTCCAGTTTCCTCAACACCAACGCTAGAAGTGGTCTGAGATTGAAGAGAGAGTCCGAATTACTCGGTGGAGAGTACAAGGCTACCGTCACCAGAGATTCTCTTGTGTTGGAGGCCAAGTTCTTGAAAGAAGCCCTGCCATACTTCGTTGACGCTATTGGTGATGTTGTGGCCGGTACTGCTTTCAGACCACACGAATTCTCCGAACTTGCTCTTCCTTACGCCAAGCACGAGACTGCTTTGAAGAGCACCTCGGATTTCAAGGCCTTGGAAGCTTTGCACGCCATCACTTTCAGAACCGGATTGGGAAAACCATTGTACTACGACGGTTCCAAGTCATACACCTCCGAGGACGTTGCCAAGTACGCCAAATCCGTGTTTTTGGAGGGAAACATCGAGGTCATCGGTACCGATGTGGTCGAGGCCGACTTGAACAAGTTTGTTGCTGAGTCCGCTCTCTCCAAGCTTCCTGCCGGTGAGACTCCTGTCGCCAAGCAGTCCTCTGTTGTTGGCCAGGACGCCAGAATCAGACAAGCCGGTCCAACCTCTGCTGCTATTGGTGTCCCAGTCAGCGACGTTGCCACCTTCTCTGTTCTTGCTGCATACGTCAAGGCATCGCTGCCAACTTCTGCAACTGCCTCTGTCAGCGCCGAGGTTGCTACCTACAATGGTGCTTCTTTGTTCTACGTCTTGATCTCCTCTGCTTCTGGTGCTGAGACCGGTGCTTTGGTTACCGAGACTGCCAAATTGATCAAGGAGGCTAAGGACCTGTCCAAGTTCAAAGCTCTGGCTACCTACAATGAGTTGGCTAACGGAAGCACTGTCGACGTTTCTGCTGCCAAGGCTTCTGTTTCCGTTCCAAAATTCAACTTGGCCGTTGCTGGTGATGTTGATACTGTTCCATACGCTGACGAGCTCTAAGGGTGCCAAATAGATGTAATCAAAGATAGAAGAAGACAGTAACATAAGCAGAATTTACATCCGATGATAAATTTATAGTTGAGGTTGAAAAAAAAAAACTTTAATATTCCTTCTTATGTCCTTCCAACCAATAAATCCCAAGCCATACCTACAATCGTTGATAAACAAGCAGGTGGTATTGAAGCTCAAATTCAACAATATCGAGTATCATGGAAAGCTTCTTTCTGTTGATAATTACATGAACTTATTGCTGGACAAGGACGTGAAGGAGATCGAGACATCAAGCGGAACAACCACCGAGCTTGGAGACGAGCTGTTTGTGAGATGTAACAATGTGCTCTGGGTTGGTGAACAACAATCCCAGGACGAAGACTCGACGAAATGACCACCATTCATTGCTGGTTCTAATAATTAATTGTGTACTATACGAATAGAATGACCTGAATTGATGATCATTAGGAGCTTTAGTAGTGTAATTGAGGTGCAAAAGTCATTGTGAGCTTGTTCCAGCTGTTGGAAACACTCTGCTAGGCCGTTTTTATTAACAGCTCCAAATGGATCTTGGAGTATTGTCGTGTATATTCTAAGCGAAAAAACAATTCCAACTTCCATGTCTGACTTTGCAACAAAGCTGACCACAGTGGTCCACGACGACGACCAGATGGAGGTCGAGTCGGCCGAGCTTCCTCCTCATCTTGTGCAACTCGGACACACCGAGCCAGAGCCTGCTTCGGAGCCACTGAACACATCCAACGAGCCTGACGAACATGACCCTAGCGAACCAAGACCGGGGTGTTTGCTGCTATTGGGCGTTGACGAGCTTGACACCAGAGCCATCAAGCTTTACATCGATTCCTTTTTGAAGCCCGACCTCAAATTCGAAAACAGAGAGGAATATGCCAAGTTCAACTACACTTTGGAATGGGTGAACGACAAGAGCATCAATATCGTGTTTGAACAGCCCGAGTCCGCTTTGGAGGCCCTGAAACTGCTTTCTGAGGTGTCAGAGGGCCTGAATCCCGAACAGGAGAGAACGGCAATGGAATATATTAGCGACGACCCCAATTTCAACGACCAGAACGTCAGATTGTCTATCAGACAGAGTTATTACGGAGACCGGAAGGTGAAAGGAGCAAGAAACCAATCTCGATACTACTTGATTCACGGAGAGCCCGAACCTGGCCAGAGACAAAGAAGTTACCGTAATCGTCGGGGAGGACCACGCAATGGAGGCAGATCTCGCGGACCGGATTTGATCACGGGAGAAGATACAGGACCGATCGAAGAAGAGCAAGACTATTCGAGGAGACTGGAGGTTTCTGGACACTGGGACCAGTCGAGATCTCGCAGACCGCCTCGTGGACCAAGAAGAGAAAGAGGCCGTGGCAAGTACAGAGAGAGAGAAAGACCAAGAGCAGGAAATCGCGACGACGAGGGCGACCTATTCCCAGATTTCCTGAAAAATAGAGACAGATCACCAGCCAGAATGGAAGAGTAAGAAAAAAGCTGTATAATTAGAACAAAATGACCCATTTCACTCAAGTTGGCCGAGATTTGTGTAAATTAGAATGGATTTAGCTCGAGTTTTTTTTCTTTAAATTTTTATATGCATGGATGAAAAGATGGTCGGGGACAGAGTTCTGTTGTTTTCAGCAATGGAGTCTCTTACATGCTCGGCTGTCATCAACTGTGCGTAGAATAACTTCCCAGAACATATTTTCCATCTTTCGTTTTGCCTTTCATCGCATAACATAGATGAATATGGGAAAGAACCTGAGGAGACATTTTTCAACAAGTAGATCTTGTAATCACCCACGAAGTAGCACACCCGGCAAACACTTCTACCACAGGCTGTGGTTCGCTGTATATCTGGTTTAGATAGTCGAACGTCACTCCTGACAGGGAACCTCGGTGACGTCCACAGTTTCCGTGTTCTCCCCAGCCCCAGGCAAAGACTTTCGAGTCCGATGCAACCAGGCCATGTTCGCTGCCTATAGCGTATGTTGGGGAGGAGATGGTGGTCGAAGAGTCGAAGCCAGGGAAGTGCTGGCCGTGAGAGTTGTTTCCGATCGACATCAAAGCAGTGTTGGTGATAAGATGAACCGACGACCACATGGTCCTGATCTGTTGGACCTCTTTTACATCCAGCTGTTGAGCTGTACTGGCGATTTGGAACTGGTCTTTTCCTTGAATTTTTAGCGAGTCGTTGAGATACACTGCAAAATCTCGAGCCAGCGAAAACTGACGTGCTTTAGTTGGCAGTTTTGTTGGAGTCCACACGAGTTTTGCGCCGCCTTCCAGTAACTGACCTTTCTTGTTGTTACCGAACCCAATCAGCGTTCCGTTTTCCAGTTCGACAACGACGTTGTGTAAAGAAGACTCGATTTTCACTATTCGCCCTGTCTCTGGTAAATCGAGTTTCGTAAGACCAGCTTGTGTGCAGGACTTCCCTAAACCCAGCTCTCCACTCAAGCCCTTGCCGCAAACGTAGATTTGGTCCTGCTGGGTCACAAATACAGACGACTCCCATGTTGCAACCACGTCCTTTATTATGTAGGGCATTTCGAGCTTCTCGAATACGCCAGCTTGCAATTGAGAGCTGGATATCTGGCCGCTCTCGTTCGATCCACACCCGTAGACCGACCCGTCGTGCATCAAAATCAGCGTGTGATTACCACCACAGGCAATCTTGACAGGCTTTTCATCCAGAGCCCTAGAAAAACCTTGAGGTGTGCGGAAATTCACCTTCTCCAACTGGTCGCGGTCCTTATCGTCCTCTAGTCCTAGCTGACAATTGCCATTGGACCCACAAGCCCAAACGTTGTACATTGCCAGTCAATTTAAACCGACGCGAGTAACCTTATCGACGCGACGAGGAAGAAAAATAATTCTGAAAAAACCCACCTTTTGCTCTATTTTTTTATCGCGTTTTAACAAAATCAATTGTTGGCGTTTTGTACAGTTTTGGGCTCAGATCAGCGGATGAGCGACGATAGTATTGCCATAGAAGACATCAGTATGGAAAAAGACGATGTTGGGAGATCCAAGAACTCTCCGGTCCAGGTACCAGACTCTTCTCCTATTAGAGTCAGATCACAGTCTACAGAGCCTGCCTCCTCGCCAATTCAGATAACCACCAGGTTACCGAGTCTGAGAGAACGGTTTTCGTACACGCCGACGAATACTTTGAGCTCTAGAATTTCACCAGAACCCCTGGCGGCCCCAAAGGGAGGACTTTCGTCAGATCTCAGACGCAGTTTTACCGCGCTCAAAAATCGGTTCCCTCATTTATCACCAGCCACCACGCTGTCAGCACTGAAAACAAAAGGTTCTTTGAGAGAGGCTGCCGCTTATTTGAGCTCGTTGCCCAAAAACATCCAACCTGCCCGAGACACAGAGTCGTATCCTAAAGGCGTTGCCAAGATCGTGTCACCCCAGAAAATTGTGCTTTCATCGTCTTCTCCTTCGAAGGAAGATAACGATTTATTCTCTTCCAAAGTCAAACTCGACAAATCGGGCAGTATTTTACAAAGATATGGTGGACAGGTGAAGAAAGATAACGACTTGATTCCTGTCAAGAAGAGAAAACTTGTTCGAGGCACCAGAGATCAAAAACCATCTGTCGTGACAATCTCTGATAGCGAAGAACTGGAGCCTGTTGTATTAGATGATGAGGAGCCAGAGGAGGTCGACGACGACAGCATGGAAGAATCCGAGGCCGAGGACGTGGTGGATCTGGAGTTTGACGAGAAGGTGCTCAATTTCCTCAATACTGGAGAAAAGAGAGACATTGTGGATATTGCTGGTGTTCTCCCATCTGTGGCGCAGATTTTGATCGACAAACGGCCGTTCAAGTCTTTGGAGGCAATCGAGACAATGGATTTCGCAGAAAAGGAGTCCACTCCAACCACACAGAAGAAGAAAGTTGTCAAAAAGAAGCCTGTTGGAGAAAGAATTGTGGAAACCACAGTGAAGAAAATGAAGGGATACGCTGCCGTTGACTCGCTCATCAAGAAATGTCAAACTTACGGAAACAGTATCACTCATTCGATCCACAAGTGGGGAGCAGAGGTTCATAACAACAAAGGAGAACTAGAGATTGTTGAGATTGACATGAAGAGTGAACAAAGCGACGATAATAATTCGGATAAGACATTATTCTCAAACGAGAACTCCCAGGCTAAAAACGAAAGCTATGAAGCGTTCACCTCTGACGACGACATGGAGGACCGCGAGTTCACTTTGAAGATGACTCGAACTAGCACAAGACCAAGAGGAAGACCGCCTGTGGTAAAAGTTGACTACTTTAAGAGCAAACCCAAATTGATGGCAGACGATTTTGAAATGAAGAATTATCAGATTGTTGGAATGAACTGGCTCAATTTGCTCTACCAGAAACGTCTTTCCTGTATTCTGGCCGACGAGATGGGACTGGGAAAGACGTTACAAGTGGTTGCATTTTTGACTTTTTTGAAACAGCAGTCCTTGGAAGGCCCTCATTTGGTGATTGTTCCATCATCGACTTTGGAGAACTGGCTTCGAGAGTTCCAGAAGTTCTCTCCTTCTTTGAAAGTGGTTCCCTACTACGGATCGCAGAACGCCAGGGCAGAGCTAAGGGAAGAGCTCATGTATAATAACGACTACGACGTGCTGGTGACCACTTACACATTGGCCACAGGTCACAAGTACGATCAGTCTTTCCTCAGAAGCAGAAACTTCAACGTTATCGTCTACGACGAAGGTCATATGTTGAAGAACTCTAACTCGGACAGATACACCAAGCTGATGAAACTTGGAGCCAGATTCAGATTGCTGCTTACCGGTACTCCGTTGCAGAATAATCTTCGGGAGCTCATCTCTTTGCTGGCGTTCATTCTTCCAGGGATCTTCAATGAGAAACGTGAAGACTTATTGGTTCTTTTTGACCAGAAAGCTTCGACAAAGTCCACTCACAAGCGCGAGACAGAGGAAGACGCAGAGGACGAGGAAGATAATTACAATCCGTTGCTTTCGCAACAGGCAATCACTAATGCTAGGGCCATGATGGCTCCTTTCGTTCTTCGGAGAAAGAAGGACCAGGTGATGCAACACCTGCCTGCCAAACATCATTTCACCGAGTACTGCGAGCTTGACGAGTACCAAAAGACAGTTTATCAGGAGGAGATCCAAAAAGCTCGCGACAGCAAGGCAGAAAGAGAAAGACGCAAGCTACTGTCTCCTGAGGAGCTCAAAAAGCTGCCAAAGTCGGAGGTTCCTTTATCGTCCTCCAACGTGGTGATGCAATTGCGTAAAGCTGCTTTGCACCCACTGCTTTTCAGAACCCATTACAAGGACTCGAAGCTGCGCAAGATGTCTGGAGATATTATGAAGAGCGACGACTACTACAACGCCAACAGAGAGTACATTTTTGAGGACATGCAGGTGATGTCGGACTTTGAGCTCAACAGACTGTGTCACACGTATGCCAAACAACTTGCAGCTTATCAGCTGGATTCTGAAAGTTATTACGAGAGTGGCAAGGTGAAAAAGATGCTGGAACTCATAGACCAGGTGATCAAGAAGGGAGAGAAGGTGTTGGTGTTTTCGCTGTTCACACAAGTTCTGGACATTCTGGAGATGGTTTTGAGTTTGAACCATATTAAATTCCTCAGACTCGATGGACAAACGGCCGTGGACGAAAGACAGGCCATCATCGATAAGTTTTACGACGCGGAGGAGGTGCCGGTGATGTTGTTGAGTACAAAAGCTGGAGGATTTGGTATCAATCTTGTTTGTGCAAACAACGTTATCATTTTTGATCAGTCGTTCAACCCGCACGACGACAAACAAGCCGAGGATAGAGCACATAGAGTTGGACAGACCAAGGAGGTCAATGTCTACCGGATAATTTGCAGGGATACCATTGAAGAGAACATTCTACAGTTGGCCCAGAACAAGCTGCAATTGGACGATTCGATGATGTCCAGCAGCGAGGACAAGGTGGCCAAGACAGTTGAAAGTATGATTCTTTCCTAATAGAAGATATTCGTTCTGTATGTATATTAAGAAGAATACTGAAGGTCTAACCCGTAGCCCACGTTTCGTAGTCCTTGGTCTTTATAGTCCATCTTAACTCCTGTTGATAATAACCAGTCTTTAAACTTTCCTTCCCAGAGAAGACTGACCTGTTTTTTGCTTAAGCTTGTGGAGCATTTGAGACTGCTTTTGAAATCGGACGTTTCGTGGCGATTGACAAATTGTGTGGTGGAATTGTTGTCGAGCATCAATTTGGATGGTTTGATATGTTTGAAGTTTTCAACCAGTCTTTTTTGCTCTATTTCTTCCAGTTTGTTGAAATTGTAGTCGGGCGCAGGTTTCGAGGACGCGTTGAGTCGCCAGAGATGGCATCCCAATGACAGGTCGCTTTCGTAAGAGTAGATGTTGAAGCTGTACTTGGAAACGAACGTCGAGAGAATGTTTGTCTTGATGGCGTATGTGGACTCAATGGAGCCCAACAGCGGATTCATCACCAAAGTCATTGTCAATGGTTTTCCGGAAGAGGTGAGGTGTGTAGAATAGCGGATTCCGGTAGACATTCCTGGGGCCAGAGACTGGGTAGCGCACCAGAGCTCACATCCGACAGAAAATAGCGACGAGTCCATCGAGCTGGTGGGAGCGCCCAGATTGTAGATGTATCTGAGGCCGAAAAGGGCCTCGTTGGTGGAAAACACGAATTCCTGGGCCGACTTAGCAGACTGTCGTTGGTAGCTGAGATTCATTATTGTTGTGGTGTTTGAGAGTTTGTTGAGTTTTGGGGTGTTGATGAACTTGACAAGCAGCTGGGAGTTTTCCGAAAGTCGTTTGACCAGCATTCCCTCGAGGAACTGCGACGGCAGGTACATTTTACCGTACAACAAGGCAGGTCTTTTATCGTAAGTTGGGTTCTTTGGCGGCGACAAGAGACGGTATCCTTCGATGATGGACTGCAACGAAGCAGATTTCGAGTCGGAATACGATGGAGCAAGATCGATCGAGCTGTACAGATAGGAAAATGAGCCTGCTAGTTCTCCAAACTGCGACAGGGAAACAGAACTATAGCTATATTCAGCGTTTTTGGCAGACACATTGAGATTGAACCCTGACGGCACAGGGAAATCAAGAATCTGTTTGGAAGTTTCCAGGAACGTGCTGTATGAGTTATACTGGTTCCAATTTGTTGAGGAATAAAAGCATTTTTGTATGTATTCCATGTAATTTAGCATTTATTTAGTGACAAAGCTGGGGGAAAAAATAAATTTCACAAAAAATATCTTATTTAAAGCATGTCCAGCCCCAAGTCGCAAGACCAGTCAGGCGTTGACTCGTCGCCGGACCTGAGTCCGCGGACATCTGTTTCGAGTTCGCCGCCAAGTTCGCCGTCGTTGTTGCCGCGTATCAACGAAAAGGAAGACGACGCTGCGTTTTCCTCTGACTCTGACGTTTGGTCGTTGGGTTCTGACAGGGACCTTAACGCGCCGGAAATGCTGGTGATACCGTCGGATTCGTATTTCTCACAGCACAGAGAGTCGTTTGGCGAGCTCAGAGGCCGCTCCGCATTAGACACACCGTTCTCCTCGAAGAAGGGACGACGCCCAAGCGACCTTTCTGTAAAATCAAATACGGACTACCCAAATTACACAGAGAGCGATAACGAGTACACGAAAACACCCATCAGAACGGGCCGCAGACGGAGCAGCACGCCACAGAACAAGCGGTCGGGAACCTCGCGGTCCAGAACTAGAGACGGCGCGTCAGAGTCCGGGTCCGGGTCTGAAATTTCACAAACTGCAAAGATCTTCAAAAACCTGCTCATTTTGGAGGAGTCGTTGCGCCAGCAGAACATCGAGCAAAAACGACTCCGACGCAAGTACCTGTCATTTTTGATGTCTATGAGTGCGGTGTTGGTGTTTTGCGGCTACAGACTGACCTCCGACCAAGACAATAGCTACATTCGACTTGCAACCCAAATAGTGTTCATTATTGACTTTGTCACGTTGCTATTATTTTATCTGAGTGGAGAGTACAACCGCACGATTGTGCGGCCGCGGAAGTTTGTGGTGATCACCAACAAGGGGTTGCGACAGCTGAACATCCGTTTGGTGAAGGTGAGGATTGGGATTTTGGATTTCTTACTAGTTGAGCTCAAGTCGTGCTTTTTGATTCCGATTCGACTCCTGAAACTACAAACGCTGTATTTCGGCCGTGTTCTAAACCTGAGCTCGTTCGGCAAGCTGCGCAACTGGCTTGCCGACCTCGAAATCAAGCTGGCTACTGCTAACGCGGGAGTCACCGACGTGAAGGTTGTTCTGAACCCGCGCGTCTTCACGACCGACATCCGTGAACAGTGGGAGCTATACAGAAACGAGTTCTGGAACAAAGAAACCATCCGTCGCCGCAAAATGATGGGTAGAGAGCGCAAGGATCGATAGATATATAGTAACACGCAATAATTTTTGGCAGCCTGGAACCTCACCAAAAATTTATCTTCATCGAAAAAAAAAGACCCGATCCCTAGATATCCCACCATGCCTAGACCGCCAAACAGTTGGGTTTGGCAGCATTTCAGGCACATTTCGAATGAGGCTGGATACTCCAATGTCCAATGTCTTCATTGCGAGAAGTCGTTCAAATACTCCAGCCGGAACGGACCTACGAACCTGGCACGACACATCAACAAGACCCACCGCCTTGGCCAGCCAGAGTCATCTATCACGCGAAGACCGTTCCGTGCGATCTCGGGAGACCTCGACAAAGTTGATGGCGATGGCGACCATCACGTGAATCACGGAGGAGTGGGCCAGGTTCAGCCCCAACACTCCCCCTCCCAGCATAAGGACTCGAGCACAGAATCGTCAGGAACTGTTGCTCCAGACAGAGCCACGTCTCTGGATATTGGGCTGACGACACCAACCGACCTGGGACCCGCCGGTTACCACGGTGCGAACGCCATGTTGCAAGGAAACGGCATCATGGTAAATAATACTGGCAACCCAGTTCCAACTGGGTCCACCTCATCCGCTTCTTCGAACGGCCATAATGGATCTCTTTCCGCCCACGACTACTCCGACTCCATCACCAGATCAATAGCTATCCAGACCCCGTTGTACAGGCTTGATTTGCAGAACAGCGGGCCCTCGCAACGATCCATGCAGAAACAGACAGATCAGCTCGAATCCATGCTCTACACTGCGCAACAGACTGTACAGCAACTTGCGCCACACCAACCACAACTGTACCAGGTCCAGCACGTTCTGCAGAGCGTCATCCAGACCCAACAGAGCTTGTACCAGCAGCTCAGACTGCAGGCCCGGGCGTCTGCGAGAGTCGAACAACGTCTTGCTCGCTCGTTGAACGAGGCTCGAGGAACAGGTATCGAAAGAGAGTTCGAGCTTGTTCCGTACGCTTCAGGCGTCGATCCAGCGAGCGACGAAACAAGCCTGCCGCTTCTGGTCAACATCTACGTCCTGTTCAACTGTACAAACGCGGTCCTGGATCAGTATCTGGTCAACTACGAACTGCTTGGGTCCAACTCATCAGACGCAAGCAGAATGAACAGACAGGACAAAATCCTCCAGCTGGGCAAATTCATCGGCTGCCTGGCTGTCGAAAAATACTGGGACAACTTCAGAAGAATGAGAGTCAACAATTGACTCTCGCACTCCTCTCTCTGTTATGATGTCTCTTACAGTGTACTATATGGAAGTTAATGTACTATAACTTTGCTTTGCGCACGACCTGTTTTTTTCTGTAATTTATCAAGGCGAAAAAACTAGAAATAACTTTAATTATTAATCATGAGTGCTTCTCAGAACCCTTCGATGCCGTTGGCGCCGCCGATGATGCCGCCGATGGGCTTGATGCCTGCAATGGGCATGTTCAACGTTGGTTCCGACAAGGCTGTGTTCAAATTCGAGCCGTACTTGCGCCGACAGTACGGGTTTGGGTTGAACCCTGACAGACCGATCTGTGAATACTGGCTTCAATCAGGCAAATGTCCAAATGGAAACGACTGTGAGAACAAACATCCTTCCAAGATATTCAATAACAAGATCGTGTGCAAGTATTGGCTTCGAGGGCTTTGCAAGATGGGAGACGACTGCGATTTCTTGCACGAGTACAACCTCCAGCGAATGCCCGAATGTGCGTACTATTCGCAGAACGGGGTATGCACACAAGCGCCAGAATGCATCTATCTTCACGTTGATCCGCAGTCCAAGATCGCAGAGTGCTTTAATTACTCAAACCTTGGATATTGTCCAGACGGACCAAAATGTCAGCGGAGACACGTTCGGAAAGTGATGTGTCCGCTTTATTTGACAGGATTCTGCCCTAAGGGACCCGAATGCGAGCTCAGCCATCCGAAATTCAACCCTGCCATGATCCAGGGACGGTTCAAGATCCGCACAGACGAACAGATCATCGCAGGACGGAAGGCCAAGCTGGAACAGCAGCAACGAGAGGCAGAAAAGACCGACACTAACGACGAGATGAAATTATAGATGTACATTAATGGAATTACTTTCTATCTATTCTAAGGTTTCTGGCCCTGTTGCGTTCGGTTGGAGTCAGGGCCCATTCGAGATCGTCCAGATCGTCCAATTCCTCGTCGTCGTCCAGACCGAGCATCATGACGATCTGGGTGATTCTGTTGAAGTTGTCGCGGAAACTGTAGTCGTACTTTGTCACCTCGCTGATGATGGCAGAGATGTCCTTCTCGAGCTTCGCGGCCCCCAGCTCGTTGCACTTGCGCTCCATGAGCCAGATCTTGCTCTCCATGGTGGCTGCCAGGTTCTTGACAATCAGCTTGATCAGAGCTTGGAAGTTTTCTCTGGTGAGTGTGGTGAGATATGGGATGATGAGCGAGTTCCATTCCTTGATGAACGCGATGATGGACTCCGAGGCTGCATTCAGACTCATCATGTCTGAGGAAATCAGATACTCCGACTCCTTCAGCGCGTCGTTGATCATCCGGGCCAGTTTGGCACGGAAATTCTGATTGAACAGGATTTTGATTTGTTCTTGCAACAGCAGGCCAGACTTGTCGTTGAACGAGGTGCTCAAAGTCTTCACCACGCTCTTGATTCTGTCTCTAACTGACGGGTTCTCCTCCGTTCCTTCGGAATTGTTCAGGTCAACATACATGGTAATGTCTGTTTTCGCATCCCTCTCCATAGAGGCATGCACTTGATTGAACTCTTGGTTGTCCACAATCAACAGGTTGTCCTGTTCAAGTTTGGTGATCATGTTTTCCGACAGCTTGTTCAAATACTTTTGGAACAGACTAATGGAGTTCAGAACAATGATGAATTGCGACAGCTTGTCGGAAGTTTCAGTCTCAACACCACTGAGATTCATAGCAGCGTTCAACGCAGAAGTGGCGCTCTTCATGAACAAGTTGCTTGCGTTTGCGTTTTGATCCTTGCCTCCCAACGGAGGAGTGCCGCTTCGAGGAGAAATGAGGTTCGAAGAGCTGCCTGTTGGGTTCATAGGAAGTGCCGATCTGTGATTCAACGAGTGCAGAGCTTGTATAGCATGAGGTGTTAATAATAACGAATTTGCTCTAGGTTGATAATCATTGAGCTTCTTTTTCATAATGTTGAGGAAATCGTTCTCAAGGATTCTTCGTGTATTGGAGATCATGTTCTTGATAGTGAGGAACTCGCCTGTAGTCATTGTTTGTAGCATAATTAGGTTCAACGAGATTGTAATATCTTCAATGATGGATGACACGGGAGGATCTTCAGGAGTCAACGAGAGCAGCGATTGGTTGCTGGTGGCATTTGCTCTTGATGTAAGAGTCAAATACTTGATGCATAACGTTAATTGCGGGCTGAGGTCGGGTATGTTCTCCAACAAGAACGCCTTTTCAATTGTTCTTCTGATAGCAAAAGTGCTCAGCTGGTCAAAGCTTCTGGTGGCCTTTTTCTGTATTTTTTCCATAAACGTGCTCAACAGCAAAGGCTGTGGATACACTGCGTGATCGGACGAGCTTTGGATCGACTCGTTCCACGAAACAACAAAAAATTTGCAATACATTGCCCAGTGGTTCAACATCGTTGACAGTTCGTCGATCAGGTTCGAGACATCAGCAAGCGCTATCACAAGGTTATCGTCCTTGAGTTCTTCTTCTCCCTGGAGATTGTTCAAGATCGACCCAACAAGAATTGGGTAGCCGTAATTATTGATATCATTTAATGCTCTGTCCAATTTCTTTGTATCCCAAAATGTGTCAAAGATAAGGCCACTTTGAAGATCGCATTCGGTTTGGATGGCTGTAAGAATATTGGTCAGCACGTTGGAGCCGTAATATCTGGTGATAATACGGGAATGTTGATGCACAATGTCGGCAATGGTTTGGTACAACTGGAACAATACCTGTGCGTAGAAGCTCGAGCGGACGTCTGACTTACCCTGAACGCTTCTCAGAACAGCTCTGGCCTGGTCGCTGATGATGTTACAGATGAACCGCGAGTAGCACTCGAGTCCAACCTCACTTTTACCAATCATGGGGAATAGCTGGAAAAAATAGGTAAGTTTCTGAACATCCTTATTTGCAGCGGCCTGGTTGAACTCGCTCACAAAAATGGTGTTTAACTCGACGGTCCAAGAGGCAACCAGGTCGCCTGGCATTTCCGGCAGATCGCTTGTTGGAACAATAAACTCCACAAACTCGTCGTCGATCAGTCCTGGTGGAAGAGACCGTATGACGCCGATCGAGGTTGCAGCAGCAAGCCAGTTCTTTTGTTTGATGGCTGTGTCGATCTTCTGAACCTCGTATTTGAGAGTCTTGACATTTTCAACGTACTCCTTGGTGGCCTTTGTTTTCGATCGCTCCGAGTCCAGATGACGGACTTTCTCGGTGATTTTGGAGCTCAACACAGATGCGTCGTCCATGATTTTCTTGAGAGACCGCGAATGGTTTAGCGTGGACGAAAGCTCGACCCTGCTTATTTCCAGTGTCCGAATCGAGGAACTGTGTGCAACATGTCTTTTATTGGTGAAAGTGTGAAGAATTTGGTCCAATTGGGCCTGTTTGGCCTCGATCTGGTTCAACAATCGAAGCAACTGGTGCAACGAAGTGGCCTGCTGCAAAGATTTCTCGAGTTTGGCCAATTCCAGTCGAATGGTCTCTTTGGACGGAACCAACCGAGTACTCATTTCTAATCCATTGGAGAATGTTTGCGGGCCCAACGAATCAATTCCGGTACTTCCGTTCTGCAATACTAGTCCACGTGAGCTCATGAGATAAGACAGAATCCAAATCGGTACCTGATATGGTGCAAGTACGCTGTGTTTGTACCTAAAAACCCACGTGTATTTTTTTTTTTCCAGTTGTATCTTGCCGGAATAGGGGATTTAGGGCAGTGCTAAACGCAGGGAAACAATACATTCTTCGTTTGACCTGCGAGGGGAACCACACCGATCGGTCTGCAAATTGTTCTATATAAAGAGAATACCTCCGAGCCATGATGGATAGGGTCTTTGGATTATCATTGCGTGAAAAAATGCTTGGTTTGGCTGTTCTATCTTGTTTGGTGGTTCTTTTCAACTATCCACAGGCTACCGTTGCTCAGGAGACAAACCTTAGAATCCAGAGCTGGAACTTGAGATACGACTCAAAACCAAACGATATCACTGTGCAGCAGACAATTGAGGGGTTGAACTCCACTCTGCCTATTGACGTTGATACTAAATGGTTCTCCAACTACACCGAGCAGCCGTGGTCGTCTCGGCGGATCGGTGTTAAGAACGAGGTCCAGTTCAACAACCCGGAAATCTTCACCGTCAATGAGGGTTTGCACAGACAGGTCGAGGATCTCAAGGAGCTCTTGGGATACCCTTACATTGGTGTTGGCAGAGACGATGGAGGCGAAGCTGGAGAGTACGAGGCAGTGTTCTACAACCCGCACGCCCTTGAGGTGGTTTCTAACGATACATTCTGGCTCAGCGACACCCCATTCGAGCCTTCAAAATACCCGGGAGCAGGATCGTACCGGTCGGCTACCGTGGTTCATTTTAGAAGTCTGGACACGGGATCCACGTTTGTGTTGATCAATGCTCACCTTGACGACCAATCCGACGACCAGCGTAAGCTGGGCGCTGCTCTGGTTAAGTATAGAGCTGCATACGAGGTCGAGAACAAACACGTTCCTGTGATTTTTGTTGGAGACTTCAATTCCCAGGTCACGGGTGACAGCGACGGAGCTTACTTGATCTCTACCGGACAACAGACCTTTTCCGAATCGGATCTGAACTCTACATTCACCGACAAGTACAGCAACTCGTTGACTGACTTCAATTTCTTGGACATTCTGGAAGAAACTCCAGCAGAGAACAGAATGGGTAATCTTGCTACCTTTACCGGGTTCAAAGATACCACGTCTGGATTCAGCAGAATCGACTTCCAATTTGCCAGCAACACCACCGACTGGGAAGCGGTGCGTTTCAAGGTCGGCGACAACTGGTACGACGACTCTTTCTACTTGTCTGACCACAGACCCGTTATCAGTGATATTGTTTTAAATTAGACATTTTTTTAAGTGTATAAAAAAGTTGAATATGAAATTTATTGGGGTTTTTTCCGGGCGCGGTAGCAATTAATTAGGTAAGATCCAGCAACAAAATTACTTCCCCGGCCCATGTTTTCTAAAATTCTGTTGAGACCAGCTCCAATTATCTCCAAAGCTTTTCCCAAAGCACTGCCAAGAGCAAGACTGATGTCCAGTCAAATGGCTAGACCAATGACTGGACAGCTTGCTCCAAAAGTGGGGGTTTCCCTGGGAGTTCTAGGATTCTCTAGCTACTGGCTATGGAATAACCAAATTAAGAGCGAGGTGGCTGTCAACGACCAAAGTCGACTTGCCTTCGAGAAGGGAGCCCAGGATCTTGCTCAGAAACCGGTTCATGACAAATCATTTGGCGGAAAGCTCAATTACCAGGAACTATCCATCGGTTCCATGTGCGGCTTGGCATGTGGAATTGTTGTTGGGAAATTAAGCTCCTTGATTGTTTTCGTTTCGTTGAGCTTTTATTTGGGAGTCCAGTTCCTCCAATCCCGGGGAATCATCACAATTCCTTGGACTAGATACATCAAAGTCGGATCGCAGCTCATCGACGTGAGACAGATGGTCTTTGAACAGCCAAGTTTCAACATCACGTTTATTCTAACATTTTTGCTGGCAGCTTACTATGTGTGAAATAACTTGTTTATATGTTTATTCATATACATGCTCATTTCTTCAAGATCGTAATCACATCCTCGTCTTCCAAAACATGACTCAGTCCAACGTACTGAGGCTGGTGTTTCACGCTCGTGCCAAACACCAAGGCTGTTCTGAAATCGTCCACCAAGGACTTGTGGATCTTGTTACAGAAATCCTCAACCGTACACTTACCCGTCCGCAAAACAACAGGGTCGCTGAAGTCAGGCAGCTTGCCCTTCGGCTTCGTGTACACTCGCACCAATTGCAATCTGTCCCACATCATCTCCAACAACTCGTCCAAGTTCCATCCACTTCCCGAGGAAATTGGAACGGCATTTGGAATTCTGTACAACAAGTCCAGCTCCTCGATCGAAAAGGAGTCGATCTTGTTCAAAACATAGATCGCAGGAATGTATCTTCTGTTGCGGATCTCAATCACGTCGATCAGATCGTCCACAGTGGCATCACACCGGAACTGGACGTCACATGAGTTCATTCTATATTCTTGTAAAACAGCCTTGACCTGATCGTGATCTATCTTGGTCAAAGCCACTGTGCTTGTGATACTGATTCCTCCCTTTTCCTTCTTCTTAATTAAAATGTCTGGCGGTTGCTGGTTCAACCGAATACCAAATCCTTCCAGCTCGTTCTCGATGATCTTTTTGTGATGCAACGGCTTGTTCACATCCAAGACAATGAAGATGAGATCACAAGACCGCGCCACCGCAATCACCTGTTTTCCTCTACCACGTCCGTCTTTGGCTCCTTCAATAATACCTGGAAGATCCAACATTTGGATTCTGGCTCCTTTATACCTAATAACACCAGGGACAGTAGTCAAGGTTGTGAATTCGTAGGCAGCGGCCTCCGAATGGGTTCCTGTGAGTTTTGAAAGCAACGTACTTTTTCCAACGGATGGGAAACCAATAAAACCAATCGTTTCACCGGTTTTCTTCACGTCGAAACCAGGACCTCCAGCTCCTCCACCAGAGTTGGCGTCTTTTAGTAACTCGTTCTTCAGCTTTGCGATCTTGGCCTTCAACATACCCAAATGTTTCTCGGTGGCCTTGTTTTTCTGGGTCCGGGCCATCTCATCCTCGATGGCCTTGATTTTCTCCACGGTCGTCATGATGAACAAGAATTAAACAAAATTCAATAAATTTTTATCAAGTTTTCAGTGCGGCGCAACTTTTGGTGGTCTGTGGTGTGCCTTGAAAATTTTTTAGCACTCCCTTATTAAAAAGTGATCACTAAATCAAAACCACTTGTGATACGGGACACACCACTCCTGTATTGTAACCCAGTTGAACTCATAAACCAGTTCACGATCATTCGACGCAGAGGCAGACTGATGAGCATACAGCCATACAGAATTGTACCTCTCGTATGTTGGGAAAATCCGATCTAATCAAAACACATTCATTGAATTAGTACACTAGAAACAAATCCACAGCAACAAACATGGCGAAAAAGGGAAAGAAGAACGTCAAGGCCGGCGACTATTGGGACGAGGACCTCGAGAACGATATGCCTGAAGCCGAAGAATTAGGATCTGCTCCTTCTACCGCCGATACCCCAGAGCCATCTTCGGAGGCGACTCCAGTGGAGGCGGACGATTTTGCAGACGATTTCCTGTCCAATTTGAAACGTGCCAAGAACAAGAAGCAGGCTAAGGCCAAGCAGGAGGAAGAGGAAAAAGCTTCTAACACGCAGCAAAAAGGTCCTGTCATTAAGAGTAAAAAGGAGAAGGAAAGAGAAAAGAAGGAGAAGGAAAAGCTCAGAAAGAAGCAGCTAGCCGACAGAAAGAAGGCTCAGGCGCCAAAGGATGACTCCAAGGAAAGCTCTCCTGGTCCAGAGTCCGCTGAGACCGAGGCTCCAAAGGAAGAGGAAGAAAAACCTGCAGCCAAGACTACCAAGAAGACCAAGAAAATGCCTGCCGGTATTGCTCTCTTGAAGAAACAGATGGAACTCAGAAAACAAGCCGAAGAGGAACAGCAACGTTTGGAGGAGGAAGAGAGAAAGCAAGAGGAAGAAGAAAAACGTCGCGCTGAAGAAGAAGAACAGGCAAAGGAAGAAGCCAGAAAGGCCAAGAAAGAGAAAGAAAAGGCCAGGAAGGAACAGCTCAAGAAAGAGGGTAAATTCTTGACCAAGAAGCAGAAGCAAGAGAAACAATTGCAAGAGAGAAGAAGACAGCAATTGTTGCAGGCAAGTAACATCATTGTTCCTGGTGTCATGAACCAAGAGACCACCGAACAACCTAAACCTAAGAAGGTTGTGTACGGCTCCAAGAAGAAGAACGTCAAGAAACAACAAGAGGAGGACGAGGCCAAGGAGGCCACGGAGGCGGTTAAGCCAAAGGCCGTCGAGAAGACTTCTCAAGATGAGGAAGAAGAACTTGTTGATGACTGGGAGAAGATGGCTCTTGACGATGACGGTGAAGAGGTTGCTGCCGACTGGGAGGCCGCTTTGGACGACGAAGATGACGACAACGAGGACGACGAACTTACCAGAGAGGAGGAAGAGGAGAAAGAGGAAGCCGAGCTTCTTGAGGAAGAACTCAGAGAAAGCTCACCTGTTGTTTCCAAGCCAAAGGCTACTTCAGTGTCCAAGGATGCTTCTCCAGCTCCTGAGAAGAATGGTAAGGTAGAGCCTGAAAGTAACTTGCGTTCTCCAATTTGTTGTATCTTGGGTCACGTCGATACCGGTAAGACCAAGCTTTTGGATAAGATCAGACAAACCAACGTTCAAGGAGGCGAGGCCGGAGGTATTACCCAACAAATTGGTGCTACTTACTTCCCTGTTGAGGCCATCAAGCAAAAGACTGCTGTCATGGCTCCATACGAGAAGATGGTTTACGAGGTTCCAGGTTTATTGATCATTGATACTCCAGGTCACGAGTCGTTCACGAACTTGAGAACCAGAGGTTCCTCCCTCTGTAACATTGCCATTTTGGTGATTGATATCATGCACGGTTTGGAGCAACAGACATTGGAGTCGATCAGACTGTTGAGAGATAGAAAGGCTCCGTTCGTGGTGGCATTGAACAAGATCGACAGATTGTACGACTGGAAGGAGATTCCAAACAACTCTTTCCGTGACTCGTTTGCTAAGCAGACCAGAGCCGTTCAGCAAGAGTTCGAAACTAGATTCACAGCAATCAAGGTCGCTCTTGCCGAGCAAGGATTGAACTCTGAGTTGTACTTCCAAAACAACAACTTGTCCAGATATGTTTCGATTGTTCCAACTTCCGCTGTCACTGGAGAAGGTGTTCCAGATTTACTTTGGTTGTTGCTTGAGCTCACTCAGAAGAGAATGAGTAAGCAACTTAAATACCTTTCTCACGTGGAGGCTACCATTTTGGAAGTCAAGGTTGTTGAAGGTCTTGGTACCACCATTGATGTTGTTTTGTCCAACGGTATCCTGAGAGAAGGAGACAGAATTGTTCTTTGTGGTATGAACGGTCCGATTGTCACGAATATCAGAGCTCTGTTAACGCCACCACCATCCAGAGAGTTGCGTATCAAATCCGAATATGTTCACTTGAAGGAAGTCAAGGCAGCTTTGGGTGTCAAGATTGCAGCCAACGATCTGGAAAAGGCCGTTGCAGGTTCCAGATTGCTGGTCGTTGGCGAGGACGACGACGAGGACGAATTGATGGACGAGGTGATGGACGACTTGACTGGTTTGCTGGACTCTGTGGACTCTTCCGGAAGAGGTGTTACTGTCCAGGCTTCTACATTGGGTTCTTTGGAGGCATTGCTTGATTTCTTGAAGGACATGAAGATTCCTGTGATGTCTATTGGATTGGGTCCTGTTTACAAGAGAGACGTGATGAAGGCAGCTGCCATGTTGGATAAGGCCAAGGAATTTGCCGTGATGCTCTGTTTCGACGTCAAGATCGACAAGGAAGCCGAACAGTACGCTAACGAACAAGGCGTGACTATCTTCAATGCCGACATCATCTACCACTTGTTTGACGCTTTCACTGCTTACCAACAGAAGCTGCTCGAAGAAAGAAGAAAGGAGAACCAACAATATGCTATTTACCCATGTGTTTTGAAGACATTACAGATCATCAACAAGAGAAACCCAATGATCATTGGTGTGGATGTTGTGGAAGGTGTTGTCCAGCACGGAACGCCAATTTGCGTGGTGAAACCTGATCCAGAAACAGGAAAGAACGCTCCAATGATTCTTGGTAAGGTTGTTTCTTTGGAGGTCAACCATCAGTCCAGAGATTCTGTTAGAAAGGGCCAAACTAACGCTGGTGTTGCCATGAGATTGGAAGCTCCATCTGGTCAACAGCCAACGTGGGGAAGACATGTTGATGAAAAAGATCCATTGTACTCGCTGATCTCGAGAAGATCGATCGATACGTTGAAAGATCCTGCATTTAGAGATTCTGTTCCAAGAGACGATTGGCTGCTGATCAAGAAATTGAAGAGCACTTTGGATATTCAATGAACGCATCCATTTTCAGTTTCCAGTTCAATCTTCTAGTATGAGCATTTATGTTATATAATTATTACCCGGAATGAAAAATTTTAGTGATAAAAAAATTTTGAATTTTTTTTAAATTTTCCCTTGTTAGATTAACGTCTTTGAAAAGTCTGGTTTATCATGGATATTGCCAAGCCAGTTGGATCTCAGATCGAGTCGGTGGACTTTGGCGTGCTCACAGTGTCTGATGTGCGCAAGCTTTCTGCCAAACAGATCACCAATCCTACTGTTTTCGATAACTTGGGACATCCTGTGCCTGGAGGTCTTTATGATCTGAGTCTCGGTGCTTTCCTCAAGAACTTGTGTGCTACATGTGGTCTTGACGATAAGTACTGTCCAGGACACCAGGGTCATATCGAATTGCCTATTCCTGTTTACAATCCACTTTTCTTCAACCAAATGTACATATTTCTGAGATCATCCTGTCTATATTGTCACCATTTTAGACTCAGAGCCATGGACGTGCATAAGTACGAATGCAAATTGAAACTCATCCAGTACGGCCTGCTTTTGGAGGCTCTGGAACTTGACAATATGCGCTCGGAATCCGAGGACGATGGTGATGAAGCCATCGAGGACGACGGTCCCCAGAAGGTCAACACCAAAGCCGACCGTGATCTGATGGAAAAAAGACAGCATTACGTTGATATGAGCATAGCAAAGGCGCTGTCGGACGGACGTACCACCGAGCACGGCGTCATGACTGCCACCGTCGCAGAAGAAAGAAAGGCCGTGATCTACGATTTCTACAAGCGCATTTTGAGTAGACCAAGATGTGACAACTGTGGAATGTACTCGCCAACTTTCAGAAAAGATGGATTCTCCAAGATCTTCGAATTGGGACTCAAAGATAAACAGATCTCCAACAATAGAATCAAAGGTCTTCAGAGACACGACATGTTGAAGAATGGTTCCAACGGCTCGGAGAAGCCAAATGGTACTGACGAATTTGCACAGCCAAAGGAAGGGTCCAAGTATGTTCTTTCCACAGAGATCCGTAATATCTTGCGGAAAGTGTTTAAGAACGAGCAAACATTGATGGATCTGTTGTTCCATTCCAAGCCGCTTGGTGGATCTCCAATTTCCGCAGACATGTTTTTCATCCATGCTCTGGTTGTTCCGCCAACCAGATTCCGTCTTCCTTCCAAGCTAGGAGACGAAGTTCACGAAAACTCGCAAAATGAACTTTTATCTAAGGTTTTGACTACCTCGCTGATGATCAGAGACTTGAACGAGCAATTTTCCATTCTGAGTAAAGAGATTAGTGTGGAAGACCGCAAAATCACATTCAACAGATTGATGAATGCCATCGTGACTCTTCAAAATGATGTGAACGGATTCATCGACTCCACCAAGAACCAGAACCAAAACAGCAACACTGCTCATCCTGGTATCAAGCAAGCATTAGAAAAGAAGGAAGGTCTTTTCAGAAAACATATGATGGGTAAGCGTGTGAATTATGCTGCTCGTTCGGTGATTTCTCCAGATCCTATGATTGAGACTAATGAGATTGGTGTTCCGCCAGTTTTCGCCAAGAAACTGACCTATCCTGAGCCAGTGACGGTTCATAACGTTGCTGAGCTTCGACAGGCCGTTATTAATGGTCCAGACAAATGGCCTGGTGCTCTGCAAGTTCAAAATGAGGACGGTAGTTTGGTTTCTTTGATCGGTATGAGTTTGGAGCAGAGAACGGCTCTCGCTAAACAATTGCTTACTCCTTCCTCTGGGTCTGCAGTTGTCAACAAGAAGGTTTACCGTCACATCAAAAACAACGATGTGGTGATCATGAACCGTCAGCCAACTCTTCATAAAGCATCCATGATGGGTCACAAGGTCAGAGTTCTTCCTGGAGAGAAAACCTTGAGATTGCACTATGCCAACACCGGAGCTTATAATGCCGATTTCGACGGTGACGAGATGAACATGCATTTCCCACAAAATGAAAACGCCAGAGCCGAAGCGTTCAATCTCGCAAACACCGACTCCCAGTACCTTACTCCAACCGCCGGTTCTCCAGTTAGAGGTTTAATTCAAGATCACATTTCTGCTGGTGTTTGGTTGACCAGCAAGGATTCGTTCTTCACCAGAGAGAAATATCAGCAGCTGATCTACGGTTGTATCAGACCAGAAGATGGCCACTCGACAGGATCCAGAATCATCACTGTTCCGCCAGCCATCTTCAAGCCTCAGCCAATGTGGACCGGTAAGCAGATCATCACCACCGTTTTGCTCAACATCAAGCCGCAAAACATCCCGGGTGTGAATCTGAAGTCGAAGAACAAGATCAAGAACGATTACTGGGGCAATGGCTCTCAAGAGAACGAGGTTTTGATCCACAACGGTGAGCTTTTGAGCGGTATCTTGGATAAGTCGCAATACGGTGCTTCTCAGTATGGTTTAATCCACTCTTTGCACGAGGTTTACGGTGCTACCGTTGCTGGTAAGGCACTTTCTGTTCTTGGACGTCTTTTCACCAACTATAATATGATGATGGGTCTGACATGTGGTATGGATGACCTTAAGCTCACAACTGAAGGAAACAAGTGGAGAAACAAGATCTTGGAAGAAAGCACCGACATTGGTCGTGTTGCTGCTGCCGAGGTCACGAATTTGGAAGCAGATGTCCAGGTCGATAATGCTGAGCTATTGAAACGTTTGGAAGAGATCGCAAGAGATGACAACAAGCTTGGTATTTTGGATGCTGTGACTCAATCCAAGGTCAATGCCATCACCTCTAAGGTTGTTTCCAAGTGTGTTCCTGATGGAACCATGAAGAAGTTCCCATCGAACGCTATGCAAGCCATGGCTCTTTCTGGTGCCAAGGGTTCGAACGTTAATGTTTCTCAAATTATGTGTCTTCTTGGACAACAGGCTTTGGAAGGCAGAAGAGTCCCGGTGATGGTTTCCGGTAAGACGCTTCCTTGCTTCAAGCCATTCGAGACCAACGTCCGTGCTGGTGGATACATCAAGAACAGATTCTACTCTGGAATCCGTCCACAAGAGTACTACTTCCACTGTATGGCAGGTAGAGAAGGTTTGATTGACACTGCCGTGAAGACTGCCAACTCTGGTTACTTGCAACGTTGTTTGACTAAGCAGTTGGAAGGAGTTCACGTTTCTTACGACAACACGATCAGAAACGCTGATGGAACTTTGGTCCAATTCCTTTATGGTGGAGACTCGATCGATGTTACCAAGGAGTCGTACATGCACCAGTTCAAGTTCTTCTTGGAGAACTACAACTCTCTGCTTCAAAAATACAGTCCTTCGACTATTGAGAATCTCGACACAGAAACTGCTATTACTTACAACAAGAAGTTCCGCAAACAATTGAAGAAACAAGCAGGTTTGTCTCATTACGAACAGAACTTGAAATACGATCCAACTGTTTCCGTTTACAACCCAAGTAAATTCTTGGGATCTGTTTCCGACAAGTTTGAGGACGAGCTCGACAAGTTCATTGAGGGAAACAAAGAGCTGTTTGTTTCAAGCAAAGACGCTAAGACTACTGGTGGTTTGACCCAAAAGAAGTTCAAGGCTTTGATGCAATTGAAATACATGAGATCTTTGGTCAATCCTGGAGAAGCTGTTGGTATTGTTGCCTCGCAATCTGTTGGTGAGCCATCTACTCAGATGACTTTGAACACATTCCACTTTGCTGGTCACGGTGCTGCTAACGTTACTCTTGGTATTCCGCGTTTGAGAGAAATTGTTATGACTGCATCTGCCTCCATCAAGACGCCGCAAATGACATTGCCTATTTTGGACGATGTTGACGACACTTCCGCCGACGCTTTCTGCAAATCCATCACCAAAATCAACTTCTCCGAGGTGATCAGCGAGGTTTCTGTGATCGAGACCACTGGATCCACCGGAGCCCAGGCCTCGAGATCTTACGAGATCAACATGAAGTTCTTCGACTGTCAGGACTACCAGGAAGAGTACGATATCACGAAGGAGGAGCTGGAAGAGGTGATCAAGACCAAGTTCATCCAGGCTCTTGAAGCAGCTATTGTGAAGGAGGTGAAGAAACAGAAGAAACAGAACTCCGAGTCTTTGCCGTCTGTTGGCAAGGCTGTTTCTCGTTCTCAGACCGAGATGGCTGCCCAGACTTCGCATGCAGCCGACGAAGACGACGATGCCGACGACGACAAGCTCAGAAGTAACGCCAAACAGGCCGTTTCGTACGACGGTCCAGACGACGAAGAGGTGGAGACCATGCGTCGTGCTGAAAAGTCTGACGACGAGTCTCTTTTGGATGACAGCTCTTCTGAGTCAGAGTCAGAGTCAGATTCAGAAGATAAAATGGACGTTGATGTGGAGAAGTCCTCTTTGGTGAAACAGAGCATGTCGCAGGCTGCTCGTGAAAGACAACAGGAGGTGATTATCAACCACAACTTCATCAGTCAGTTCAACTACGACGACGAAAACGGAGCATGGTGCGACTTCAAGCTGGAGCTGAGCGCCGAGACACAAAAATTGTTGATGGTGAACATCATCGAGACTGTTTGTAAGTCTGTTGTGGTGCGCGAAGTTGGTGGCATTGGAAGATGTCTTCATCCAGAGCCAGAACAGGGCAAACGTATTCTGGTGACGGAAGGAGTGAACTTTGCGGCCATGTGGGAGCACGACGCGTTCATCAACGTGAACGGAATCCGGTCGAACGACGTTGCTGCTGTTCTGCGTACTTACGGAGTGGAAGCTGCCAGAAACACGATTGTGAACGAAATCAACAACGTTTTCGGTAGATACGCCATTTCTGTCTCGTCGAGACATCTGGACCTGATTGCCGACTACATGACCAGAGAAGGAACCTACCTGGCTTTCAACAGACAGGGTATCGACTCGTCCACGTCGTCGTTCACCAAGATGTCTTACGAGACCACCTGTCAATTCCTGACCAAAGCTGTTTTGGACAACGATCGCGAGGAATTGCAGTCGCCTTCTGCCCGGATCGTCATTGGAAAGCTCAACAACGTCGGAACAGGCAGCTTTGACGTGATGACCAAGATGCCACTAGCATGAAAAATCTGCCAGATATAATACTGTGTAACAAATAATTTAGACAAATTTTTGAATAAACAAAACATCTCTTGACAATCATGTTTGGTTCTGGAACTCAATCTTCAGGGTTCAGTTTCGGCAACTCTGGTCGGCCAAATATCTTTGGGAATTCCCAAAGCAACGGACAGACCACAAATAATGCATTGTCTGGCGCTCAATCGACCGTCCAGCAGCCGCAACAGTCGACCAACCCGTACGGCATAAATATCGCTTCTGCGTCTTTGCAGGTTTCAGAGATGCCCCAGGCGTTGACTCCGAGCCGTAAAGATGAGGATGTCCAGCTGAAACGCAAAAGATCGACCTCGTCGATGGTTTCACACGAAAATACCGGCTCATCTCTATCTTTTCTCAATAGACTGACAAAACCGTTCTCTGGGTCTCAGAAATACCCAATCGAGTCAAGCAGTGGAATTTTCACGTCAGAGAAGCCTCACGAGATCAAAAGAACGAAGGTCGACCCGGCAGGACTCGCAGAAACCAACGGATCTGTGCCAAAGTCCGAGTACAGGAAACTCACAATTCGAAACCCAAGAGGAACGTTTAAGAATTTCTACGAAATCAACCCGGACGAAGTGATTCTTGGCAAACAGCATAAGGGATCAAACGGGTTTATGCACGTTGTTTCCAGTTTTAAACCCAGTTTCCTCCAAAAAGATACGAAAACAGCAAGGCCAATCACCCAGTCGGAGTCAGAACAGACTTCTAAACCGTCTAATCCTGAAGGATATTGGAGCACACCCACGATTTCAGAACTGGCCAACATGTCGGCCACCGAATTAACGCACGTGGAAAACTTCACCGTTGGTTGCAAAGGTTTAGGGCAGATCTCGTTTGCGTATGCCGTCGATCTCTCTGCATTCCATGACAAACTTGAACAATTGCTTGGAGTATATATTGTTTTCAGACCGAGAATAGTCCAGGTTTACCCCGATGGAGTGGACAAACCGTCTCCCGGAAACGGAATGAACGTTCCTGCTGTCGTGAGTGTCGAGAACTGTTTCCCGTACGACAAAGCCACCAAATCACGCATCACCGATCCTTCAGCTCCAGAAGTTCCTGCACATATTAGTCGACTGAAGGCCAACTTGGGAATGCAATTCATCAGTTATTATCCACTCACTGGAACCTACACATTTAGAGTTGAACATTTCAGTATTTGGGGATTGGTTGACGAAGACGAAGACGATCCCGAACTTGTTCAACGGTTCAAGGAGCAGATGAAGCGCGAAAGCGAGCTACAGAGCAATAAAACGCTCGAACAACAGAACGCTCTGGACCGCATATCGATTTACACAGGCGACCAATCTTCTGTTCCTGGAGGCTGGGGAACTCCCGACGAGGACGAAAGCATGGAAGATAGCGTCGATGTTGAGAAGGAGGAGTTTATTGAAATTGAGAAGCCAGAAAGCGAGCAGGAGTCAATTGGAATTGAAGACGAGGTTCTGCCCCAGGAAGAGGCGTTTGACGAGCTTGTTCAGGTGCGGGCGTATGAGCCCGAACTCGAGGATATCGACATGATGGTGTTGAAGAAAGACAGCAATTTCGAGACTAGCGAGTCCTGGGATCAGCAGCTCAGCATCGCCAACGGGTTCAAATCGGTGTTCAGCAACGACTACGAATACTCAAAGAACATGGACCTCTCAGCAAAGAGTGTGAACCAGCTGTTTTTTGACAACCACCCTACTAAGCGCAAGAGGGTGGAGCACCAACCGGCTCCAAACGACAGTTTAAAGCTTCTGAGAAGTATTTTGGCCAACGAGATCCGTTCCATGAAGGTTGTTTTGAGAAGCAACTCGTATCCATTAATCAAGCCAGACGATAATGTTGCTTTACGCTCTATTCTTTCTGTCTACAAAGGAACGAACGAGTATAAAGTTTGGGATCTGATTTCGAGGATTTTTGACGACGGCTTTTGCGAATCTTTCCATGGCCAAGCTGAAAGAGACGCCTGTTTGGGCAAACCGAAGCTGAGAGAGGTGTTCATCGATTTGCAGCGTCGTGAGCTGCTGATCGACTGGCTCCAACAGTACAACTTTGCCGAGATTTCGAAGCTAATTTCCGAGTCCACCGATTCTTTGGAAACGATCTTCTTGCAAGTTTGTTCTGGCGATCTGGGGAAAGCGGTCAAGACGGCAATGGACACGTCGAACGGTCATTTGTCTGTTTTGTTGACCTTGATCGATTCTAACGATCCGTCGGTGAGGAAATTCTCGAAATCGCAGCTGGTTGAATGGGAGAAAACGTCAATGTTGCAGTACATTCCTATTCCAATTTTGAAGATCTATAAGCTTCTTGCCGGAGAGATTTTTACCAACACTTATGTTCGTCATCTGGACGGCCTGTCATGGTCTACTGTGCTTCTGTTGCAACTCAAGTATGGAGACACGAACCGGACAATCAGCGAGCTAGTGGCCGAGGTGTTCAAGAACGAGTCCAAGCTGACAGTTCATCCAGACACAAAGGACAAATACTACTCTACATTCAAACTGCTGACGTCTCCTTTGTCTGTGATTGACAACTACTCGCACGAGACGCAATTTTTGCTTTTCAAGAAACTCAACAGCGTTCTGCAACTTCCGGGAATTGACGGGGTGATTTTGGAGCTCAGCAAGAAGATGAACGCCCAGAAGTACGACGAGGAGTCGTTGTTCCTTCTGGAACATCTTTCTGACGACAAGGTCTGCGAGACAGAGATTTCTGCGCTCATCAAGCAGAACATCGATTCGTTCCGGTTCTTGGATAACGATCTCCGGCTCGACACATTGCATGAGACGTACCGGTTGCCGAAGTCTGTTCTGCACAAGGCCAGATCGACCAAGTACGAGAAAGAGGGCGAGTCGTTGAAGGCTGTCTGGTCGCTTGTTGACGCTGGTGCCATTGAGGAAGCACACAAACTAACATTGACAGACGTTGCTCCGGACTATGTGATTGCCAATACGAACTTTGACGAACTCGAGCAGCTGTTGGAGAAGTTCCAAGGCTTGTCTGATTGGATCGTTGGAGGAGAACTGTATTACAACTACATCCAATTGAAACAGAAAACAGACGACTCAGAGCTCAAGAACTATGTGAAGAAGCTGTTGAACGGACTGGTGCTGCTTCGAGAGCCAAATGCGAAAACCAAGATCGCCAAAGTGCTCATGTACAGAGAAGTGATCCGGTTGATTTTCGACCTGTCGCTGGAATATAACAAAGACCAATTGTTGGGATTGGACCTGCCATCGAGCGAGATGAACTACCTGAAGAGTCGACTCCCCACTATATAATAGATAATGATAGATGCGGTGTATTAATGTACTTATTCAATTTCGTCCCTTAGCGCGTCGACGACATCGAGAATAGCTTCGGTGGCTGGCGAGTCCGGATAGAGGTCGAGGAAGCTTTCGCCCGAGTCGCAGCTCTTGCCGATGCGCGGGTCCAGAGGCACGCTTCCCAGATAGTTGATACCCATTTCCTTGGCGAGTTTTTCTCCTCCGCCTGTTGTTGGCTTGAAGATCTTGGACTCGCCGCCGCAGCTCGGACACACAAAGCCCGACATGTTTTCCACCAGACCGAGGATCTTGACGCCTGCCTTTCTGCAGAAATCGATCTCTTTTCTGACGTCCAGCAATGCAACCTCTTGCGGAGTAGTGACGATCAAGGCTCCGTCAATTCCCAACTCCTTCATGTACGTGGTCACCGACAGATGCTCGTCGGAGGTTCCTGGCGGGGTGTCGATGACCAGGTAGTCCAGGTCGCCCCAATCAACGTCTTTGAGGAACTGTTTGATCAAACCGTTCTTTTTCGATCCTCTCCAGATAATCGCGGAATCCTCGTTCGGCAACATGAACTGGATGGACATCATGCCAAGGTTGTCACCCACGTAAACGGGCGACCAGCCGGAATTCGAAGAATGAACGGTCTCGTTCTCGCAACCGAGCATCTTGGGCAGCGACGGACCGCAAATGTCCAGGTCCATGGCTCCTATTTCAAGGTTTGGGTCCGCGGCAAGCGCCCACGAGAGCATCGACGTGAACGTGGACTTTCCCACGCCGCCCTTTCCCGAAAGAACCAGCAATTTATGGCGAATATTGGCAAGCCGTTTGTTTATCAAGGGCAAATCAGGGTCAGGCCCCTTGGGGAGAGACTCACAAATCTCTTTGTTTGCGCAGCCGGCACAGGCGTCCGACTTTCCTGCGTTCTCGCTCTCTGGCCCGGGACAATGTTCTGGCTCCGGCGTGGGCAACTGGGTATTCATAGCCCGTTGGGGAGTAAGGGCCATCATTTGCAAGATAAAGCGTAAATTAATTTTATTCAGAGTTGGTCATGTTATGCGGTGTAATGTCAAGTTTTGCCCTACAAATAACACT